TAGCGGCATCAGCTGCGAATGCCAATCGATGGGCATTTACAGCAACTGCGAGGATATTGCTCATCAGTCGTGGCTTTGGCCTGGCGTTGTACACCGGCCACTCGTTTCGAATCAGCTGCGGGACTCGATATTCAGCGAGGCGGGAAGGTGGAAAGCGATGTCTGCCCGAGTAACATTCGGACGCCACCTGCAGCCAAAGTATGGGTGGCTGCGGCAATGGCCTCAGCCCATGATATCAAGTTCTGACAGTCTTTACCTAGCTTGCACCGCTTACAGATTGCACGGGTAGCTGCACTTTGTGATCCGCTCCGGGAGTGCCGATTTATGGAATATATGCTCTCAACTGGTTATGCATACCAATATATTTAGCATTTGGAGGCTCTACTCAGAGTCATTGGTGGCTCTACTCAGAGTCATTGGCGGCTCCATGCGGAGTCATTGGCGGCTTCATGTGGAGTCATTGGCGGCTCCATGCGGAGTCATTGGCGGCTCCATGCGGAGTCAATTTGCGGCTCCATGCGGGGTCATTCGGCGGCTCCATGCGGGGTCATTCGGCGGCTCCATGCAGAGTCATTCGGCGGCTCCATGCGAAGTCATTCGGTGGCTCCATGCGGAGTCATTTGACGGCTTCATGCGGAGTCATTTGCCGGCTCAGCTGCGAGCCATCTAGTGGCTCCAAGCAGAGCCATCATACCAGTTGCTCGAATTGGCACTCCCAGCTTAATCCAAAACTCGGTTGCTCTGTTGTGAGATGGGGGGATGCTAACCTAGGAATGGGTTTGCTCCCCACACTGGAGCTCGCGCTATTCCGTCAACTTGACACTTGACGGACTCACGACTGCCATCCAGAGTCGCCACCACTATTTCTAAACCATACGGCTAATTATTTTAGTTACCTATCCACTTACCGGTACAGTAAAACCTGTGACTACCGACCACCCCTTGGTGCCAGCAAAAGCGGTCTTTAGTAGCAGGTGGTCTTTAGTTAGAGGTTTGCACCGCGTGACCATATGTGGATCCCATTATATGATATGTATGTCAAAATGCAGCTAATACAATTCCCCAGGACTTGCGCAATGTCAGAAAGACGGAGAGATGGAGAGAGAGAGAGAGAGAGAGAGAGAGAGAGAGAGAGAGAGAGAGAGAGAGAGAGAAGATTAATTTTTTGCAGACATCAAATTCAGCTGCTACTTCTGAAGCCAGGAGTCAAACGTTCCCTGGGGATGTTTCGTTTCGCGCTGGGCTTCAAATTTGTTCACGCGATCAATCATACCGACTGTCCTTGTTGTGACTTCTCGATTGCTTGAACGCGATCCTTCAGCATCAGGACCTTGTGGTGCTGCTTTGTTTCTGGATTCCTTGATGCCATCGTCGATCCGTCTGTATGACTGGGGTGACAGAGCTGCCCAGTCTTCGTTTCTCCTCCGAGTAGTAACATCGATCAGAGAGCGCTTTCGATGCGCTCTCCAAGACGTTTCCTATCATGTTTTTTCTTGACAGCGCTTGAAATTTTGACAGGTGTAGTACAGTCCACACCGACTCCACAGCCCACATTACCTGCATTCATTTGTTCAGCTGTAGTATCGAAAGATTCTTTTCAGGACCATGGAAAATCAGTAAAATTTCAAGAAGGAGCTTCGAGCAACATTTGATTTCCTACATCGCGGTCGCTAGTTACGGGTCAAAAATTGTGTTTGGGACAGGAAAAGGCGGTCGCTGGTCGCGTTCAGAAGGTAGTCGCTAGTCACAGTGCATTTTGAATGTGAGACCTTCCGTGCCTGGCGAAGTGGCCGGTAGTACCAGGCTGGTTGCTAGTGACGGTGGTCTTTAGTTACAGGTTTTACTGTATATCCCTTACCGAAATTGTATTCTTCAACGCAATATTCTTCTTTCTTTTTCTTCTACTCCGTTCCATCAGCACTCGGCCAATGGCAGGAGATTGGTACCCACTGGGCTAGCATGCAGCAGCCAAAGCTGGGGCCTTTTCTTACTCCGTCAAACCCACTTCTTAAAACGAAACTGACGTGCATATTCACATTGCATGTTGTGAATGTCCCCATATTTGCCCCGACATCTTAGCTCGTACAGCGCTCCAGATACATCTATGCTACGGTGCGCACCGCATACTCGAATTACGGTACAGGACACATACGGGATACTGCACCAACCATGGCATGCCACGTGAACCACCCTACCAGGCACCGTGACACGCACCGAATTACAGCGGTGTGGATACTGGCTAGCGCCAGATGCTACTAAAGTACAACTGAATAGCGTCTTTTGCATAGCTACGGGAATAATCTCATATCCCAAGCATTGCAGCTCTGCTAATAGAATAATTCAGGTTACTCCCACTCCATTTCTCTAGTGCTTATTTTTCTGAAAAAATATCATCTTTGGCACCAGAATGCTGCCACCAAGAGTACATTAACCAGAGTGTGCAGCCCAAAGAGAATCATCCCACGGCAAAGTTTATTGTTTAGGGCATAGACTCGCAGTAACAGGCTCACCTTTGCTGCATCTCACACCGCTTCACACGGTCATCTACTCTATCACCATGGTAATTTCTGTGGCACATTGCTGCTTGTTTAACAAAAACGTAGAAACACACACCGAATTTCCAGGTAATTACCATGGTGATACGGTACTTTAGCTTGAACCTATTGTATGACGGGTTTTCTACGATTCATAATGACCCAGGGAATAACTAACAGTTAGCGACGCAATTCTTCTGAGGTGTAAAGTGACTTCAGGAATACATGTATGTTGCAGAAAACTGCGATGCATGCTGATTATTTACTGTGCCCTATTGTGCACAATATACCTGGTGGGTTACTCAGGGATAAAGTAGATGCACACAAGTGCCGTGCATCACGGCACAGGTTAGGTTCGCAACTAGCTGCTACAGTGTACTTGTGGTCCGAACTTGCACTCTACTCAGCTCTGCATACGCAAAGAGTGCTGGTGCCGAAATGAACCAGAAGGGTGCTGAGTGGGACCCAACAACACTGACTCTGTATACCCATGTACACAGATATGATAGGGTATGCAGTACCTGCTCTAAGATTTAACACAAACCGGGTACACGTCTACCTGGCACAACTCCTGCAACACTAGGCCAGGGCCAGATGCGTTCAAGTGCGGCTACTGTGTGTCAGGGAGTCGTAAACTTACTTTCGACTTCCTGATGTACATGATTGTACATGTACATGTATGAACGTACTCGCACTGGGCACTCTGGCCGCACGCATCTGCACGCGTATGCAGCCTGTCAGTGGCGGTATACCCTCGAAGTATAAAAAAGTATAGTACTCGACAGGACTTCCGACCGGGTCGCAGGTAACCCAGTGTTCTTTTTCCAAAAGGTCCAAGTACTCACAAACAGGGCCACTGACCTGGCTCTGGAGCAGACACTGGTAATCTAGGTCCAAGTTTGCTCGATTATGTTCTGACGCTTCATGTGCTTTCATAGCCAAGGTTTCTCACTTTCTTCGCAAGCTCTTTTAGTCTTGAGAGTTGACAACTGCTTATGGTTGTGTTGGCAGAAAACATGTAGGCTAATCTGACAACCGTCCAATCCCATTTTACTGGTAAGTAGTCAGCGAGTGGCTTTGATGGGGCCATACTAGAGGGGAAGTTACGCGGCATATGTGCTTCCTTTTTGAAAACACGTTCTTGCTCGAAGGGTTTCTAAACTTTATCCCTGCGCTCATTGATGGAGTTCATCGATGGAGTTGCCAGCGGCACTCTACAGAAGAACAATGTTGTCAAGTTTTTTATGAAAAATTGTCAACAAATAATTAATTGCTATAAGTTTGGTTAGGGCCGGGTTCCACTGCGGCTCCGCAGCTCCGCTGCTCCACGGTACTTGGCTGCATGCAGCAGAGAGGCGCGGTTCCAGTGACACTCGCCATTCACGGTACCGCGATCGTGCTCGACGTTTTTTTGATGACATTTAGCCTGCCTGCGCGCGCGTGAAATCCAAAAAAATCCTCGTGTTCTGGCCTGTGCAACGAATTAAAATTCCCCCGAATAAAACAATTAAGTGCGGGAAACAATGCAAGCCGTGATCGCGGCTTGCATTTTTTTGTATCAAGCAGCGAAGCGAAAGCTGGTGATGAGCCGCGGCCTCGCTGGACCAGCTCGTAATGATGACGTTTCATGCCGTGGATGATGTGCGGCGGAGCGGCAGTGGAACCCAGCCCTTAGGCAAAGGAAATTTGTCATTAATTTGTTTATGCTGCATAGATGGAGAGCTGCACACTCTGGCTTATGGACTCTCGCCTACAGTGTAGTCGTACTGCTAGTGTACTGGCATTACAGAAGACACGAAAAACGAGAACATAATTATGGCTAGAAAGTAATTACTGGCTAAGAATTGCCCTAAGACTTGCCCTAAGACTTACCGCTTCTCAGTGCTCCATACCAGGAAGTAGTACAATACCTACTCCCTGCTCCATACGAGTGTTTTCTCCTCATTCTCTGCATCCTTTACCCCAGGAATCTCGTCCATTTAGCGGCTCAAATGCTTGAGCTCCGGATAGCGGAAAATAGCTCGTCGTCCATTAGCGGCTCTAATAGTACCTGGTCTGAAGTGTCGCAGTCTAGCAACTATGATTTTTTCCAGGAGGGTAAGGGTTGCAAACCCAAAGAGACCCTAAGCTTCGTCTATCAAACAAAACCTAAAAAATGGAAGAGGAAAAGAGTGAGCGAGCTGGTCTGAGCGCGCTACTTTTCAAAAAATAGAAGCTGAAAGCCATCAAAGTCAAAGCATTCTGGCTAGCGCGTTTGTATAATTATTATGTCACGAACGCTAGCGCGCTAGTCGCAGCAAACGCTCGCAGGCCAGAGTTAGCGCTATTTGGGCTGTTTGCCGCACGCGGCAGCTGGATGGATCACGTGATCCAAGCTGACAAATAAGGTCCGATGGTTCAGCTACATTGAGCCACAAGCGGACGAGATTGAGAGATGATTATTAATTTTCCATGTTCAGGTTTTAATGTTTTGACTGACTTGTTTAGTCATTCTCAATGCTCGACAATAGTTATCATGATCTGAATGTTCTTCGTTTCAACGAAAGTCCAGTTCAACAGCAATAGTTTTTGTTGTGAAGGGATGCTTTGAAGCTCACCATGAAGCGGACCCCCCAGAAGCTGAAGAAGAAGGATGAGGATAAAAATCGTTTCAGAGTGAGTCTCTCTCATTTCCCATTATTTTCATGTTTTTAAAATTCGTCGAAAGAAATTGTCACTGTCTGTGTCTGTGGTATATTTGTTAACTCAGTTCCAGTCATTCAACGACCGTGTGGCTGAGATCAACATCGGTGTAGCCCGCCGTTTCGGTGAAGTCCAGGAACTTGACGAGGTGCGTACGTTGGTTTTACATTGGATTTGTTCATGGTGTTTGATCGTACACAAAATTTAATCTGTAATTTGCAAAAAAAAATAGGAAACTTTCTCTACTTACACGAATCTACTAAACAAGTAGGACACTTCCTCTACTCATGCAGTGGTCGATGCCCGGTGAGTAGTTCCTGTCGTAGAAGGCAGAAAGAGGTCTCAGCAGCAACTCTAGTTCCACACAAAAGTAATCCTCCAACAGGCAACAATTCGAATTTACTAGTATCTTTATGCAGTATATGCGACTCCTCTCAATGGACAAGCAAGCATGGAGAGGTCGTTCATCCCGAGCTGCTTTGGCTCGGGTCTACAATGCACAGGGTAGTCAGACCAGGCCAGAAGTGGAGTGTTTGGTCCAGTACACCATGACATTGTACATCTGTTGTTACCATATGCTGCTTCGTTACCCGACCGCTTTTTTATTACATGTATTTAAAGTCGGCAAGGAGATAACATTTTAATCATGGCTATGCTATTCATTAGTTGAGGGTGTTGAAAAGGGAAATGTCCGAAGAAAAAATATGACTGTCACCACTGTTCTGTTCGGGAGAATATGATCAGGGGTGCAGGGCACCAATGAACACTGGTGCTGATGAGATGTGGGGCTCCTCCAACTGCTATCACGCCGGCACAAACACGTCTGAGAGGGAACCAGGTCCAGGGGTAGAAAGGACAGAAATAAGACGGTAATGAGGAATGGAGGAAGGGGATGATGTTACATGGAAATGTTGGTACATGTACATGTATAACCGGTAGCAGGATAAAACCGGCTACCTTTTACATACCAGCACCTATTTGCAAAGAGGGTGCAAAAGTCAATGTGCTCTTATACATGTTTGTCATATTGAACACGTAAAAGTTTGATAGGCCTAGCTGCCCGGGCTACACTACACTCTATAACAGGTACTTCACTACAAGTCCACTCCAGGCATGTTCGTTTCATCAAAACAATACTTACATTCGACGTATCTTTCTTTCAATATGATGAAGTTTTCAGCGTGTATTGGCAATGTTCCACATGATTTCAATAAAGAGCTATGGACCTTGCTTCGATGGAAACTCGCGGAAGAAAAGCGAAGCCCCGCGTGAGTCGTGGTCGGAGCAGCGCAAGTGGATCATGGACGCACATTTTTACGTCTTCCAGTCGACAACGTTTTTGACAAACATATCTGCTGCGCACATGAGCGGGAACGGAAGGCTGTGGAGATCTTGATTTGAGCCAACAGTTCTCATCAGTTTGGAAGGAGATATAGTCAATCATATCCTTGAACTGACTTGCATCGCGTATGCTTGACTCAAATTTCGCGACAAAACGGATTTCTTCAACGTCATCGCCAATCCAGGAGCGGACCAGAGCTAGAGATCGATCTCTCTGTGGCTGCTCTCCACTGAAGAAAGAGAGAATAATGTATTTTGAACTGCACGCAAAGCAACTCTCTCTCACTTCGAAATAAGGACATAGTTACTGTACTGTAAATTGTCCGTCGATCGACGCATATGCACGATAACCAATCCAGTAGGCACGCTTTTCCTTTGGCAAGATTCAGGTTTCACAGTTGCGTAGAAAAGCGTCGATTAGATGGGGGCGGCGCACGTGCTCCAAGATGCCAGCTTGACCAATCAGCAGCCAGCATTTCGTCGCATTTTTGCTCGAAGTAGGGGGTGTTTGAAGGAGTTAGCAGCACTTCAGCTAGGTTCTACGAGGCTGGGACTTGGCCCAGGCACAGAAGACAGGTGTTCCAAAAGATTTACCCAAACAAATTTGCATTACTCACACGGGTATGCCAGAGCATATGCATAAACTTCGGGAGATATAGTACAGTATTGGAAAGGAGTATCCAAAAACGTCTCGGTAAATTTCTTTGCCAGGGTCTCCTGAAAATTTTAAGCCATAGATTGTCCAAATCGACCAAGGGGGAGATGCTCTGTACTGATTTTAGTAACCCCGAGTCCCAGCGGCGCGCAACCTCTTGCGCGAAAATGTGTGAAGATCAAACAACAAGAAAAACGCATGCATGCAGCAGAACAGCAACGCGTGCCGTCGAAGAGAAAATCATTGTGCACAGATTGTTCAGTGTTCTCTCCTCAGTTCGCCCGCGGCGTTGGTTGCTGTGCTTTCATTCTCGCTGGAGTTCTTGTGGCAGCGGATTTCGCCATCATGGAGGAACTGGTACCCTGGGAAACCTGGTCTTCAGTGGCCCTCGACTAACGCCCGGTGGATTCGCTGGTCCCGTTCACCTCCATCAGCAGCTCCGTGTGGTATAATCATGTTCTCGGCGTTACTTGCCTGGCAAGCTCTGACTCGTTTGTTTGTCTTCTTACCTGTGGAACATCGCGATCGCTCATTGTAGAATCAGCTTTTGGTCGGACATGGCATGTTGTATTTACTGGGACTAGCACAGGTTGCGTTTCGCCTTCTCCTTCGGTGGACCAATTCTACAAGGCACAGTGAAAGGCAATTCTTTGCCGAGGACAAGCACAACTACTGTAACTGTTCAATGTTGCGGTGCAATTCCCAGTGCAAATAATAAAGCAAACTATTTCCACAGGAGTATGCACGATCGTAAAAGCACAAGATCGACACGAACGGAAACGAGAATGGTTTGACACTGCATACCGAGAGAAGTGAGGAAAGGACAGGTCCTACCAAAATATCGCGAACATCGGCTCTAAAACTACGAGAAAAGGCTACAAGTACAACTCAGGTTCTTTCTCTTCTCTGTTCTGTTTGGATGCGTGGTATGTACACGATCGGTACTCTCCCGGGGTCACGCGACTCACGTGCGCCAAACCCGCCCTCGCACGATGCTTTTGTCGATCCTGCATGCCTACTGTGAGCCCTGAGATTGCCCGAAAATAGGTGGTTTCTAGACTCCAAAAAAACTTATACGGTGCACACGCCTGCACAGGGCACGCAGGGCAAAGCAGCTTATATATATAGTAATAGCACTCAGCAGTGTACAGTGCATGAATGTATAATGTGTAGTACACACAGAGCAGCGTATAACAACCAGGACTCGATCCAGGTACGGGTACCTTCGCTTTAGGCCAGCGATGCTCATATTGAGCAATGGTGTAGCTGTCAAGCCTGCCATCCTAGCAGAGACTGTTCAACACGGTTTAACACAAGTTTAGACTTGGAATAAATGATAATTTGTACTAGAGAGGTTAAGTTTCACGTAAAATTCTTACGACCGTGAACTTCTACGTCAAAAATTCAAAAAACTCACTTAAAATTTGACATGTTTTACGTGAGTTGACTGTCCCGCACGTAGTTTCTTGACGTGGGTTTTTGGAAGTTTCGTTTGGTCATCCCGATCGAATTAATGTGAGTATCCGTAGTTTTATCGAGTTTTTTTGGAAGATTTGATATTTGTGTGTTGAGAAAGTTCTGCTGTTCGAACTAAACCCGAATCTTGCCACCACAAAATGTCACGTCATGTCGCACATGTAACTTAACCTCTAAAATTTTCACGTAACGTGAGTTATCACCGCGCTTTGAAAAAAGTGAGAAAAAAACCGTCTAACTTAACCTCTCTACTGTCATCACACAAACACACACACGTCAAAGCTAGGTTTGTTGGGATTAATGAAAACGTTGGACATCGTTTCATCAGAGTACCTTTCTCGGTCCTGACATACATGGCACAATCCTTCAGAAGTACAGGTCTACCCTCGTTACTATTGTAGATAACCCCGGGGTTTCAAATTGTTTGTCTTGTACTATAATTTATAAACAAGTATTATCTACTATCCGGACGTGAATGTACGCTTTTCAGGTGTCAGGGGATTTTTGATCACTGTCTACTTATGCGTAATGAGGTTTTGTCTTGTAACCAATGTCGTACTAACGAGGGTAGACCTGTATGGTCCTTATGCACGTTGTACAGATTTACGAAGTTCTGTACTAGGGCCGCAGGTGTGTACATACCCGGTTGGGTGTTCATTGTGTGCTATATATGCGCGTTTGACCCGTTTAGCCTCATAATTCATGGAAAAAATGGCTTTTCCAGCTTCTTCACTTTGGGACTGAACAAACGACTAGCTAGATCTCTGCCGGAAAACGTTTTCGTATGAAATGCCTTCAGGGCCCATTTCATAGTGGAAATAGCAGTGAACACGTCCTGCACATTCAACACCCAACCGGGTCTAAGGGATTCTACAAGATTCTACGGGATTTCGTGCATCTGTACAACGTGCATAAGGCCGATTGGGAACTCATTTCTCATGCACAGCCTCGTGAAGAATTTTCTGCGGCTGTTTTTTTCCGTAGGTTTGATGACCCCAACTGTTTTCGTTGCCATCGCATCAGAGGGTTGTGCTGAGAAATGGAATCAGTCCGGAATGCAAAATATTTTAAATTAATAAGAAGTATTCAATCTTCTGTTCTGTTTGGTGTGAACTGAGCTGTGATTATGCAGCAGGAGACTTGAATCATGCTACAGTAGTACATGTACGCTTGCTGTCAGTGGTATTCTTACTGTTTCTGGCTTTTGCTGGCTTTTGCTGGGTGATTTCTAGGACTTTTTGTTGTGCTGAATTTGGCTTGCTTTGTGGCCTATGTACAGGATGCGGACACATACTTCCAACAGGGCCTGGAGAAGTGGAGGGAGCTGAACTGCACCGCTCACTTCAGTAAGGATGGTTCTCAGGTCAATAGTCTGTGTTCTAGCAATCTTGTGCCCGTATGTTCAGCTACAGCAGTGTAATCGTGCTGGAAATTTGAATCTAGCTGCGTTGTGTAGTTCCGTGCTCGGACTTCCATGTAACCCCGCTGCTTGTTTCCGTAGGCTTGTGCAATGTAATTGGGTATTTGTGTGGCTCGCTCAACATTGTATTAAAGCCATTTACTTGTGTTGTGATCTGTCCTTCTGTGTGGATATAGCTGCTGCGTGTCGTGACTTACCGCAGACAAAGAGTCTTCCACAGGTTATTCATCACCAGGTGAGATCCCGCTACTTCAATATGACTATGTCTCTGTAGATGTACAGTCCATTTCAAAACTATAGACGCGTAGGGTTTTTGAAATACTTCAAATTTGGCTGGAACTTTTTGAGAATAGTTTTCGGAATATTGCTCAGGACCGCTCCACAATTACTCTCATATAGTTTCTAAACGATTGGATAACAGACGCCCAATTTGGAAAATATATGCACAAAGTGATCACAGATTTTATGTGGTATAGATGCTGGCATAACGGTTTTTGCCTAGGTACGCGTCTATAGTTTTGAAATGGACTGTAGTAATGTAAATATACAAAATTTCGGCCCAAAATTTTCCGTATTTCACGATTTTCGACGTTTCAGCAGTAATTTATTTTCGGCACGGGGTTAATAGTAGTGCATCACCAAAGCAGAATAAATGATGTGAAAATTATCGCCAGCGTTTTAATTTCGGCGTTTTGGGTCGGTGCCGATTTTACTAGCTGAAATTAAATAGCTCCCCAAGTTTTGTATGTTTTCAGTATGTGGGATTCTTTGACCACTGTCTTCTTTCCTGACCCTTCTACAGTCCTGGCCAAAGAAATCCGGCCCATGAGACAAACGTAGTGCCGTGTTTCCGTTTCCTTATCATGCACCGCCCAAAAAATCCCACCCGAGGGCCACAGGGGCCGAACGAGCCCTGGCACTGCTTTCGGCATGTGGGTCGGATTTCTTTGGTCACAACTGTACATACTATGGCATTGCAATAATTATTAGGGCTCAAACGGTTAGTCCGATTAACCGGTCGCAGACCGGTTAGGAAGAATTAACGGTTAACCGATAAAGATAACGGTTACGCAGTAACTTTTCAGTCAATTTTTCAAGTATCAGGTCGTTGAAAAGTATGCATTTTCGCAGGCTGTCGCACGCGGTTACGCAATTTCTGGGCTGTCAACTCGGTCATATCTGGTCTCTAGGTGTGAGAGTATGTATGGATGAGCATGCAAGAGAATGTACATGTACATATATGTGTGGGTTGTACTGAATAGGGTACATTTTTGAATGAGTATAGTCAAATATACGGGTAAAAAAGAGTCCGCAGGATTGCCGTGGCTTATAGGTTATAACCGTTAAACCGACCGTTAGCTTAGCAGTTAACCGTCAGGGGTAAAACCGTGACCGTTTGAGCCCAAATAATTATACAGTAAAACCTGGTTAAGCGACCACCCCACGGTGCAAGGAAAAGCGGTCATTAAAGGGGAAGTTAAGGCAAAAATTAAAATTTCACCAGTTGTAGTCTTCGGGGTGCTGAGTCGAATGGTCTTGGTCCGAGAAAGCTGAGACGCTCCCTTCCTACTTGAATCCCAATCGAACTCGCGCACTTCCACCGAAACTGGGTGACTGCGCCCTACTAGATGGGGATTTGTATGCAAAATGTCACTAAAAGCGCCGTTTCGTTCTTATAAAAGCACGGATGACCGCGATTGGCCCATATGTTGTAGTCTTTTGGACGCTGAGTCGACTGGTTTTGGTCCGAAAAGGCTGCGATGCAGCGTTCCTCCTTTATTCCCAATCGAACATGGTTGAACAAGTGGTCACGTGCTCCTGCGTACACCAGTCAGCTGGTCACCACGCCAGCAGGCGACAACTTTCACACCAAGGTTCAACTCGAGTTCAACTCGAGTGACAGGACTGCTCCCAAAAAAGGTCAAACAGGCTAGTAAGTTGTACCCTGCAGGCACGGTGACCAGCTGACTGGTGTACGCAGGAGCACGTGACCACTTGTTCAACCATGTTCGATTGGGAATAAAGGAGGAACGCTGCATCGCAGCCTTTTCGGACCAAAACCAGTCGACTCAGCGTCCAAAAGACTACAACATATGGGCCAATCGCGGTCATCCGTGCTTTTATAAGAACGAAACGGCGCTTTTAGTGACATTTTGCATACAAATCCCCATCTAGTAGGGCGCAGTCACCCAGTTTCGGTGGAAGTGCGCGAGTTCGATTGGGATTCAAGTAGGAAGGGAGCGTCTCGGCTTTCTCGGACCAAGACCATTCGACTCAGCACCCCGAAGACTACAACTGGTGAAATTTTAATTTTTGCCTTAACTTCCCCTTTAAAGTCAGGTGGTCTTTAGAACCAGGTCTCACAGTGTCTGTGTAGAACTGTCCGTGCATGGAAAAACGGTCGTTGAGAGCAGGTGGTCGCTAAAACGAGAGGTCGCTTACACCAGGTTTTACTGTAGTGTATGACAGCGCATGAGGCAAGGCTGGTTGTATAGTGTGTGGCTCTACCAACCGTAAATACAGTTACCAGTACATGTACTGTCGTGGACATGGAAATCCGGTCGGAGGTCTAGCGGCCCAGGGCACTAGCCATGCAGCCATGAGTACGCATGCTGGGCCCCTTTTCTCCAATCGGCCGGCTGTCCAGCGCACTGACTCTCTTGGTGTAGTTCGCGCGCACAGCTCTGAACGAAATTTATTCTCATTTCACTCCACCTTGATGGATTTTCATCATCCTGGGCTCGTTGGAAAGATCAGGACCAAGCGAATCTATCATGGTAGATCTCAGCGACATAGACACACCAGGGCCACTTCCACCTCCTCTCCTAACTACTCCACCGTGCCTCGGAACGGCACAACTCAATCAAAAAATTTCACGTTCTTGTTCAGCATCTTGCCCAAATTCCACCGATTTTCACGATTCGAACTGCGCTGGAGAGCTGAGATCCAAGCGCTTCATTTGATGTCCATCATGCATGTGTCGTGCCAAAGGGAAATCTCCTAGCACACTCCAAAAACTGTGAAGTCATGAAAAAATCGCGTTCTCTCCGGGCCGTGATCTCGGTGTTCATCCTGTCGCCGCTCAGTGATTTTTTATCCTATCGCGACGAACTTTATATCCCCGGAAAGATGAGCTCAAGACCTTTCCAACGGTGTATTGATTGTTGCGATGCGTTTATGTTTCACGAACTTACGATAGTTTGTACACTGGTCTATGCATATGCACTGCGATATAATGCGCGAATCTTTTTGCCCATATGTGCGCTCATGGCCAAGCACATCATAGTTTCAGAGCGCATACATGCGCTCCTGGCTCGAAAAGGGTTAACACGTGCACTGTATGCAACGTTCTGTACGCACGGAGGGCGCCGGTCCCGCGTCATTCGACCGGATTTCCATGTACACGACAGCACATGTACAGTCAACTTCGCTAATAACGACTGCGGATATAACGACAATTCGCAACTAACGACAGAATTTCCATGCCCAGAGCAAAGTCCATGCTACCTGTGTACATATGCTGAGACTTCGGGTATAACGACGCTTCGCGAATAAGGACACTTTTCTGATGCCCGGCCAAGTGCCGTTATACGCAAAGTTGACTGTAGAGGCGGTAGCTGTATCCAGCGAAGTGAATCGTCTGCTTTGCCTTGCAGATGTGAAATTACATAGCAATGCTCAAGCAAGTCACAATCAATATGATAATTTTAACATTGTAGTTTATTTCTTCTCATGAGTCATATTGTTTTTTGCTTGGTATTTTTCACTTTTGACGCTGTGAAATCTTGTGGTAATTGGTGACACCTTCATTTTTTGCCTGAATCAATTTCTGCATTGCTTTATGTCTCCACAGGAGGGCATTGTAGCAGCTTTGAAGAAGCACTTGGCTATCCCAAACAGTTTGGCTTTGCAGCCGTTATTAGAGTAAGTACTGGAGGGTTTTGTCGGGATGAAAATGGAAGTAATGTTCATGCACATAATTATTTGTACTTCCTCCGCGTCATCGAAATTGTCGCAGTTTGACTAGTGACTTGTCATTTGTTACTGACAACTCCATAAACTAAGCCATTCGAAACTTATTACACAGTATGATAGTCTGAAGACTAGAGTAACGTTCTAGGACAATTGGACTGAGAGTTTTCATGCAGAGATGAAGTCCTCGTCGTCGCTGATGTCAATGGACGCAAAAATATCGTTCCCAAATATTTCAAGGAAGGTTGAAAGTTGGTCGCGCCTCATCTCAAAAGCTTTGACTTTCTCCACAGGACAAGAGCTGCTATGCTTGTCGTCTGCTAGCTCTGGATGATTTCTACTTCACCACCAACGAAGCCTAGTAAGAATACACGATCGTTGCGAGGTCGGTTGATTACCGTCGGCGGAATCACCTCGGAATCACCTCGATCTTGAAAATAATGAACTTTTTTTAGCCGTGGCATGCCCACAGCTCATGCAGGTAAGTGTAGTATCACGTCCAGCGCGCCCTCTTTTTCAGCACTGATACCATGGTACGGCACCTGCGCGTGCATCACTAGCACTACGTGTAGACAGTAGAGTCTACACGGCTCTTGCAGGTACAATCACGTACTAGTAGTAGTACTGAGTGTCTCAGCCAGAGCGACAAATTTTATCGCTGTTGCAGGCATTTAGTTTCCCGACCCCTCGATGTTTCTCCAAGCCCTGCCACTTGTTCCACGAAGTCATTCTCACCCCAGCTAAGGTAAAGCAGTGATGGGGCTTGAGTGAATGGCCATAAGCACGAGAAATGTGCAGGCTGCAACACCTGACTGATCTCAGCGAGTCGAAATTACCAGCGCAGCGACATCAGCGAAGAAATTGCGTCTAGTTCAAAAATTCCGGCTTCCAATAACAGAAAATAAAACTTTGCCGTCACCCTATACTGATGACTATCGCCTATGTCCGATCCCTTGCCTCTGGTACGAGTGCTGGTGAGTAAATACCGCATTTTACATCAAAAGTCAAACTGCGACAATTTCGATGACGCGGAGGAAGTACTTCGAAGTATATTGTACTCATACCGTAAAGTACCGTTGATCCGCTTCCTCTCTGATTTCCGCCCCCTGTTTAATTTTTGCCTGTGAAGCGACTTTGGCGTATACAGTGAAGTATGGTGTTGAACCGTCGCATGCACTGCTGTACGCAATACGTGCCAGTACAGGATGAAAATGTGCACAATCCAGCACACCGAGTCTGATCTTGCTGCTTTGTTGTACATCGTACTGCACCTGACCCACTTGATCTAATTCTCATCCCCTGCCGAAAATCCAGCTGGGAAGCGACATATGGGGGGGGGGATCAACGGTACTTTACGGTAATTTAATCCTGCACACCGCACTATACACACATACACACTTCAGTGTGTGCATTCATTCGTTAATCCAATTTTGTGTGTGTGTGTCTCGTTACGGAACTTAACCCTTTCAGTGCCAAGGCGGTGTCAAATTTTTCATAGCTCAGCTGTATATCCACGGATCTTTACAAACGATGGCTCTCTGGAAAGATATCTTGGCCAGGCAGACGGCTGTGAAGAGAAAATGCAGCGAAAATAGTCTTCCTTGCGAGGGCGACTGAGCGAAGTCCGTTTTCTGCATTTTCGTAGCATCTGCACTTTCTCACGCGCGCGGTCGATCGCAGTGCAGTCAACTTTCAACACACGAAATTCGGACAAAGTTGGCCTGAAAGCCACTGAAAATCTCGATGTTTTGATACCCAATACGTATAGGTTGCCACGAGAGAAATAGAGAAACATGCGATGCGCATACGTCGTGTTTTCTACACGCGACAATTGTTTGTCCGAGCGCGCGCGCTTCAGGCTTCGCCCTGGCGATATCTATCCGCACGGACACAAAACCATGTTATGAGTCGATAGCCAAGGTCTTCCTGAAGACGTAGAGTAGTCGTTTGTAACTCTCCTGTGTGTAGAAGTGGAGATACGAATTTATTTGTACACACATACTCATTCTGGGCGACTAAGTCGCCCGTGGCACTGAGAGGGTTAATACACTGCTGTTTCTGTGTTTCTTGATGTGCAATAGTTTGGTACTGCAGCTGGCACGGGACCTGCACAGTAACTTCTATTCCTACTTTGAGGACTTCTTTGATGTGTTTGTGGCCTTATTAAGTACCAACAATTCGGAGACAATCGAGGTCAGTGCAGTCTGTATAGGCCGGAATGTTCCTGTTTATTATTATTGCGATAAATAAGATCAATAATGCACGCATAAGAACAGCAAAAATGAAGAAAGTTAAGTTCCATAACGTTTTCTTTGCTGGCTGCTGTATTTCTACCTGAAACCATATTAGCTACATGTATAAGTGTGTGTGTTTAGGGCATGATCGATTGGGCGAATCCCGAGCAAGTGTGCTCCGAGTGAGCTTGATCGTTTGGTCGAATCCAATCGAATCCGGAGTAGGTGTACTTGGAGTGGAATCCGACCACACCGGGCCCCACACCGGGAGTGGCTGGAGTGGAAATGGAATTTGCCGTTTTTGGACAGCTTTCGCAGAATCTTTGTACGATATGCGTACATTTTGCGTACTACACCCTTGTTTTGTTCGATTGGGCCAGCGTTTCTCGGACCACACCGCCTACTCGCACTCAATCCAGATTCGCCAATCGATGACATCCTTAGTTATTACATTTTTATGTGACGGCGTTCCACTGATGAAAGTCACAAGAAAACGTTATGGAACTTAACTTTAAACAGTTTCCTCTGAGACAAAATGCGATAATACTCATAAAAAGGACACACTTCAGGCTCATTACAAACAAGATGTTTGTAATGAGCCTGAAGTGTGTCCTTTTTATGAGTATTATCGAACTTAACTTTCTTCATTTTTTGCTGTTGTGAGTGCACAATTTATCTTATTTATTGCCATTTTACGACTTGTCTCCTCGTCGATTGTTTATTATTATTACTACAGTCGACCTACCCTTATAACGATAACCCTTATATCGATATTACCCTTTTAACGATATTACCCTTATAACAATATTTTTCTGTCTAACCAAATCACTCCATCGACTTTTGTATACAATGCCTTACCTCTATAGCGATATTACTCCTATAACGATATACTGTAAAACCGGAAAGTCTAACGAGTCACAAAGTCTAATGTTTTAACGACCAATTATTTTTCGCTATTTGAAAAAAACGTTATCGCTAGATGTCTGTAAAGATGCGCATACAGATGGGTGGCCGGGTGGCCATCGTTAAACTTTCTGCACGTAATCATGCCAAAATTACGAAAACGTTAAAACCTTTTGGTCGTTAAACTTTCTGGTTTTACAGTAAAATGGACTGACCAATCGACATTTTCCATTTTATAACAATATTTAGCAGGGAATATGTAGAGTTCACTATCCAGGTAGGACAAGTTTCACGTGATAAGTCACTGGGACATGACGAAATGCAATGGGAGCACCAGGGGGCACTTTGCTGTGTACATAATGTGCATACAGCATACACGTACAGTGTATGTAAGTAAGTTGATGCTACGAAGAGTGTAAAAAAAAAATACAAAATCCATGTCATGCCACGTTGTAGGCTCGCTTGCCTCTTTTGCTAGCTTATCTCGCCACTCTCCACCATGGTCAACATAGTGATACATTTCACCCCGCTGATGCATTATTTTCTTCCGATTATCATCTTCTTTCCTTCATTTTTTCTTCTCTTGCCATGGCTGGCTAACGCCCCCTCCTTTGCATTGGCTTCTGCCATTGGACGATGAAATAATAATAATGCATTATGACGTATGTGTATGAAATGAACCTGTTACCCTTATAACAATATTAGTATATTACCCTTATAACGATATTTCTTGATCTGACCCAAATATTGTTATAAGGGTAGGTCGACTGTGTTATTAGGGAGGTTTAGTTCCCACGTAACGGAAACGCGTACGTGGGTGATCCACGTAAAGTGGATGAAGGGCATCCACGTTGCAATGTTGTGTTTAGTCACACGGAACAAACAAAAGCATAAAGCGAAAGGCCCAAACCTGGTCAAAGACGAAGCTACCCGGGCCTAAGAAGCTCATCCAATATTTTGATTTCGTGCTTCGGAAACTTCTTCAGCTGAGCACCCTCACAGCTCGCACAATGCGCTCCATTCTGATTTTCACCCACGTTTTGGCGGAACGTGGGTGAGCCTCCATACACGGTATGTCGTGAATCAGAAAACGTCTGTACGTGGGTCACTGAGTATCACGTGGTACACACACGTAAAGTACCCACGGATTATGTGGGACTAAACCTCCCTACTATTTGAGGGATTCCCCAAAGGCCGAAGCCTACATCAAGGGGGTCTCCGAGAATAAATATCGGTGACACACATGTACAAGAGGGGTACAGTTTTAAAAGGAAGAAAAATATAAAAGTAGAAGCACTCGAAAAGGGTACAGATAAGAGATGGTAGCTGCACCTACACACATAAACACTCACACGTGCGCACGCACATACACACACACACACACACACACACACACACACACACACACACACACACACACACACACACACACACACACACACACACACACACACACACACACTCACACACATACACACTCACACGCACCCACGTGTGTGTGTGTGTGTGCATGCCTATACACACACACACACACACACACACACACACACACACACACACACACACACACACACACACACCCACACATGTGCTTGCACGCATGCTCACGCGTGCTTGTGCGCGCACACCCACACACACATTCTCCAGACTGTGAAATGTCCTTCTCGCAAATCAGTACTTCTTTTAGCACCAACAACTCCACTGCCACCACTATTTTGTGTTTGCTGCGCTCTTTATGATGAGACCTAGCAAGGATGGTATGGATACTGTGAAGTAGGAAGGTGTCAATTTTGTCAAAGCCGTTTAGCAGCCCAGAGAGCAGGCATAGGCAAGCTTGTGTTTCTCGCGATCTGTCTGAACTGCAATTTCTCGACAAGGGACATCGGTTTCTTTCGCCCAAAGTCTCTTTGCGAATTCTCACCAGGCTAATTGTTAACACTTCCATCCTGCATGTTCATACTCAGCAAATAATACGAGCTCATGTTTAGTCATCGTCCTTCTACTGCCACTGCTAGTTTGTGTGGTGAAATTATGTATTTTATTGAAAGGCATTCAGGTGTTGAAGTGATTTCTTTTAAAAGTTATTTTGTTGTTTGTTGTGCTCATGACCTGCAGCAAGTTTTCACCACGCTGGCGTACCTGATCAAGTTCCTCAGGCACAGCTTATTGCAGCACATTACTACAGTGTACAAGTTAGTGGCAGAAGTAGTAGTTGTAGAGTAGTGTGTGTGTGTGTGTGTGTGTGTGTGTGTGTGTGTGTGTGTGTGTGTGCGTGCACGTGTGTATGTGTGTGCGTTCGTGTGTGTGTGTGTGTGTGTGTGTGTGTGTGTGTGTGTGTGTGTGTGTGTGTGTGTGTGTGTGTGTGCGTGTGTGTGCGTGTGTGTGCGTGCATGTTTGTGCATGCATGTTTTATAATTGAGAATTAGATGTGCGTGAGATCACGATACACCGTAGTGTGTTATGGGCCTTATGGCAAGTGAAAATGTAATCCTTATACCAGTAGTTTGAATTCATGTTCCCTGCATTGGCTTGGATCATGACTGTATCAGTATTTTGTTATCTGTTGCTCCATCATGATTATTTGTTATGTTACCCGTTGTTGTTGTTGTTGCATCATGGTATTGACTTGTGTTATCTGCTGTTGTTCCATCATGGTATTTGTTTTCTCCAGTTATTACAAAGTGTTGCTGTCGGATACACAGAAGCCGTACATCACCTCGTTTGCTGTTGAGAGTTTTTCATTCCTTGTGCGCAAGGTAGGTTTCTCCATGCGGTGGCCTTGGATATTGTAGTCCGTTAGTAAACTCTCCTTCTCGCCGCCCTACTTTTTGGCAGCATTGTTTTGTTTGCTGTTGCAGAGCTTGTGTGTGCTGCTCAGTAGGATGGAGGTGTGTGCCGCTCAGTAGGGTGTTGGTGTGTGCCGCTCAGTAGGGTGTTGGTGTGTTCCGCTCAGTAGGGTGTTGGTGTGTTCCGCTCAGTAGGGTGTTGGTATGTCCCAGTTGTTAGGTCTAGCAGCATTATTAAATTTTATGTGTGGTGCTGCAGCTTTGTTACAATGCACATGATGTAGGGTGTAGTGTGCTTCAGCACTGGGTGCTGTGTGCTTTGCCGTCTGCCCGACCTCGCGCAGTGACCAGCTGCGTCACACGCTGGACCATACAGCGGCTAGGTGTTTAATCAGGCTGAATGTCGATCCTGGCCGCATCAGCACCTCTCTCTCTCTCTGTGTATGTCTGTGTGCACTGCCATGTCCTGGGGCGCGTTTGGTTGGTACGAACTAGAACAGGATTCACCAGAACAGCGCGTTTGGTTGGGACTGCACTTGTTCTGGGTCGGCCAGAACATGTTCTGCTTGCTCCGGCCTCGAGGCCGGAGCAGACCGAGCAGTTTCACTTTTTCACTGGCGGGAACATCGATTTTGTTCCCAAATGATCACGTGCATACGCTTTTGGGTTGGACTCGTCGTACCGTACAAAGTGACCATGGTGATCCATACACATTTTGAAGAATGCACCAAGTTTGGCACATTTTTCCACAAAAATGTGCTCTGTTTCTGGAGTAGCGTTTGGTTGGCATGAGGCTGCTCCATGTGCACCAGCTGTTCGATCCTGTTCTAGATCGTACCAACCAAACGCACCCCTGGTAACAATATCATGTGATTGATTTTTGCTTTGGTGCAGCTGAGGAAACCCAAGCGGTTTGTAGTTCACGTCGCAAACTCTCTTGAAGATGATGAGGTGAGTTTGCTATTGCTGTTCATGCCCAGTTTTTTTGGCAGTGGCAGTGTGTTTGTGGTATGAGTGTGTGTATTGTAACTACGGCCTTTATTGGGGATCAGATGTATTGGATATTCACGTTTGTCTCTGTTTTTGTCACCTTTGAAAGTAGTAGGGGCTTGGCAGGTGTATGCCTGTGTGTAGACAGGCCATCTATTCACTTTGAAGCTCACATTCGTCATTCTTATTATTTGGCTGGATGTATTCCGCTATGTGTTTGGTGCGTTCAGTTCTGTCAAGGTGTTGGCCTGTTGCTGTTCGAGTCTGTCAAAGGAGTGTGCATGCAATTTCATTCATCTACTGAAGTGGTAAGTGCAGTGCCAATAATGCCCAGGATAGACCGCACAATACGCTAATGTGTGTGTGTGTGTGTGTGTGTGTGTGTGTGTGTGTGTGTGTGTGTGTGTGTGTGTGTGTGTGTGTGTGTGTGTCTCTCTCTCTCTCTCTCTCTCTCTCTCTCTCTCTCTCTCTCTCTCTCTCTCTTTCTCTCTTCTCTCTCTCTCTCTCTCTCTCTCTCTCTCTCTCTCTCTCTCTCTCTCTCTCTCTCTCTCTCTCTCTCTCTCTCTCTCTCTCTCTCTCTCTCTCTCTCTCTCTCTGTGTTTGTTTGTGTGTTTGTTTGTTTTGGCAACAATGGGATTGTCATGGCTGGCATTCCACCATCACACACTTACCGTAACACATGTTCGTTTTTTAGCTCATGGGCCAATATTCGAATTTTGAAGGTTCACGAAAAAGTACAAGTCCGTGACTATAGTGGGTCTACCATACTCTACTGGTAAACTGCACTGACCTGCTGTACCATGGTAGGAAGAGTCCAGATTGTGAAAAATTCTACTTGACACGCGAGTTGCTGTACCATGTTAGGAAGAGTCCAGATTGTGAAAAATTCTACTTGACACGCGAGTTGCATGGCCCGTGGGCTTATATGCACGGAATTACGGTATAAACAAATGTGTAGTGCTCCTCGGGGCATGATCTCTTTTGCATTTTCTTTGATGTGTACACAACTGCACCATTGCGGTGCTGGCAAATAGATGTTGGGGTGATCATGATAAGATACCAGCTTCTCTCCCCTTTGTGTACTTTATGCCACATTTATACCTAATCCTCAGTTCGGCTGAAGTGTAAGGTTCTGTGCTATACTCTGTGTGTTTGAATCTTTGGTGAATTTCCTTTTTTGGTTTATTTGCCTGCCACAGCTTCTGTCAGCATGGCTTCCTCACCTTGGCCTCCCATCTTCCGGTACTACGAATCCGGATATGGTAAGTGCAATGCGGTGTGTTGCCTTGTTTTCATATTTTGTTGATGCTCAAGTTAAATTATATGATGTATGTTCTCTGTGGATGCGGCGAATGGGATTGACCGCTTGTGACTTTGATGGTGGGTCTAGTCTACTCACCTCCCACCAATTCAAGGAGCTGCATCTGTGCCTTTGTTCTTGAGGGTGATGGTGTTTCTACGGCTGTGGAAAACTCGGTCTAACCGAGTCTCACGCGAACCGTAATACAGTAAAACCTGTAACTAAAGACCACCGTGACTAGCGACCCACCTGGTACTACAGACCACTTCGCCAGGCACTGACGGTCTCACATTCATATAATATTATGGTTGTGCGGTGCAAACCTCTAGCTAAGGACCACCTGCCACTAAAGACCGCTGTCTCTGGCCCCAAGGGTGGTGGCTAGTCACAGGTTTTACTGTATGTTCTCTTCTGGTGTACACTGGACTTACACGCATTTGTGTTCTGAACATGCCACTCTGTTTTCAGGTACTGGAGGCAATGCTTCGCTGCATGCAGGAGATGGCGGAGTATACTCGCAAGGAGCACTGTGCTTTCATATGGCCACTGTTGCTGGTAAGGTTACTGTTCATGGAGCAAAGGACTTTTAGCTCTCTAGTTTGTCTGTGGATAGTGGTGTTGATTTTTCTATTGAGTAGTATCTACTATTATGCAACTGTGTCATTCAGGATTGGTGTAGTCCATAGTCTTGTATCTCTGGATTCATTTAGTGCAGTGTCTTCTGTATGTTTGTGTCTTGATGCAAAGTTGGTTGTACCCCAAGGTGTATGTCCTGCAATCGCGCGCGCGTTTGTGTGTGTGTATCCGTGTCTGATTTTTAGGAGTATGTGGACAGAGTTCTGCAAAAGTACCTCAAGTCAAGCTCGAACACAACCGACACTGATGACAATGTTGCGACTATGCTGTGGGCACATTTGGAGCGTGTCCTACGGCTGGTACAGAAATGGGTGACATGGCGCCAGGGTACACGGTTGGAGAATGCTGAACCGGTCTACCAGGTAGGTGCTTACACCCTCTGCTCCCACGATCCATCCATTCGTGTCGACCCTTTCCATGCCGTGACGAATGCATATACAGTCAGACCTCGCTTATCCGGTCCTCTTTTATCCGGATCCCTCGCCATCCGGAAGAAAATCGCTGGTTACCGATGTGCAGCATACGTTATGCATACAACATAAGCGGACCTCGCAATCCGCATTCCGGTGCATGATTTTGTGTACGAACTGGTTGAAATGTGTACAAAAGGCTTCGTCGTATCCGATTGCATGTACGTGGCTTGCAGAAGCTAGAATCAGGGAGTTGTACAGACAAATGAGGTCCTTGACCTGCTGGCCACATGCGGATAGCACTCAGTTGCATGCACTTGTCATTTTCCTGGCTTGTTTTACATATTGTGCACGCTAGTTGTACTGCATAGGACCTGTATACATGTATGTACGATGCCACCCCTTTTGATGTGCCACATGCATATGCAGTATGTGTGTTCAGTTATCCGGTTCCCTCGCCCATCCGGATATTTTCGTGGAAAACGGATGTGTGCGGTTAAGCGAGGTCTGACTGTACATATAGCTGGCCTATGTTTTTTTAGAAAATTGTACAATATCATGCAACGAATCGTTTGACTGCGTCCTGTCCAGACGATCTTTGTCTAGTTTTCAACTTGCGAACACTTCCCTCAATGGCTTTTGAATCACAGCCTGACAGGAGACATGATGAGCACTGGCGCGCTTCCTATTAGTATCTCCCTTCCCTTTCCCGTTGTGACCGGATGCATTTGCATTCTGGAGCGAGGCAATTCACCTTCTTGCTTTGGCGAAAAATGGCCTGGCTAGAGGCTGATTCTCAAGGTCACAACTTGTTACAGCCATCCACACAACATTGGCAGTCCTGTGAGAAGAAAAGATGCCTGGAAATCTGATGGGCAGGCTTCCCAAGCCTCAACTGTTCTGGTACTTGCAAATTCAAGTTGCAGTGCTAGCTGTAGTAGCCTGTTAGGCATTGAAATCTGTGCATGAAATGTGTTTTGCACTGCAATCGGGTATTCACTGCCAATGTGTATCGTCCTGTGTTCTCACCTGCAGTGTCTGCACAAGCTACTGGAATCTGCTGATGTTGCCTGCGAGTCGTACGCTGTGAACGGTCTGCTGATTGATCTTGTGCGTTGTGCCAGGCCATTCCAGCCAGCCCTGGCCCAACCTGTGGCTGATAAGGTAACGCATACGCTACCTGTATATGCATAGGGACTAGGGTTTTCTGTACCTTTGTGAGCATGTGTGGGTTGTGGGTTTCCCCAGTGTACGGTATGTGTAATATACTAGGGGTGAAACGACTGAGACGACAAGTCGACTGGCCAGTCAATAAGGTCGAGTCGATAGAGGGAATACCCTTATGAACTCGAACTTATGTTAGAATATGAAATGCCCAGAAGTACATGTAAATGTAGTTCATGCACTTTTCCTGTGAGTTCAGGCCATGTACTGTGAAGTACACTTGGCACCTGAATTCATTTTGCTATATTTTGACGTTGAAACCTACAATGTGCTCACATTGTGCTTCTGTGCCTGGCATGTGACCGTGCATGTGCATGTATGTATGCTGTGTTTGTGTTCATGTGTGAGGGCAATATCAGTCGATGACCAGGTGATAGGATTGAATGTAGTTGATAAGGAATTTGGGTCAGTCGTTTCACCCCTGTAATTATACATGCAGTTCCTTGTTTTGTTCGTGGCTTGTATTGCATGCACATGGATTCAGCTGGTTTATGGTGATTGTGCCGCCGCCCCTTTGCCCACATCAATGGCGTGTCTTGAATGCTGTGAAGTGATTGGTTTTGAGGGCACATCCAGCCTGGAAATCCTGCTTGTGTTATCGTATGAGATCATGTGAAGTTTCTAATTTACTAGTAGCTGCACAATCTAGGCCCATGCCTGCTCCCTTATTTATACAGTAAGACCTGCATTTACCTGGCCCTGGATCAAGCAGGGGCATCCGGTAAAGACAGGTTTTGCTGTACATCTATATATTGACTCCTCATGGCAAGCAGGCTGGATCCTGGTTGTGCCTTACATTTTGTATTTTAAATCGATTACAAAAACCTTCGTAACTCCATCGTTTCTTGTGCAAATTCAACAATCGAAGGGTCTACATGGTAGCAGAAGCTCCAAGCTGTCCAATGCAACAGTCGCTGAAGAGTTGCGATGTCGGACACCAGAGGTATCGCGCGCCGTATTTTTATCTCGGCAAATTCAAGTTTTTGACCATCTCTTGTCATTTTGGGGGAAATTCCTTTTCGCGTGCTCTTTGAGGGACTGAGCACATGATATTGACGTAGTCGGCTAAAGTTTGAATCACCTCGAAAAAATTCGAGCGTTCTGCGATGAAGGAGGGTGGAATGGTGTTGATGGGACGAATTTACTTGCATATCAGGCTTGGAGACGACTTTGTTGTGTTACCGCGCCTGATTTGTGGCGGCTGGATAATGGAGCTTGGCACCCTGGCGTTGCTCTCGCCAAGAGCTTTCCAACGAGCCCTGGATTGTGGAAGTGAAGGAGACTAAAGTTATGACCGGGTGAAGTTGAAAATTGTGCTGAAATTTGTAATTCTGTTCCATGCTGTGCTGGTAATCCGGTAATAAAGGGTTAAGTGGAACTTACGATTACTTGTTTACCCCGCTTTTTTCTTCTTGTTCAGGTTCTTGCCTCGTCATCTTGCCGCCAGGCCTTGGAGTTTGCTTATCACTTGGCCTCACTTGGTTCAAACGGTCAAGAGGTATGCATTGAAGCATTGCTGCATCTTTGTTTTGCTGTCTTTGAAGTAGGGAGGATTTGTGCGATGCTGAGTGCTTACATGGAATTAATCATTGCGTGCCCCAGATTTCGTCGTTACCCAGTGTTGGCCTTTCGATAGCAACTTGTCAAGTCAAGATATTAATTTTGTTCTATTTGTGTGAAGATGTGTTCTCAGGAATACAACGAAAATGGCTTCCGATAAAATTAATATGAATTTTTGCATCAATGTTTAAGTGCCTTTCACAATCTTCACTTTCTACAGGGTCTCATGTACTCTCCCTTTCCTTGCCGCCTTCTATTTTTTTTCTCTTCAGGTACTGGCAAATCTTCCTCGGATTGTGGAGAATTATGCATCCAGTTCAGCCAATTATTCGGATGTGCTCGTATTCCTCTCCAGTCTGAGCCAAACTTTTCAAGACAATTGTACTTCTCCCGATGACCAACTCACATTCGATCTCTCGTCGATGCCGAATATTGCTGAAATGCTCTTGAAAACTTGCCAGCCTCCTCAAGACCCCGACGATGGTGGTGACTCGGTTGTGCAGGCTCAGTGCATGTGGAATGCTGCAACTGCTCTACGCATTTGTCAGTGAGTTGTATGTGTGTAGCGCAGTTTCGGTGTAGCTTTTCTGCTGCATTGGTCCAGATGGATGATGTTGTTCTAGAATAGCCATTGTGCATCCTCTTACACACTCCGACATATTGTATGCCATAATGTTGAGTTGTAGCTTTTCATGATCCCAGTCAATTGACTAACTTCCTGGCTGCCCCCATCTCTGTCTGTCTGTCTGTCTGTCTGTCTGTCTGTCTGTCTGTCTGTCTGTCTGTCTGTCTGTCTGTCTCCCTGTCTGTTTGTCTCTCTGTCTGTCTGTCTGTCTCTCTGTCTCTCTGTTTGTCTGTCTCTCTGTTTGTCTGTCTCTCTGTCTGTCTGTCTGTCTGTCTGTCTGTCTGTCTGTCTGTCTGTCTGTCTGTCTGTCTCTCTGTCTGTCTGTCTCTCTGTCTGTCTGTCTCTCTGTCTGTCTGTCTCTCTGTCTGTTTCTCTGTCTTGTTCACTATTCGCAGATCATTTCCAGATGGATATGGTGCCGTCGGCAATCTCCGTTCTTGGCTCTCGCTCTTGTCCGAACGTGTTGAGCAGCTAGCAGAATCTGGCAAACCCGTCAACATGCAATGCGGGGAGTCGTCTTTGCTGTCATTCAATGTTCTTCGCCTTACTGAAGTACTTTTGTCTCTTGATGGCGCAGCTCTCTTCGTTGAGAAGTTTACCCTTGGCTGGGCTCTTGGCCTCCTAAAGTAAGATGGCTAGCACCGTTGTTGTACACGCATGCACCGTGGTCGTTAATGTTCAGTAGGAATCATGTACAGTGTACGATAGAACCTCCCTCAGCAGACACCTCTCAACAAAAGACACCTGTTGGTTGAGTCATAATTGTTCCTAAGTTAAGTGACATGGCGCTGTGTAGTTAGGGCACTTCCCCTCATAGGACAGAAGTGTTTGGTACCTTGTATCAAGAGTACATAACCCCCTAGAGTGTGCAACGCCTGATCCAGCTCTGCATAGGGTCTTGGTCGAGCGTAATCGGATCTTTGCGTCATAATACCGTACACATCTGAGGGGAACCCGGGGAGTCGCGGGGACTCTCGGATCAAAAATAACAGTGCCCTGCCTCGAGACCGGCCTTGCGCTGGTGTGGAGTGTACGCATGACATCAGAAGATCCGACTACGCTCGACCAAACCCCTATGCAGAGCTGGATCAGGCGTTGTACACTCGGGGGGGGGGGTATGTACTCTTGCTTGTATGTATTAACCACGTTCCACCGTACATGTCATTCCAAACTTCTATTGGCAGGTCTAACTATTTACAGCCATTGATGTTCCATCTACGAAGAACTGTACATTATATGAGACGAATTATTTCCAGAAATGGTGGTGAATAGTGCCTTGCCATATTTGCTTCTGCTAAGGGGCCGTCCGTAAATATCGAACTTTTTTCACCAAACGAATTATTTTAGTTTAGACCCAACCCCTCCCTCCCTCCCTCCCCCTCAGAACGTAAAAAATGTTGACATACATGCATATACAACGGCCGTGTGCATGGATCAATGTTTTCTGGAACGAAATTGGTCAACCCCCTCCCACCCCATAACGAAATTATTTCGTTTTTGTGAAAAAAGTTCGATATTTATGGACGACCCCTAAGTAACTAGATGTGGACGTTCACATAATTGTAGTCGTACTAGTATTTTATTTTTGCTACAAGACAGGTGATTTTTGTCAATTTGTGTATCTTCATAATCATAATGTGCTGACTCGGATTTTGTCATTGTGTTGTTTCTGCTGCTGCTGCTGCTGCTGCTGCTGCTGCCACTGTGTCTGTTCACTATACATGGGTATGCTGTAGGGTACTGCCCAGTGACTTTCATATGCTGAAGATGGTATTGACGCTAGTCAATGTCATCGATGAAAGTCGTGATCCAACGTCTGAGTTCTCGGGGAACATCCAGCGACTCTCCACAGAGGACCTGGTTCAAGTCTTCCCCATACTGCAGCCAAATCTGTCACATCCGTTTCAGCCAGTAGGTTATTTTCTTGCTTTTTGTGCCGTTTGAGACTGATACAGCTTACTAGTATGTACAGTCACTCCTTGGCCAAAGTTTTACCGTATGTCAGCGCCTTAAAAGCCATGGCCTTATATTCGAAACACCGCTGCTTTCCTAGCTATTTTAGATGCAAAATGATTCACCCACTACACCATGCCACAAACATCTTAAGTCCATGCAGAAATTTCAATCTAAATCCACTTGTTCACCCGTCCTGCTGGGATATAAGTTTGTTAGTATAGTACTTATTCCTTCTTTTTCACTAAACCTACTTCAAATGTCATTTCATTTATGAAGCCCATGGGCTTTATAACTGAGACTGGCTTTATAATCGAATATACCTCCATGGCTCCATGTGCGGACATACACTATGAAGAAAGAATGTTATTGGTTTTTGCAAGGAGTATTCATATATTGATGTGACGAAAATGCTGAAAATCAGTGTCTGAGGACAGAGTTTTGCCTTTATGTCCTTAGCTCACATTAGCCCAGTCTCTTTACTGCGATTCAAATCAATTTGTATTCCACGAAATGTTCGGGCGTGGCCCGATCACGGGATAAATACAAAAAAAAACATTACTCTTTACAATTTCAGAACCGCGTCTTTACAATTCTTTTGTCTTTCTTTTTTGTCCTTTGTCCGACGCCAGGTCCGCCAATGTACGTTAGAAATCCTCTCCCGATTTCCTCAGCCAATGTCTACTGCTGCAGTTAGCGAGGTATGTGTTCTTCAGGTCATTGCATATTGTGTTGGGACAGGCAAGGAAATTATTGATTGATTGTCAATCAGATCATTTGCTGCACTGGTACATGCAGATTTTATACGTATTTGACTGGTGCTGAGATACTACTTGAGAGGCTTGTACCAATGACATATTACTGCGGTGTCATCCATCGCCTGCTGGCTGCTTGCTTTGCGCTCTTGTTGTGCTTTCCTAGGGTGATGGACCAGCAGTATTTCCAGTTATTCGCCAATGTTTGGATGCGCAGGAGGTCACACCATCACTACAAGGGGTAAGCAGTGATCGTAGCAGTGAAGGTTGTCTGGATGCTTGGGGGAATGCTGCTTCTCAGCATTTATCTTGTTTGTCTTGTGTCTGTTGTCAGTGCACATCTTGGTTGTCCATTGCAGGTACCACTACTACTTCGAAGTTTAAAGTGCCTCATGTACGACCCACATCCCTTTGAAAATTGAGGTGTTCCCTTTTCAAATCCCTCCAACTGATGAAATGTTGAATTGCGTTTACTCTTTTTTTTTACCCTGCAGTCCCGAGAAAAGATCCGCCTCCTTGATCAGCTCAAATGTACACCACAGAAACTGGAAGGTTGCCCTGAGATCTACAGGGAGGTAAGATTGCTCGAATGTCTTCCCTTTTTGTTGTGAGGGAGCTATTTCTTTGTGAGGTTAGTTGGGCACCTGGCTGCCTTTTGAAAGGTACCGTAAAAGATGCTAGGTAGCACCAAGAAGATTAAGCTGGCCCCGTGTCTATTTATGATGTGCCACTTTGATTTTTGTCATGTGTGTGTGTGTAGGTCGCTCTGCGCTACCTCATCGGTTGTTTCTATGTTAACTTCCGGCCAGTCTGGTCCGCCGCAACAGAGCTTATAACGTGAGTACACCCTTGTCTCTCTTAGGGTTGGTTCACATAAGCAAAATCGGCGCCGCAAGACATCGCAAGACATCGGCGGTGAGCCAGCTCCCGATCCGTTGCGCATACGGTTCGAGTACCAAATCTACTACAAAGTAGTACAGAATGTGTCCAAATGCTACGACAGGTTTGCCAATTGAAGCTTGAATTCTTTGTTTCTTCAGTAGTTCAAGGTCTTTCGGTGATGGCCACTGGTTGCTACCTTTTACTGGAGATCAGGAAACTACTTCTACACATTTTATTGCAGTCTAGTAAGCAATGGTGTCGAAATTATGCATGCAAACGTTGATGAAGTAACACGAACTTGCCAATGTATCCATCGTATTTTTTATTTGTTTCGACTGTATTTGTCTCATAAGTTGCACAACAGTCAAGCAGATCATCCGAAAAGGACGGGTTGGTATGCTGACTTATTTGCCACGTTGAAGCGATTACAAGAATGGCGAACGAACCTCGTCTCTAGCTTCAATTTAGGAAAATTTAGGAGGATCCTTGGTTTGAAATTTTGACAAAGTCTGGCTTCTGGCAGCCGGCGATCACCGGCGCAAACGGTTCACAAACCACTTTTGGTCAAATCGTACGGGATCGGTGCCGGGGGCAGATCGCAAGAGTTGGGCACTGTCCAACTTTGCCGGCGGTCCCTTGCGATAATTTACCGTATGATTTTGTTACGACTGCACTGGTTCACATAATCGTAATGCGCCGGGAGAGGTTGCAAGAGGCCCACTCCCGTTGACTCCCGGCGCGTACCGGCGATATGTGAACCAACCCTTACCCCTCGTGGACTTGTGGATGCTGCGGGGGGAATCATTATTGTGTGTTCAGTCTGTCCGCTCATGCTGTTGAAAGTTGGGTAAACATTTCAGGTGTTTCGGTGCTTGATTCTTTCTTCGCATCTCTTTGCTCCTTTGCAGTTCGTACGCAACCAACACATTCCGCAAGACCTTCTGGACTGTTTACAATGAACACTTGGAGTTGTGCACTGTGCGCTGCAGAGGTAGGTGGGGTTGTGATGGTGACCATCTTACATATCACTAATTTAATTTGATTTGTGTCGAGTTCTGTCTCCGGTAAAGAGTTTTTTTACGTGGAACTTGTCAAGGCAGAAGCAGTGAAACGTAGGGGTGTTGTTTGCAGAGATAATGTATTCACGGGCGTGCAAGTGTGCATCCTTATGTACTTGTATTCACGCTCGGGACATATTCACGCACAAGAGCATGATCTTGTATTGAAGGTACATGTATAAGCTGGTTGACAAAAAAACATCCAAGGGCGACAGGGGCCACATGAGCCTTGGCGCTGCCTTTGGCCATGACTGTACTAGTGTACAGAGGCCTGGCCTTGGAAGTTTTAACTGGGCTTTATTTGTGATTTTAGAAGAATGGAAGATAGCCGGGTGTGCCTTTGTATGTGGGTGTACAAAACTGTACATGCTCATATATGATAGGCAGCCTATCGCCCAAAGATGTGTGTAGCAGATCACTGGCGTAGTATCCTACATATCCTCTGGTCCAGTTAGTGAGCTCGCACACTCTTGAAAGGGTAGTGTGATTAGCTTGGCTGGTTGTCCGGTATCCAGTTGATCAGCATCTCAATTGTGCAAGCTCAAGCTGGACACAAATCTATTTCATTCCTTAGTGCTGACCGCTTCAATGCGCTTCCCGAATCCCTTCGCACAAATCATATCCCCAAGTCATTTCGCCAGGAACGTAACACATTCATTCATCCTGGGCACCCTGTAAGAAGACCTTAGGGTCTGTTGGGAATACCCCAGTAAAATAATAAAATACCAATACAAATACAATAGTGTTGTTCACTTTCATGTTATTCCCTACGACAGACCTGGCGGAGTTGGAGTCCACACCAAAGGAGGCTGATCAGGAAGCGTCCGTTGCCACTGCTCTCGCCGACTCACCATCTGCTGTGTTCTGTCGGGCGCTGGGCCGTGCATCCATTTCTGGAGAGGATGCTCGCATTGACCATTTGCAAGTCCGCTTGCTCTTGTGGCAAACGATGTCGTCGTTCCCGTCATCATCTGAAGCCAGCACTCGCTATCTCATCCCCATCTTCTTGTCCTACGTCAGGTATGGAAGTACAGTTGCGCTGGGTGAAATCTAGGGGTGAAACGACTGCCGCTCACACGGCACTTTTACGTTTACGATTACGATGCACACAAATATCAGGGAGTAGTAAAATATCTATTTCACTACTCTGGTGATATTCTCCGCACGCGGAGTGGATGTGGATCGCCCCAAGTCTTTTCTTCCTTGTGGAGAAGACGATGGATTACCGACATGCTGCTCTGTTGTTTTTTTTTGTTGAGACTTCTCAGTGCATGTACCTCACGAGATGAAGGAGAGATCGACACGGCTCCTCTTGTTCTTCATGTGGGCGGAAAAGCCAGGGCGTGCAGCTCTGGCTGCACAGTGATTTCATCTCGCTCATGCAACAATGACAACATTTACTACTGGACCACGATGCTCGGCAGGCTGTCCAAGCCTTTCAGAAGTTGTTTGCTTCGGCGGATTCTACATATCCGTGGAGTTCTCCACTACTCTGTGATCTGAGTACTGAACAACAACAAACTGACTGGCATTTGAGCATAATAAAAAACCAGTCAAACAGTATGGTGTGCATCAGACATCAGGCATAAACGTTCAGCGATTATACTTTTATTTTTGATCACCCTCGCCTCTCGAGGTTCCGATCAAGCGTTTCTGTTTTTCTCGGTGCGATTGTGATTTTCGGGGCACGTGATCCTCTATCATCATGGTCACTTTCCTTTGCGCGTCATTTTGCGTGTCGTGTGAGCGCAACCTTATGGCTATGTCTTGAATGTGATCAACCTCTAATTGGTCATTACATGTACTTTGTAGACTGTGTGAAGAAAGCACCCTGAAATACAGTACTTTTATTTTTCTACTGATGCTGTTCTTGCTGAGGTTGAGTATCGGTGACACTCGGGGCTGTGTAGCTGTACACATTACATCACCTACGCACTCATGGCACAGGCAGTCTCATGCTCTGCTGTGAACTGTATGTATGTACTTCTTATGCAGGGAGGAATACAGCTGCCTGGACGACGCCGTGCTCAAGCATCAGGACTTACGACATCGCGACCATCGCACTGCCATAGCAGCAACCCCATTAGACAACAGCATGGATGAGAAGACAGACGGTGCTGATGAGAACAATGAGGTTGAGCAGCAGCATGGTGGCAACACCTCTGAGGAACCTGGCAAGAAAGGCAATCGGCGCATGCTCTTCAAGTAAGAATTGGATAGGGTGATGGTCACCTATTTGTACCTGGAATAATTGATCTTGTGTGAAACCCAGGAATATATCACTTGGGTGAGTGCGTTGTGGGTGTGCGTATGTGTCTGTGTGTGGGGGGGGGGGGGGGGATATGTACACATAATCGGTCTGTAATGCTGGATACTTTAACAAAAGTATTCACGAGCTTTTGGTTTCTGATGCTTGTGTGCTGTGTTCATTCGCTTCGTTTTGATATTCTGTTCTGGATTTACCTGGTGTGTTGCTCGTTGTGGCATAGGACTTTGTCAACAATGCTCACCTTGTTCAGCAAGTTCATAGACCCACGTTCAGTGCACCGTGAGGCTGACATGAAACAGCTAATGCTACAAGTAAGTCCTGTGTGTGTGTGTGTGTGCGTGCGTGTGTGTGCGTGCGTGTGTGTGTGTGTGTGTGTGTGTGTGTGTGTCCCATATGGTGCAGTGGTATGTGCAGTCGATTTCCAATCGAGAGGTTGCGGGTTCAATTCCCGACAATTATGGTCGCACACGTCTTTCTTCTCTTTCTCGGTCTCTTCCTGACTTTTCTTTCATTCTCCTGGGTGGTTACCAACAGCCAGTGTATGCCGGAGTATGTGGTGTGGTGTGTGTGTAGAAAAAAAAGAAAAAGAAAAAAATGGAAAAATGAAAAATAGGGATTCACTGGCCAGAAAAAGTCACTTCAATCAGCTGTGTGGTGGATACCAGGCTAAAAATAGTGGCGGTCAATTCATCAGCCTTGAAAGCTGTTGAATGGTGTAATCCCAGCACAAGTTGCTATGTCTAACATAGCTGTTCGCTATCATCGCTTCCGCGATGGGCAGGTCTGAGGTCTGAGGTGTGTGTGTGTGTGTGTGCGTACGTGTGTGTATACCGGTAGTACGACTCGTACTTTAGGGTTTTACGTCGGGCCCTAGACGATGCATCGCATGTTTCACATAGCGACTATGCGTTGACAACGTGTGGATGAAGACCAGTGTTGGTCAGTAGCACCAATCTGTGGCCCATGCTCCAACTTATATACTGCTACACATGCTATACAGGCTGTACATTCACAGGTGCTAGATTCTTGTGCCTGCCATAGAGCGACATCTTCCTAAAGGCATTGTCTTTGTTTCCTACTGATACAAACTGCAGCTGCTTTGTCACCGTGAAGAGGATATCCAGATCTTGGCGTTGCAGTATCTGATGGCCTATAAGCCGCAGTTTCTTCTGCCGTACAAGTAAGGCTGTTTCCATCTGCTTAGCACCGGGGCTGTGTGCATATCTACATGCATGTCAGCCCGTATCACCTATGGGCACGAAGACTACCCAACTGCATTGCAGGCTGAGTGCTTTGGGATGTCCATTTGTATGGCTCTTGTGTGCAGTTAAGGGCCACCCAGAATTATATATATTTTGTTTCAGCCCTCTTTGAGTCACTTGACCAACCATCATCCCATGCGGCAGCAAAGGAACATTTAGCCGTTCACCTTCAAAAGAGTCTAGAACCATACCATGTAACATGATTGTCTCGCTGCTTGATTACAGATGCCTTGTATTATTGATGGAATCGGACCATCTGACTTTTCTTGCCTTTGTAGTCCAGATCTGGGAGTGGTGGTGGTGGGGGCAGGGTCATCTGCCCGAAACAATGAAATAATTCTGGGTAGCCTCACCACTTTCCTTTTAAAGGGGCTCTTACTAGCCATGCCGAGGTAGATGCAGTGATGTTGGTTTGTTTGAGCTGCTGTTAATACCAACTGTGCTATCCCCAAGGCCACTGTTTTTGCAAATCGATATTCACTTGACGATCATCATTTTTTTGCTATCCCTGTTTGGTGTGTGGCGTGTTTGTTGCAGAGAAAACCTGTTCAACCTGCTGAAGGAGGCTAATTTCAGAGATACGCTAACTCACTTCACGTAAGGCTGTCCTATCATATCCCTTGTTGGAATTTTGGCTCAATGTGGTGTGTCACTACTGCCACTGCCACTGTTGTGTTTCTTTGGGGGTGGAGGGACATCCACTACGGCTGACCGGCTAGTTAGTGCCTTGTGTGTCGTGATTGTTCCATAGTCCCTGTATCTGTGTGCATTTTATTTTCTTGTGTTCTGATCAGCATTGATGAAGAAAGCGGTGTGGTGAAGGCGAATCATCGGTCAGAGCTGATGCCGTACCTGATCCGGTAGGTAGTAGTGGTATTTATTATTTTACTTAGGTGTATCTCTACCTCTCCTTTGTTTTCTTCTTCTCTCGTGTATCCATCTATCATCTGTGTTACATCGTTGTTGAAATATTCATGTTCTCGTCAAGTCTAGCATATTTTGAAGTGGCTTCGATTTCAAAAGTAACATTGCTTGGGTCTTTGGTAGCAATTTTTGAACTTTGCTCATGTGTGGAAAATCGTTTGCCACTTCCTTTTAGGCTCTCCGGACAAATTCACGAATTTCAACAGCTTTGGATTCTCTGCCTACGACCTTTTCTCCTGTTGGAATACGAACAGAGATCAAGTAGTGGCTTTTGGCTGATGTTTTTTTCTGTCTTCTTTTACTGTTCACACAATCATAATATTATGTTTGTGTGTGTAAAGGGTTCTCTATGGCCGTATGTTAAAGGGCACCGGCGCCTCTACTACCGGAAAGGAGGGCATCAACCGTAGGCGTGGTGTTGTGCTGCGGTTCTTGTCAGGATGTCCGAGCGATGAGGTGAAGGTGTTCGTCGATCTGATTTCAGCTCCCTTCCAGGCCTTGTTTGATGGTAAGGTCAATAGTTAGTAATGTTGTTGTTGTTGTTGTTGTTGTTGTTGTTGTTGTTGTTGTTGTTGTTGTTGTTGTTGTTGTTGTTGTTGTTGTTGTTGTTGTTGTTGTTGTTGTTGTTTCAAATCTTTACTCTCATTGTTGTTGTTGTTGTTGTTGTTGTTGTTGTTGTTGTTGTTGTTGTTGTTGTTGTTGTTGTTGTTGTTGTTGTTGTTGTTGTTGTTGTTGTCGTTGTCGTTGTCGTTGTTGTTGTTGTCGTTGTTGTTGTGGTCGTCGCCGTCGTTGTCGTTCATTGCTGATGCTTACATTGATGCTGATGCTGGTGTGTGACGTGTGTGACATGTGTTCCTGCTATTTTCCCTGCTCTTGTTCTCACCACCACCTTGGTTGGTGAAAAGAAACTCCACTCCAGTGTTCCCTTTGGCATGTATTTTATAGATAGCATACTTGCCAACCCAGCCAAAGCAATCCCTTAGTCACACACCCAGTTCCCCTTGATTTTCTCTTATTTCCCTTATTTTCCTGGTTTTCGCCCTTTTCGGCCACTTTCTCTTTTTTGGGGCAATTTTTGATTATCTTTGCGTATTTCCTCATTTTTTTGGCATTTTTTCTTTCTTTTTATTCATTTCTGACCCATTGCTCATTGGGGGACCAAAACCTGAGTTTCTTTATTGTCAGATCGCTCCTACATGTGTGATTCTGTGAAATGCAGGGCCTCAGGTGCCCTTGCCACACCATAAAACAACCTTTTTTATGAACACTCATGGTTCAGTGCCAATACCGGTAGTCTTTTCGATCAAATTCAAAAAGCCCCGGTATGCCGGTAGTGACCGTAGTTTCCCGGTATAATACCGGGAAAACCGGTATGGTTGGCAAGTACTTCAAGTATGAGATAGCATCATTTCGATGTTCCTTTGGTGTGGTGTGAATACAGCTGAAATACATCACACGGGTTACCCTATCGTTTTTACGTAGAGCCGCCTGCTGGCATTTTCTTAATTAGCAGAGTACACCACTGGCATATCTTTGCTGAGTCAATGAAAACCAACCTGACTGTGTTGTCGCCGGACGCTGCATGACATCACTGAACATACTCAGCAGCTGTGCAGTGGGACACAGTGCTGGTTTATTCATTTAGCCATACATGTAGTTCACGTGTTGCAATTGTAGGTAGGCATGCTACCCTGATAAGCTGCACCTGGTCAGTGTTTGAGAGAAAAGTGCACGGAAACATCTCCTGTTTTTTTGTTTTGTTTTGTACGACTAGGTGACAGAGCATCAGAAGATCCATTGCCGAAGCTTGATCTGGCACATGCTGTACCTCTTCGCAAACAACAAGGGTATGTGTACATGTATACGCTGTTCGCTTTAGCATTTATAAGTTAGGGGTTTCTCATTATGGTATGGGCATATGCAATCCTGGGTGAAGGAACACTGATTTTTAGGTGTAGCCATATATGTATATTGCACAGAGGGTTTTTCCAATTTCCCATTGTGTATGTGCGTGTGCGCGCGCGCGTGTGTGTGTGTGTGTGTGTGGTGTGTGTGTGTGTGTGTGTGTGTGCATGTGTGTGCATGTGTGTGTGCGTGTGCGCGAGCGTGCGTTTGTGTGCACGTGTGTGTATTTCTTCAGATTCCTCACGATGGTTGGGCAAGTGCTGACCCACTTGCGCAGTGTGATCACTCCGTTCTTGCCCTCTCTGCTGCACACCATCCTGTGTGTAACATCATGGGTGGGAAAGCTTCTACGCCTGTGCCATGCCCAGGCAGCCCCTGGGTCGGCAGTGCCAGCAGAGGACATGGTTGACATTAGAATGCTGTCATTGCTGCGGACACTGCGACAACTGGGACTGGCCAGGCTGACAGAGGTGAGCCCAGTTCAATGCTGCCCTTGGAAAATCTCTTCTCTCAGGGCAGACTAGTAAAAGGAGTTCAAGTCGGATCATGCCGTAAAGCAGCCGGTTTGCTTTGTAGCCGGGATGCCAACCTGTTTCTCTGTGTGTACTACTCTTGTGTGGTCTGACTGTATGTGCGCTTGCTTGACGACTTCTTTCTGCGCTGAACTCTGCTACGTGTGTCTGTGCGTGTGTTCGTGTGTTGCAGTTGTTTGATGCCTTTCCAACGTTTGACTTTGAGCCGTTCATGAAGAACATCCTGGAGGTAGCTGTCTGGCCACAGGTATGATAACGTTACGTCCCGAAAAGGTTGAGTGTCCCTAGTAAGGTCTTGTGACGGACATGTGCTTAGACGTAGTATGGTCAAATTTAGAGTGTATTTAGACAGGGTAAGGGTGAAGCGTTCATACATTAGACAGAGCTAGAGAGCAGCAGTAGAGGCATGTGTGTCATCGTCCTGCATGTTGTACACACATCTGTGGATACTGGTGTTCTTTATTAGGACTAAATGAATGCATTAGGAGCAGAAAAGAGTCGTAGCTTTTTCCTCGTGTTGATATTAAATTAATTAACCCTTTTGAGTCCGCACATACAAAAATCGACCACTGGTGGTCGATGGACATGCATGCACTAAAATGTTCGTATCACACTCAAATCTTGACGGAATTCCGCAATCGAAGAACCTAGGAAGAAGCCAAAGAGCTCAGCGTTCCATTGCAACATTCGCTGAAGCGCTCGGACGTAGCATTCCTGAGGTATTGCGCTAGACATATCAGTCACGGCAAATGCGTGATTTTTTCCCGCATCGACCGACTTTGAGTGGGGATTTCCCCTTGACTGGTATGCTGATTCATCCCAGCACGCTTGGACCGCGTGGGCAGTACAGGAGCCAGTTGAAAAATATTTGACCGGCTTACGATGAGGGACACTGAAATGGCTGGCGGAGAGGGAATTGCTCGCATATCCAGCTCTGGGACTGCGTTGTGGCGCCGTAGCATTGGATATGTGGTATCTGCAGTGCTCAGTTGGGGCTTACTGTATAAGCAGAAAATTTCGTCGGTCAATAATTTCGTCCAACTCCAAAGAAAGGGAGTTCGTCCGGTTGTAAATTTCGTCCATGGATCATAAGAGTGTATGGAAAAGCTGGACAAATCAATATTAGTCCGGCATTTAATTTAGTCCAACAGCTCCTTGGACGAAAAAGACGAAATTAAATTCCAGATGAATATTTCTGCTTGTACAGTATTCTACTCTGCTCGCGGAGAGCTTTCCAGAATGCCCAAGATTGTGTAAATCGGATAACTAAAACTAAAGTTGTGCCAGAAATAAGGTACGAAATATTGCATAATCTGAATTTAATCTGAGTTGCCTGATGGTCGTAGTAATCTGAATTTAGGTGTTTATGGGCGGACTCTAAAGGGTTTATTGTAAGAATATTTCCTCACTTTGCAATTTTCGTTCATATCGCTGTGGGTTGAAGCAGGTGTGATAATTAAAGTTTACGTCCATTCTGTTTTGTTGTGTGAGATTCGTGAATGAAGTTTTGTTTGAGATTCGTGAATGAAGTTTTGTGTTAGATTCGTGAATGAAGTTTTGTTTGAGATTCGTGAATGAAGTTTTGTGTTAGATTCGTGAATGAAGTTTTGTTTGAGATTCGTGAATGAAGTTTTGTTTGAGATTCGTGAATGAAGTTTTGTTTGAGATTCGTGAATGAAGTTTTGTTTGAGATTCGTGAATGAAGTTTTGTTTGAGATTCGTGAATGAAGTTTTGTTTGAGATTCGTGAATGAAGTTTTGTTTGAGATTCGTGAATGAAGTTTTGTTTGAGATTCGTGAATGAAGTTTTGTTTGAGATTCGTGAATGAAGTTTTGTTTGAGATTCGTGAATGAAGTTTTGTTTGAGATTCGTGAATGAAGTTTTGTTTGAGATTCGTGAATGAAGTTTTGTGTTAGATTCGTGAATGAAGTTTTGTTTGAGATTCGTGAATGAAGTTTTGTTTGAGATTCGTGAATGAAGTTTTGTTTGAGATTCGTGAATGAAGTTTTGTTTGAGATTCGTGAATGAAGTTTTGTTTGAGATTCGTGAATGAAGTTTTGTTTGAGATTCGTGAATGAAGTTTTGTTTGAGATTCGTGAATGAAGTTTTGTTTGAGATTCGTGAATGAAGTTTTGTTTGAGATTCGCGAGTGAAGTTTTGTGTTAGATTCGTGAATGAAGTTTTGTTTGAGATTCGTGAATGAAGTTTTGTTTGAGATTCGTGAATGAAGTTTTGTTTGAGATTCGTGAATGAAGTTTTGTTTGAGATTCGTGAATGAAGTTTTGTTTGAGATTCGTGAATGAAGTTTTGTTTGAGATTCGTGAGTGAAGTTTTGTTTGAGATTCGTGAATGAAGTTTTGTTTGAGATTCGTGAATGAAGTTTTGTTTGAGATTCGTGAATGAAGTTTTGTTTGAGATTCGTGAATGAAGTTTTGTTTGAGATTCGTGAATGAAGTTTTGTTTGAGATTCGTGAATGAAGTTTTGTGTGAGATTCGTGAATGAAGTTTTGTTTGAGATTCGTGAATGAAGTTTTGTGTTAGATTCGTGAATGAAGTTTTGTGTGAGATTCGTGAATGAAGTTTTGTTTGAGATTCGTGAATGAAGTTTTGTTTGAGATTCGTGAATGAAGTTTTGTTTGAGATTCGTGAATGAAGTTTTGTTTGAGATTCGTGAATGAAGTTTTGTTTGAGATTCGTGAATGAAGTTTTGTTTGAGATTCGTGAATGAAGTTTTGTGTGAGATTCGTGAATGAAGTTTTGTTTGAGATTCGTGAATGAAGTTTTGTGTTAGATTCGTGAATGAAGTTTTGTTTGAGATTCGTGAATGAAGTTTTGTTTGAGATTCGTGAATGAAGTTTTGTTTGAGATTCGTGAATGAAGTTTTGTTTGAGATTCGTGAATGAAGTTTTGTGTTAGATTCGTGAATGAAGTTTTGTTTGAGATTCGTGAATGAAGCTTTGTTTGAGATTCGTGAATGAAGTTTTTTATTGAACAGGCCTGTAGGGAGTGCATCATGTTGTTGTGCTTGCAAGAACTGATATTGTGTGCCGTCTTGCTTGCTGATATCTATTCACAGCTGGGTGCTTTACCTACGGAGTGCCTGCAACATCCAACGCCACTGATGAAGTTGATGCTTGGCTGGAGTCAGCGCAAATGGTAAGGCAGGATTCTGCGTGTCCCCACGTCAGCTCCTGTACATATCCAGTATTGACGTGCTGGTGTTGTATGGAACAGTGTGCATGTCGTCACTCTACATAATCATTTGTGCTACCTCCGCTAGCCTAGCATGCTCCCCAGAGAAAAGAGTGCTTTAGAATTTCTTGCTTCGCATTGCACACTTTGAACTCGTGTGGATTGGTTGATGTTTGAAAGAGTGGATTTCTTCTGCTCTCCTTTGTTTTCCAGCTTTCTGAATTACTTTGCCAAACCGACGCCGGAGAGCATGGACAATGCCATGCTTCACTACGTGTTTGCGTGTCTTCGATCGTCCGCCGTCCGCCCGCCCGTGGTGCACGCCATCATGCAGCTGGTAGACAACCTGCTGAACAATGGCAACGATCAGCGGGACGCCGGCAGCAGCAGCGCCTCTCTGGAGCCATCGGCCAAGCGCCGAATGGTGGCCACCAGCGCCGAGACCACCTCGAGCCAGCGCACAGACATCTCTCACGAGCGTGGCAACGTGGCCGCATGTGCCGGAGGTGTTCCAGTACTGCAACATGCCAGCACAACTGGTGAGCAGCTTCTTCTACCTCATCTGCCTCTCATCTTGGAGCACCTTGGTTCACTTGTCGTCACTGGCAATTCAGCCAGTGGGGATGCATCGGCCTCGTCAAAGAAACCTGCTCAGAAAAAGGTCCCACTTCAGTATCTCACAACTCTATCCAGGTATGGCATGCTTGCTGCTGCTGCTGCTGCTGCTGTTCTTCTATACAGCATGCCTGTTGTGTGTGTGTGTGTTTCCACTTTCAAGGTGGACTTTGTGCTCGTGAGTGTGTGTGCGTGTGCCCGTGCATTCGTGTGTGTGTGTGCATGTGCCCGTGCATTTGTGTGTGTATGTGTGTGTGTGTGTGTGTGTGTGTGTGTGTGCGTGCGCGCGCGTGTTAATGTGAATGTGTATCGGCAAGAGTACATAACCCCCCAGAGTGTGCAACTCCCACATACCCTGTTGTCCGACAGAATTTAAAGTTGACGTCATTATTTATGACGCAATGCTCCTTGCAGCAGTGATTTACAACATGTGTACGGGTGTCAACGCATCACACGTTTTTCTTTGCAATAATTTGTACAGGATCGATCGGCTTCGGTCAACCACAGGTTCCGGATTCGTCTGATAATCCGTGTACAGTGCGCATTGCATCATCAAAATGACGTCAACTTGAAATTCTGTCGGGACAGCACCCATAGTGGAGTTGCACACTCTGGGGGGTTATGTACTCTTGGTATCGGTGTGGCCTATGCAATCCACATTTGAGTTGTCGTGTGCGCTAGTCGCTCACTAACATAGCATGCATTTCAAGTTTTGTGTTCTCCTACGGTACTGTTACTGTGTGCGTGGCTAGTTTCACTTATACTCCTGTTGTGTGATTGTTGGCAGGATGAGTGAGTTTGTGGAATCACCATCGCTATCGGAGAAGCTAGTCAAGGCGTTCTTGCCACTGGTGTCTAAATCACTTGTTCATGGGGTGAGTGAATGCTGTGTACTGTTTCTTTCAATTAGTAATAATGTAACTTGTTATATACTTGAAGTACATGCACAAATAGCGGCAGCTGTAGTGGTGCCTCTGACTTTGGACCTACTACTAAGTTAGTAGTAACCCATATTTGCTGCCGAATGTGAGGCCTACTGCAGGTGACACTGGACGTGACCTACTGTCTGATACATGTATAGGGTTGGTATTAGATAAATCCAGGAGCGATCACAGAATACACGACTGACGTTAAGAGAAGTCTATAGAAAAACTCCCCTAGACTAAAGAGGGTCAGAACCGGGTCTAAGACCTATACGGTTCAGATGGTCTCAATAGACCGGGGCTCTACCAACCGTGTAGATGGTTGTAGAAAGGTCACTGTTTCCGAATACGGTGTCCTCCACCTTGTTTCATGCTGTCAAACCAACAACATGTATAGGGTTGCAGTGGTGCAAGTTGTGCACCTCTAGTGGACCACTTCATGTGCATCCATGCACACGTACAGCCATGCTTGTAACGGTTCTAGGCTGTGTTGTGCACAGTGCGACTATGTCCATACAGTATGTTGAAGTGCCTTGCCCTTTTTGTGCATGCATGCTCATCTCTACTTGAACTGGTCTTGTTCTACACATAGGATGCACTCTCCAACGTCTTGTTGACCATAAGCCGTCTACTACAACGCGTCACTGATGTGGAGCAGTTTGTTGTGTAAGTTTCCGCTGGACATGTGTGTCCTGATGAAGTCAAAATAGCTTGCGTACGTTTGCTGCAAAATTGTTTACAGCCCTATGCGCGTCTGTTAGATGGGTGGTGATTGGTGGTATCATGCTTCACAGTATGTGCTGTGCAGGCTTGTTTGAATATGAATGTTGGACGTCAGGACGTCTATGAGCTCTTTTGCTTCGCTGTTCTTGCTTCTCTTCTTCTTTGCCAGTCCCCTGTCAAAGTTGTTTACCTCGGTCAAAGTTCGGTCTGCTCGTCAACATCTGTGTACAGCCCTTCAGGTATGCGAGAATGTTTCACACACTGCTTTTTTAAAACTATTTTGTCCCTACCTAGATTTGAATGGACAATCCAATCCCGGGAAAGGGGATTCAGCGCAGCAAAGACACATTTGTGCATGTCACCCGGTGTTTAGTCGAGCATGCATGCGCTGGGTGTACATGTACTACTTTCTCCGGAAACAAAACTTCATCATTTATTATTTATATCCTAAGGAGTTACTAGCCTCACTTGGAGTCACCATCGCTTGATTCCTTGGAGCTAAATTCACCAAGTTTCAGGACATACAACTTTTTCTTCTTTTTTCTTTCCTTTCTTGGTTCTTGCCATTCTGGTTACTAGTAATTGATTGTCCCGATAATTGATACTCTCCGCCCTGTCTCTTTTCTGTGCGCAGGTTGTCGGCTCTAAGTGTCCGCAATATGAGAAGACCGCAAGCATAGTGCAATTGGTAAGGTTTGTATATGGTGGTGTGCTTGCTTGTCAGTGCCAAGGTTGTTCTTCTCACATCGGGGTTGCGATAGCTAGGCAATTTCCTTTGATTTGGGGGGCTGTGGTTTGATATGTTCTTTTGCTTTCCATTGTTCTCTAGCTCAACGCATGGGATCCCAAACGGCTGGAAGAGCCTGATGTTGAGCGTCGTTTGGATGGCTTCAAGTTGTCAGTGGAGGTGCTGGAATCATCATCTGAGCCCGATGTCATCCTGGCTCTAATCTACAATGCATTGTTCACCATTCACCAGGTATGAATGAGTCTTCACTGCTGATTACCTAGCTCACAAGTTTTGGGAGTGTATTTTGCTGTTTACTGTGAAAGTGATGTATATGTAGGATGTGCATGCAAAGTAAATTGTGAAAGACAGCTGTATGCTGGTGACGCCATGGGACAATGATTGCAATATACGGGAATCAGTTGAATGTCACGCTCGTCTCTCTCTCTCTCTCTCTCTCTCTCTCTCTCTCTCTCTCTCTCTCTCTCTCTCTCTCTCTCTCTCTCTCTCTCTCGGCTTGTTGTTTTACTGTAGAAGGGCTGTGTAGTGAATTTTATTTGGTGTGGTGTGTATGTGCATGTGTGTGCGTGCGTGCGTGCGCGCACGTGTGTGTGTGTGTGTGTGTGTGTGTGTGTGCACGTGCTTGTATTTGCATGTGTATGTGCGTATGCATGTTTAGGATGATGAAACTGCCCTGAGAGATAGTGCCTGTTACACCATCCTTGCACTCATCAAGAAGTTGGCTATCGTCCTGGCAGGTCAGTTATCCTGGCAGTCAGTAATCCTTACCAGCAGCTATTTTCGGCTTGTGCTATGTCTGTGCGTGTCTGGTGCACACTGTATCAGGTGTTGGTTGTGTTAGAACGATATCGCCATTTCTAGTATCCTGGGCATTGCGTACACTCTGATACTGGGATTGAGTTTGAATTGGGATGTCGTGTTGAGTATTGTAGAAGTAGTGACTTTGCTGGATGTAGTTGATTGTGTTGGCTGCTCGCAACGACTACGTGGAGCTAACCCTTCCTGGCTCATTCCCGCCGGCTTGACTGATGCTTGATCAACTCATGATTGCTAGCCAGAACAGAAAAGGAGCGCGCCAAGCTAAACCTGCAAGTGAGCACCGCTCCCTGCTCGATGCACGTTGTTCCCGGGAATACACCCCCTCATCCGTTAGGAGCACTACTCTCTGATAGTGCATCTGCAGCACACACATCATGGGACATTCAAACTTACGGTGACGCTACAATTCCAGCGTGACGAACCCCTCAAGAGTAGCAGTGTGAGTCAGTGCTGCGAGAAACGGTCACTGAGTGCCGTTTGATGTCACCTCTAGTTGGCCGTGTACTGACCATGGGGACAGCAAAGCGAACTCAACACTTTGTTGCAGCGAGTTTGGGTGCAGTTGGCTGATCCCAATGTGATCTTGAGTACTAAAGATATTGATACTTATATGGTGGGTATTAAATGTGAATGTACTCACTTCAAGGTTTGTTCCTTGTGTGTGCCTGCTTTAGACACTGAGGGTGACAAGCATGCTGTTTGGAGCAAGAATATCTTGGCCATGGTGTTCCTGCCAGCTCTGCAGCAAGGTGTTCGCAGCAAGTCTGACGTAAGCGCGACGGGTTTACCTCGGTTGTCTGTGTAGTTCGTCAAGTTCGTCCTGAGCCTTGTGATGTGTAATCTGTGTATTCAGTATCGGCATCATCAGGGTGCAGCAGGCAACTACTCGGCTTGTCATGTGGTTTTTATGTTTTCCTGAAAACGATCTGCAGTGTGGATGTGCTTGTGGAGAAGTGCTTGCGAGCCATGGCGGAGTATTGTTGTTCCCCTATTTATTACTTTGTGGTATGTATGTATGTGTGTGTTTGTGTATGTATATGTGCCCAGGCTGTGCGCCATGAGTTTGTGGCCTTGCTGTCGGAGGCTGTGCGCTCCTTGTCCGTAGTGTGCCCTCGCCTGGCCAACCTGCAGTGTCTGCACAATGACGACTTGGATGTGGATTTCTTCGAGAATGTTCGCCACGTGCAGGTATGTCACTGCTTGGTGGTTTATTTTTAGGTTTTTTTGTTGTATTTTTGGCAGAACTTCAAATTTTAAAAGATCGGTCGGGGAAGTGAACTGCCTGAAAAGAGAAGAAAAATGCCAGACCCACCAGGACTCGAACCCGGGACCTTGATTTTTTTGTTGTACTTCAACATAATTCGTGTATAGTGCTTATACGGTATTGATGCAGGTGTGTACAAAATCGCCACATGAGAGAGTATGAACTTACTTGACCTTTGTGTTTCCCCTACTGATCCATCTGCCCGAAAATACTAAAATACCCTTGTAGGGGACCAACTATTCCTAGGACAGCTGTGTGTGTTCACTAGTGTAGTTTTTTAAAAGTCACTGCTCTGTCTCATGCCGGTTCATTCCAATCGCATGTGCGGTGTTGCGTTTTGTGTGCAGGTGTTCCATCGTACAAACGCTTTCCGATGGCTAGCGACCAAGCTGGATGAGGGTGCAGTGCCGCCCACGACCATCGCCAGCTTCATCCTGCCACTTGCCAGCCATTACCTGACCGTGTCTGGCTCTGATCACAACTTGGTGACGCAAGCTGTTGCCGTGCTTGCTGCCCTCGCCAAGCAGTCACCTTGGGCGCGCTACAAGTCATTGTTACAGCGCTACCTTCGCCTGCTCCTCAAGGGGTCCGATCAGCAGAAGATTCACATCCGGTGAGGAGGCAGGACAGCCAACACTATTATGTTGTGTCTTCTTGATTTATTGTCCGCTTTTTTCTTGATTTATTTTAAATGCACATGCTCCATGTAGCCACTGAGGGCTGATCCATGGTGGTTGTGCGAGTCGTATTTGTGTAAAAAGTACATAAAGGTGAAAGCAAAGGACATACATGTAGTGTATTCCTTGTTCTCGGCTTTCTGGTTGTTGTTTTCTCTCACTGAAATGGTGAGGCAATGTGTTTATGTAAGAAGTAAGGAGGCGCATGGATACGAGTTCTGAGTTACTGTCTACCATTGTACAGCTAGGCGAAAATCCACAAGACATCCAATTACCTGACACCTAGCTCCGCATCTCCAATGCGTAAACCAACTGTGGTGTAGGAGCTAGGTGCCGGGTCATCAAATGTCTCATTAATCTGTCAGTTTGTGCCTAGTTGTCGCACTTTCTGACTGAATCTTATCTGGTTAAAATGGTGGACAGTTACCCATAACTCGTATCCATGTGTCCTTTTGCATTTTAGTTTTTACATTTATTTTGGCCCGGTATTCGAGCTCAATGTGTTAATCTTGTCTTTTTTTCTCCATTTCTCTCTTCAGTGTGGTGGTTTCCATTCTGGAAAGTTTCCACTTTGATGTGAAGTCTATAGATCCAGCATTGTACACCGAGACAGATCCCACCACCGCATCAACAACTAGCACAGCGCAAGCTGGTACGTTGATGGATAGCACTCCCTGTGCTTTGTTTTCCTGAATGCACTTGTGGAGCATTTAATGAGTCCGCTGGCATGCTTGCATTTCCGCGTTACTTGTTGCATGCTCATAGCCCACCAGGCAGGCATACGTTTCTGCTTCCCTTTCTTTGTGTTTGTAAACTTCCTCTGTTGCTTGTGCTCATACACTGTACATGCTCAGGGAAAAGCGAGGTTGTGCAAGGCGAGGAGAGGATGGAAGTGGTGGAGAAGAGCAGCATGCCTGGGTCAGGGGAGCCGTCTACTGAACAAGATAAGTCTGTGGACGATGACGAGGCTACAACTGACACCACTGATGTTGCTGAGGATGATAAGGAAGACATAGATGATATGAAGGCCGCGGAAGTGGATGATGATGATGAAGACAGTAGCAGAATACAGGCAGTTGGTGAGAACATGGTAGACGAAGCAGTGCTTTTGCAGCGTAAAAATGATCTAGCTCGCCGAATATTCTCGTCTCTCCGCCGTGATATCATCCCGGAGCTCGATAACATCCTGGCGCGAAAGGTACATTCTATGCCTGATTGTCTGCTTGTTGGTTGTCTGAGCTTGTCATATCTAGCCCCCCCCCCCGCAGTACACCTGTGCACTAATCTACCTGCGTGTACAATTTCACTTACATGTACAGTCATGCACTTGTGTTCATCGTTTTAGATCCGGGTCTTGCAATCATCGAATGCACATGTCATGTGTTTTCCGAGGATTTGTGTGTGTACGGTGATGTATATGTGCGAAGTTGCGCTTGCAGAGTTGTTTAGATGAGACTAGGGAGGTTCGCTCTATGTAATTACGCATGAAAATAGCATAGGAAATGCATGTAACGTTCATACGTAAAAACCCGCACTGTTTTGGTTTCGCTCTCCTTGATTTCTCGAGGACTGCAAAGCATGTCTTGTTGCGTTGGAGACGTGTTGGCTGCGTACGCCGGTGCCCACATGTTGCTGCGTTCTCGATTGTTTTCCATGTGGTGTGTACATAGTGTTTCGTGTGGCTTGAACGTTGCCATGGGTAAATCCGGAAAATGAGAATAATTATTTTTGAAAGTCCTACGGAGGAGTGAACGTAGGAAAGCGCTTTCCAACGGAAATCCGTGGAGAGATTTACATATGAATGCTGCCCTCGCTCCCCGGCGCTTGCGACATACGGATTTTCATACGTAATTACGTAGAGCGAAACCTCTCTGATAGCACCGATTAGTACGGTACCTGTGGAGTGTGAATTCCCGTCTGGAAAGCTATCACATGCGAGAGTGGCCGGTGTGTGGTGCAGATCAGTGTAGCCTTGGCTGCATGCCACCCAGCAGAAGGATACAGGTGACTTGCCTTGAATGACCTCAATTCCTTTTTGGAAGAAATTAAAGTCTGATTGTCTTCTGGGCCATAGTTCTGGCAGACTGTGTTAATACATAATTGTACTCTCTTTATCTTTTTATCCATCCTGCTGTAGGCTGGTTCAGGTGCTGGTGGTTCCCATCACCTCAGTAACCAAGAGAGCAATAACGCCGACCTAATCGTCTGCATGCCTATAGCGCTGGCTGCCGTCAAGCTATTCCAGAAGCTACCGGAGGAAATCATGCACATGCGTCTGCCTGGGTGAGTTGTGCCTTGTGCATGCAACATTATGTGTCTCTTGCATATCACACTTATTATGCTCATGGCGCATTGAGATGCTGATGATTGGAATTTGCTATTGCAAGGAGCTTGTAGAAGTGGCACAACTCTGGAGCAAGCATGATCATTGACTGTTCTGCATCAGTTCTGTGCTCAAGGCTATAGGCTATAGGTACCAGGTGAAGTCTCCTGTTGGTGAGCACCATTCAGGCTATTCTCTGCATCCATTTCCTCTCTTGCACTCTCCCACTGTTTTTAACTGTTTCCGCTTTTTTTTGTGGTGTTTGCATATGCGATGCAGGCTTTTGCTGAAGGTGTGCAATGTGTTGCGGAGTCGCTCCAAGGAGGTGCGTGACACCGCCAAGCAATCTCTAGTCAAGATCTCCTGCTCACTGGGCCCGCGCTATCTGTCCTGGGTTATCAAGGAGTTGCGTGGTGCTCTGACTCGTGGCTATCAGGTAAGATGAGAGAGAGTGCACAGTGTGCGTTGCAGCTGGTTCGTCTTACGGACCGTTTTTGGAACGTCTGCCTTGTTGTCGTTGAACTGTGCATACTGCACTTTCTCGTGATGAGTATGTGTGCGCCCATTGGACAGTGTGTAAATATGAAAGGACAGTTATCTCGGACACTGAGCCAGTTATCTCTTCTATTATTGTTGGCTGCTGCATCATGATGGAAACCTCCCACGTCTTCGGATTGTGTCCACAAATACCATGACATTATATTTTACACGAAGAAAAGCCCACCTCAAAGGGTTACCCTGTTCTCCGCTGCGTCTTTATCCTTCAAGAGTGCGGGCACACTGCCTAAAGTGCAAATGGTTGCGTGTGTGTGTGTGTGCGTGGTTTTGTCCGTATTGGACAGTATTTGGCAATGATTGTGCACTGCTCTGTTTCTTCTCAAGGCTGCAGTGCAGTTTACATGCTGGTTTGTGTCTGTGTGTTGTGTCGGTGTGACGCTGTCCACTTTACTCTCAGCTTCATGTCCTGGGCCATGCACTTCACGCCGTCCTGGAAGCTATGGCGGACTCCATATCTCCTGGCGAAGTCGATGACAGCATTGTCAGTGTGATGCAGGTAATTTTCATGCACATAAATTTTATTGCAAGCCACAGAGAGGATGCCGAATACCCGGGTTCGACTACCAAACACCTTTGTTCTCCCTATGCAGAATACATTGCACGCATGTATAAAAACATGCGACTATGCATGTGGTCCATTGCTACCCTGAAATAAAAATAGCGGTATTTATTAAAGCCTACTTTTCATGCTATGCCATCTGTGAACTGATGCACATTTTGTATAGCTATACACAAACGTTCCCCGGTCGCCCATCTTTAGTTTGAAGCTGGCTACAACCCGGGAGGTGTTCGAGGGGGGGGGGGGGGTGATGGGGGAAGGAGGAAGGAGTACAGTAAGACCTTGCATAACCGCACACATCCGTTTTCAACAAAATATACAGATAGGCGAGGGAACCGGATAATCGAACACACACACTGTATGTATGCATGGCATATGCAATGCTGCCAAATAATTTTCGCCCAAAATCGGACACCCATCACCGCCAAGGCTGGCCACATGGTGCGAATTTTTCTCCTCGGCAAATTGTTTACAGAGAATTCAAAATATCGCCGAAAACACCATGAAAATCGCTCCGTTGCCATGGTAACCCCAGAGTTGTCATGAATTTTGTAATGATGAGTGTGGTCGCACACTAAAACTCTGTACAGACTGTCAGTGTACATGCCATCCAGCCTGATCCAAGCATGTTCCTTGTACTTCCACAGCCAAGCGCTAGCCTTTTTAGAAGCAAATGTACAGTGATGTGTGCCTTCAGTTGCGCTGAAAAGTGAAAGTACCGTAAAGTACCGTTGATCCGCCCCCTCTCTAATTCCCGCCCCCTGTCGATTTTCTCCTTGTGAAGCGACTTCGCCGTATACAACGAAATACGATGTTGAACCGACGCATGCACTGCTGTACACAATACTTGCCAATCCAGGATCAAAATGTGCACAATTCAGCACATTGAGTCTGATCCTCTACGTTGTTGTACATCGTACTGCACTTGACAGCCTTGATCTAATTCCCGCCCCCTGCCGAAAACCCAGCTGGGAAGCGACATGGCGTGGGGGCGGATCAACGGTACTTTACGGTACAGGACTTCTGCATATTATTATGTTTGTGGACGATGTAAATCTGGTCTGGGAATGAGGTCTGACGGTTCTGTGTATGTGATATCGTCCAAGCGGTTTTTAACTCCAGAACCATCTACATTGTATACAATTATTTTGTACATGATATTCATCAATTTTGATAGTCGGCGAGTGTACTGCTCCGTTGCCATGGTAACATGATTTTGGTAATATGTCCACTGAACGGGATATGGCATAAACCAAAGTGCCTGGGAAGAAGGAAATCAAGATCGTACTCACTAGGATCATTTCTATAGTACGTATCCCGTCTTTGTTCTCTAACAAAGACAACCGCATAAGTCATGATGATGACAAATAGCATCCTCTCTTGAGCAGGAAGCACACCAGTGCGACAGTTCCATTTGGAGCAAGAGCACTGATGATTGATGACTGTTCTGTGCTGGTCTTCTGATCAGTTTGGAGGGAGAGGCTGCTTTTTGAGTGACTTTTCTAATCAATCCGAAGACAGATCTAGAATTTTCTTTTCTGTTTCATTGTTTCTTTCCTTGTGAAAGGTTGTATCTGAGGATCTATTCGGTGAAGTTGCCTCTGAGAGACAAGTTGGAAAGATTGCAGACAAGGTTCCTGAAGCACGATCAACACGCAGTCGTCTCATTGTGCAGCTACTAGCTCGGTTTGTCGGCAGTGACGAGATTCAGTCCCTCCTACAGCCGATGCGTGATGTAGGTCTCATAAAATGCGAAATCATGATCACATTTCTGTAATGAAACTCCACTAGTACACACTAGCACATGGTTGTGGTGTTCTTTGGGAAGCACAAGAACAAAGAATGGTAGTGACATCAAGAGTACATCTACATCCCCACCCGAAAGCGTGCAACTTTATGTACTTACGACGCAAAGTGATCACCAGAGAGTTGTACCCAACGGAACGGAACGTTGCATACAACCCTTAAATTACTATATACAAGGTGCAGGCAATGTGCACATAATTGTGATATTGTGAAATTCTGCTGTCTCCGACTCGACTGCTGTTGCACTCTGGAGGGGAGGGAGAAGTGGTGCTCTTGGTGGCATGTACAATCTCAAGTCCACTCAGCCTAGTATGAGCCCATTGCACAATGACACCGTTTGTACCATCAACCCCCCACCACCACCACCACCACACACACACTCAACATTGCTGGGGAATTCTGTAGCTCACCGCCACCATTCTTGTTACTGGCTGGTATATGCAGGTATTGCGGACATCACAGAGCTTGAAAGCCGTTCATTGCATTGAGGAATGCTTGCGTCACATCAGTCTTGGCTTGCTATCAAACACCGGCCTGGAGACACCTGGCCTTCTGGTCATGATTCACAGCCTGTGTGTGGAGAACAACTCTGGCCTGGGAATGGTGGCCGGGAAGAACGAGTAAGTCTGTTCTGCATTGCCTTCTTGCTAAGTGTTCATGCACCGTCTGCGTGTTTGGAGATTTGCTACTGTTATGATGCTGGAAATGCTGGTTGTTGCTGGTAGAGATAGTTGTTTGCAATACTCTTATTGCGGACATCTAGCAGCATAACTGTGGGTGAAATGTATACCGTAGTGTCTTGTATTAAAGCCTGTCTCATATAGAAGCCTGTTTTGAATAGAAGCCTGATTTTCAAGATACACTGTCGGCACATAAGCCTGGTTTTAGTGTTGACATACACAGAAATACCTGTCTTTTATAGAAGCATGTGTCGTATAGAATAATAAAAGCCTGCAAAATTTCCCCAAAAAGTCATATAAGCCGCGGCTTCTATACACAACTTTACGGTATTTTGTTTATAGCAGCACTGTTTCCTCGGTTTAACTCCTCGCTTATTTTGTCTCTGGGTAGGATAAGATTATTGATTTCTTGAGATACATGCATTGCAACGGATACTTTGTTGCTGCTACCCCTGCTGCTACCCCTGCTGCTGCTGCTGCTGCTGCTGCTGCTGCTGCTGCTGCTGCTGCTGCTGCTGCTGCTGCTGCTGCTGCTGTTGTTGTTGTTGTTGTTGTTGTTGTTGTTGTTGTTGTTGTTGTTGTTGTTGTGGCTGCTGCTGTTGGTGTTGTTGTTGAAAATTCCTCTGTGTGTTCATTGGGGATGTGTGCTAAGGAGTTCCACGTTTCTGCCAGAGCCAAAAGAAGAGCAACGTCCTACTCGTCCAGAGCTCTACTCTGAGCTCCTGCTGCCAGCGGCTCCAGTGCGCGGTGGCAAAGCGCCGGGCATGAGCAAGCTGACCAACATGCACGTACTGCTGGAGTTTGCCCTTCAGGTAAGTCATTTCCAGTGAACAGATTTGGATTTTCCCAATCCTCATGAACAAGCCATACACCTTTTTTGTGATCCTTCGACTCTGTTTCTATAAGACGTGATCCGGTGTTGCTATCAGAGAAACACCCCAAGTTATTTTTAAAGCCCATATTCAGTCAGCATCACATTAGCTTTGGGTGGTCTTGTTTACCTGGGTACCTACCTGCCATAGGTGTGTTGACTTGTTACTATATTTTGTGCAGTATAGTAAAACCTGCCAATGCGACCACTCTGATAAGGCGGCCACCGGTCATGGTCTGCACTATCTCAGTATAATAATAATAATCATGTTGAGCGCACTCATGACAAATGAGCGGAGTAGAGGAGAAGGGTGGTTACTAGGTACTGTAGTAGTGGCTTTGTTCATTCTCGCTTTGCTTGTAATCTGGCAGGACGAGAAGACGAGTTCAAGTGATTACTTTGGTCAGTGTCTGGGTGAACGTACACGACAATGATTGCAGTGTGCGGTTGGCGTCTGGGTAAACGTACGTGACCGGAATTGCATTGTGCTGTTTTCACCTTTTTGTATTAGCTACTGCTGAGCTGCTTCAAGCGTGCCTCTATCAACACTGGAGACAAGGAAGTGTTGCAGATGCTGGATCCGCTGTGCTCTCTCCTGGCCAAGTTCCTCACCACGCAACATGTCAAGGTTTGTTTGGACACACTCTACATTGCATGTGGAGCACTTCCTCTGGAAAGGAAAAAGTCATGAATTTTTTTCCACCGCAATGACTCTGGTACAAAGCTAATATTTACAGTGGAATGAAGTCACGGGTTGCCAAATCTTCTTATCTAAGGACTGATGGAGTGTTCAAATTGAAGCATCGGACGTAGTTCTACCATCGCTCATTATTGTCATTGCTGAAAGTACGGAATAGGACAATTCTGTTTATCCTGCTCACCAAGGCACGACTCCCGTTTCTGTGTTTGTTGTAGTAGTGGACAGTGTACATATTATCTTTGTGGTCTCATGGTTGCTGCTGCTGTTCCTCTGTTCATCTGTCACAGCTCCTGTCACTCAGTCTGCGTGTACTGGTGCACTTACTGCCGTTATCCTTACCCAGAATGGAACGGTTTCTAAAGCCCATTAACAAGCAGCTCTTCAGAGTGCTGAGAGAGTACTCTGCAGCGGGTGCAGCTGTGGGCAACAACCATGAGATGATTGTAGCAGCAACAAAGGTAAGGGTTTGTTCATGCACAACTGTAGTATTTCCACTCAACTCTTTTGTTTACCCGACCCATGGCTAATTGTGTTGTATGTTTATCTTTTCACCTCCTTTCTTTCTTACGTCTGAAGACTCCGTTCTAGAGCATTCCTAATGGTCATGGATGTTCTGTAAGGTTGATGTTTTTGGTGTGTGTGTTATATACACAGAACAACAAAGGCACAGGGCTAGTTCGTTGAGTCCATGCTATGCAATCGTCTGGCAACATAAAGATGCTGTTAGATGCTCAAGAAAAAGATGCTCAGTATTTATGCAAGGAGAGCTGTGTGTATATATGCATGTGGGTGTGGGTACATGTGGATGTGACTGGGTATTTTTTGTCTGGTTCTCTGCTGTGTTGTAGGCGCTGGCAACAATCATTTATAATACACGCAAGTTGAATAACACTCAGTTACAGGTGAGGCCATGGGTCCATCGGGGACCAACATCACCCTTTGCCAGAATTCAATAGGATTTGACTCAGCATCCAGTGCAACCCGCATGTTAAGGATGAGGCTGATATATTGCCCTTTTCTTGGTGTAACTAGTAGTGCAGTGCCTGTACAGAATGTTATGTGCGGTATGAACGAAGGACCTGGTTTCTGGCACCCCGATGCGTTCTTATTTCTTACCCCAATTCCGATGGATGTGGCGGCGTGTGAGTTTGAGGCATCGGAGTGTCATTTTGTGCTGAGATGTTTCCTTGTTCCTCATGCACAGTTGCACCAGGTGAAATCCAATCCAAAGTCAAGTGCAAAGTTAATTATTGATTGTCTTCGATGTTTGGTTTTTCTTTGTGCTTTATCTGTGTGCACTTACTCGCCTGTCTGGATATACATGTAGATACTAATGAATTTTGTGGATGAGGACATAAACGATTCCTCCCGGAAAGGAACGGCCTTTCCTCTATTGAAGGTAAAGTTGGGAGCCCTTGTTTAATTGTTTTGTGGCTTGGTGCCAGTATATAAAAATGTGTTTGCCTAGTTTCGCCGTGTTCTTTCTGTCGCTTGCCTGGGAAGTGGGGTTCCCTGAGACTACAGTAGTATTAAAGTATCAGTGTATAATGTTTGAAAAGATAATCATAGAACTTCAGAAACTGGGATCCTCGTGTGCTCGAAGAGATTGTTGAAGAATCATAGTCTGGCTAGTGTGCACCCAGCCGTCCCTTTATGGACGATGGGTGGGACTTTTTCTCAAAACACACTACACGCGACACATGATTGGCTTCTTTAAAGGGGAAGTTAAGGCAAAAATTAAAATTTCACCAGTTGTAGTCTTCGGGGTGCTGAGTCGAATGGTCTTGGTCCGAGAAAGCTGAGACGCTCCCTTCCTACTTGAATCCCAATCGAACTCGCGCACTTCCACCGAAACTGGGTGACTGCGCCCTACTAGATGGGGATTTGTATGCAAAATGTCACTAAAAGCGCCATTTCGTTCTTATAAAAGCACGGATGACCGCGATTGGCCCATATGTTGTACTCTTTTGGACGCTGAGTCGACTGGTTTTGGTCCGAAAAGGCTGCGATGCAGCGTTCCTCCTTTATTCCCAATCGAACATGGTTGAACAAGCGGTCACGTGCTCCTGGGTGCCCAAATCACCTGGTCACCACGCCAGCAGGCGACAACTTTCACACCAAGGTTCAACTCGAGTTCAACTCGAGTGACAGGACTGCACCCAAAAAAGGTCAAACAGGCTAGTAAGTTGTACCCTGCAGGCACGGTGACCAGGTGACTGGTGTACGCAGGAGCACGTGACCACTTGTTCAACCATGTTCGATTGGGAATAAAGGTGGAACGCTGCATCGCAGCCTTTTCAGACCAAAATCAGTCGACTCAGCGTCCAAAAGACTACAACATATGGGCCAATCGCGGTCATCCATGCTTTTATAAGAACGAAATGGCGCTTTTAGTGACATTTTGCATACAAATCCCCATCTAGTAGGGCGCAGTCACCCAGTTTCGGTGGAAGTGCGCGAGTTCGATTGGGATTCAAGTAGGAAGGGAGTGTCTCAGCTTTCTCGGACCAAGACCATTCGACTCAGCACCCCGAAGACTACAACTGGTGAAATTTTTGCCTTAACTTCCCCTTTAAAATTCTTTTGCATCAAGCTCTATTGACGACATGCTCTTGAGAGTAATGGTACATGGTCACATTGGTGTCTGCAATGCTTCGTGTCTGCTGCTGCAGGCCATATTGTCACGCAAGTTTGAAGCCGCCATCATCCACGAGGTGATGAAAAAGGTCCGCGAGCTGATTGTAGCCGCCGATATTGAAACTGTGCAGCTCAATTGCCGACAGGTGAGAAAGCATCTCGCTCTATTGTGTATGCTTCTGTGCATATGGTCGTGATGCTGGTTGTGAGTAGTACTTTGACAGGTACAATCTGTACAGTGAAGCCTGTCCAAGCTGACCGCTCGAGGGACCTTACAAATGCGGTCCCCGTGTACAGGTGGTCTCCTTATCCAGGGTCATTTGGCTGGAAATCACATCCCTCGGTCCTGGTGGTAGTGGTCCTGTTGGCCAGGTGGTCGCCTTATCAGAGTGGTCACATTGACAGGTTTTACTGTACTTTGATGCTGTGCCTTTGTTGCAACCAGATTCTTTTTTGTAGTGCAAAGTTGCAAACTATATGAGTGGCTTCAATCGGGTGAAATGTTGCTAGGCACTATTTGTTACCTGGAACTGACACGCACGCAGGTTTGTCCATCCTAGCCTGTGATTTGAATATACTGCCTTCACCACTCTTCTGTACTTCCTGGTCTTATTTCTTCTGGTGTTCTGCAGGCTATGATGCAATATCTGCTTGACTACCCGCTTGGCAAGAAGAAAATCAGCGAACACGTGATGTTTTTCCTCGCGAATTTAAAGTAAGTGCAAGCAAGGTACACTCCCATTGTCCTGATTCTGCTCGATTGACCTTTGTAGTAGCAAAAATTCTCCCAGCTCTTACTTTTTCAAACTCAGGAAATGAAACCTTCATGGGCAACGAACCGCGCAGGGATGCGACACTTCTATTGTTTATTCCTTATCTCCTCTCCCGATTAGAGGGCCAACTTGTAGACAAGTCGCACATGTAGAAGTTTTTCTGCAGATCCCCTCGCGTCCTTGTCTACTCTGAATACACTCAACCGCAGTTATGCCGATATCAAACATCTGAAATCTGTCCAAAATCTTTGTTTTACATTCTGCCTTCCTTGCATGATTTGATTCCTTCACCGTGCGTCTCCCCTTTCTCCTCTCTCTCTCTCTCTCTCTCTCTCTCTCTCTCTCTCTCTCTCTCTCTCTCTCTCTCTCTCTCTCTCTCTCTCTCTCTCTCTCTCTCTCTCTCTCTCTCTCTCTCTCTCTCTCTTGCCTGTGTAGGTATGAGATGGAAAGTGGACGTGTGGCAGTCTTGGAAATGCTCAACCTGATAGCGACCAAGTTTCCAACAGCTGTTCTCACAGACAATGCCGATGTGTTCTTTGTGACCGTCTCGACTCGTATGGTCAGTGATGATTCGGCGCTGTGTCGCAAGCTTGCCGCCTTGGCTATCCAGTCATTGATAGAGAAGGTCAATAGCAAGAGAAAGGATTCCTTGTTTTCTGCTATTGAGACGATGCTGGCCAATCCCTCAAGTGAGGTAGGTTTTGGAGAGTGGTCATGCTTTGAAGTAGGTGTACATGCAGCAAATGCGTGCGGTCTGAAGATGTGCCGTTATTCGCCAGCTGTTGTTATGCCCGAGGTTGTTATTCACGAGGTTGACTGTGGCTGCTTTCACTCCCCCCCCCCCCCTTGAGATTTGAAAATACCGATAGTGATTCATCTAGCAGTTAGCAGCCTAACCTGGAGTGTGTCCAGAAACACCATCCGCTGTTCTACTAGTGATCTCATTTGATCCTACTGTTATCGGATGATGATGATGATGAGGATGCACTTTGTGTTCATTTTCCTCTCTTTTTTCATTCTAATTGAATTTTGATGTATTGCGTTTTGCTTGCCCGTACAAGAGGCTGTTCAAATGATGGTGATGATGATGATGATGATGTGTGTGTGTGTGTGTGTGTGTTGTTTTTCTGTATAGCTGCCACTCCAACGCATGTGTTTCCATGCTGCTGGAGTTTTTGTGACCGCGGAGGGTGCTTTGTTTGAGAGGCGCTTGGCCAAGTTTCTGCCATTGCTTCAGCAGGCATTGACTGCCCAGGTATGGTGTACATGTAGTAGTTGTGTTACAGGATGAACTACTACCCTTCCCAATGTTGTGTTGTCTGCTACCTCTCCTCTATGTGAGTAGGTTACGTCTTCAGTTAAAAAAAATGGCACGGTGACGATCAAACTGCAAGCAAGCCTTCAGTTGAGCTCTCATCCAGAACATGGTTTTTTAGGCAGCTGTGGCAGTCTTTTCTCATCGTATTCCCGTTGAGTGACGTTGTAGCTTTTTATGTGTGTCTGATTGTCTGGCTCCATCTGTGCGTGCGTGTTGCATGACTGTATGTTTGATGCAGGATGGCGATGATGACATGGATGGCTGTAAAGAAATCTCGGATGGAGTGGTTGAAGGAACAGACCGAGACGAGGTTATCTTCACTGCTCTGTGCTGTCTGACGAAAATCGTGACGAAGTCGCAACTACTCTCATCAGACAAACATATGGAGGCAATGAATTCGATCTGGGGTGAGTTTCCGGTCAGGAGTAACTTCAGAGTAGCGTCTGACATAGACATCTCTAGAATTACCAGAGTGTCACTCTTTCCCCCCCCCCCCCCCCCCTCCCTCACTCCACTCTCCCCCTAAGAAACAGTTTAGGAAGTACGTTTGATTTCACTTTGAATCTTATTTTGTGTTTTCGTGTTTGTGGGTTTGGTCCGTGTTTTAGGTGCCCTTCAAGAGTTGCTGCTTCATCCGCATGACTGGGTCCGGCTCTATGCTTGTCAGCTCTATGGCTACCTCTTTACAGAATGGCCGGCAGAGAAGCTGCTGGCTGGTGACTGTAGCGCAGCGCTGGGCCCAAGACAGAAGCGACGCCACGCCAGCCTTGAGCAGCGCTACCTGCTGTCCAATGCCCATGTGACTGTGTCGCAGCTGGCACGCTGCTTCATCTGGCAGCTCACCTCAGACAACCTCAAAGAGGACCTCTCGCGTCAGATCATCAAGAACCTTGTGTACATTGCCAAGGCGCTCTGTCTGCTGACCAGTGCTGATTCCAATGCTGCAGCAGAAACCCAGCGAGAAGATGACAATGACAAGGATGATGAGGCCGAAAGCAGTGATGAGGAGGCTGACAATGACAAGGATGATGACGGAGATAGCATGATGTCTGAAGATCAAATGAAGACGGTGGACATTGCATGGATGATAAAGAAGATGGTTCGCATCAGCAAGTATGAAGCAGGTCACCATCGGGAACAATCACTGAAGGTAAGCACCATGTTGCTCACCACATGTCTCTTGCTATTTTAATGGTATAATACTAATGGAATCGTAGTGGAGGCTGTGCAATGCAGACTTCTGTCTCTTTTTTTAATGTACCTCATCCTTTGCACTTGGAACTGCTCCTGCTGCTGCTGTTGTTGTAATAATTATATTGTTCTTTCAATGATCTATTAATTTTGTGTTGTTGGTGGTGCAGCGATCATGGGTGATCCGCTGGCTGGCAGCTCTAACGCACATCCTTCAGCAACATGGCGGTTTGGATATCCATCTAGCCAGCATGTTGTCACCAGTCTTGGTGCTTGTACATGACAAGAATAAACTCGCAGGTAAGCCAGCGATAGCCTTACCAGTGCTGGTACTCCTATCTTACCTGTGTATGCTTTGCACTCTGCCAGACTCTCCATAGTGTGGCATCTCGAGATGCCTCCAAATCGTGGACCGGTTGTTGGTTGTGTGTGTGTCTGTGTCTGTATGTGTGTGTGTGTGTGTGTGTGTGTGTGTGTGTGTGTGTGTGTGTGTGTGTGTGTGTGTGTGTGTGTGTGTGTGTGTGTGTGTGTGTGTGTGTGTGTGTGTGTGTGTGTGTGTGTGTGTGTGTGTGTGTGTGTGTGTGTGTGTGTGTGTGTGTGTGTGTGTCTCTCTCTCTCTCTCTCTCTTCTTTTTTTTAAAGCAAAACTCTCCCCAACGGCTAAAGAGTGCGCCCCCCCCCCCCCCCGTGAAAAAGTGCCACCCCCCCCTACTCATTTTCCGATTTTTGTGTTTTTTCGCGCCATTCAACGAAAATACAGTCGATAGTCACTACTAGAGGGTTCATAAAGGCACATTTGTGAGGGGTGAAGTCGGGGTTCACCCTGTATGTTGCATTTTGCATGGCAAGACAATTTTGGACAATGGAAAAAATGGGTCACGAGGTAACTTTTTCCCATGCCCGCCCCCTACTATATTGACCTGGCTAGAACCCTGTCATGGCTTGGTGCGACTCGTAATTCTATCATGCACATAGTGCATGCAGGGTCATGTATTCTATCACAGTGCTGACATTATTGATTTCCCAGCTTGCTGATAATAGCAAAGAAAAGGACCAAGAATCTACAAGTTACGCTATGATGACTATCGCCATCACCAGTGCTATAAATTAATCCTTGGCTCTCCATCCGAGTCTACCCTTGCTGATAATTGTTTTTTGCCTTGTGCTGTGTTATTTCCCTGGTTTCAGGTGCAGAGCTCTACACACTAGCTGAGAGTGTGCTACAGGAAATGCGTACCAAGAGTGGTCATGAGACCTTCAGCACTGCCAGCATGCAGGCAGAACGCGCCATCCGAGAGAAGCGTGACAAACGCCGACAGCAGCGGCTGTTGGAGGTTAGTTGACGTGTGTTGTCGGGTTGTTGTTTTTTGTTTTTTGTTTTTTTTTCTTCACCAGATACACGGGCATTTCTGCCTTCTCGTCTAACCATGCAGCTAGACTCTCAATAAAAGATGGGTCCACTTGCTCCTAGTTCTGCACCATCATACGTGTAATGTACTCACCTCACCCAACTGGGCACGGATTTCCCTCTGGTGAAGCAACGGAAATGATCTGGAGAAAAATTGTCATTCCAGCATTGCCTTTCCCTGGAGAGTCATGTATAATGCACAGTCAATGTTTACAATGTGATCTGTGATAGGGGTCAGGAGTACGCCACATAAGTGGAGTACAGTTTCGGAGGAGGTTCACGCGGGCTGCACGTACTATGTGCCTGCATATAGATATCGCAGAATCGCGAAGTTACGTCAAGCGTGTACAGCCTGCTTGTTGAGAGGCAGTTACTCATTCGGACGCACAGTACACTTGCCAGCACCATAACTTTTACCCTTGTGATGGTGAGTTCTACTTTCTGTTTCTTTTTTTCTCATTTCTGCAGAATGTTGCCAACCCAGCACGTGCAGCGCAGCGCAAAATCAAGCTTAATGCTGCCAAGAAAGAAGCAAAGAAAAGAAAGCTGAAAGAGGAGCGGATAGCTGCCAAAACTCTCCGACGCAAAAAGAAATACAAGAAGTAGATCCTGGATACGACGCACACTAGTGGCATGAGCTGCTGCTTTTGTTTTGAGATGCTCCTCTTTATTTTGGCATGGGTGTGTGAGTGCAAAGTCTTCTTCTTTTCTTCTTCATCTCCTGAACTGACTCCCTCAGTACAGTTCTTTCTGTTCCAGAGGCTCTTCTCCATAATCCCTTATTAGTAATGAGACTAAAAACAGCTTTATTCCCATAGCTATGCAAAAGACGTTACTTCAGTAACGTCTGGCGCTAGCCAGGGCCCACGCAGCTTCAATTCCCGTAGCTATGCGAAAGTGAAGTAACGCCTGGCATCAAGGTGTGTGTTTGTTTGTTTGTTTGTGCCGTCGGCATGCCTGGCGCTTTCCCGTACCTGTCACGTACCGTACCGATACGGTGTTGTACAGTATAAGGATGTCGTCTAGCATGTCGTACAACAGTACGATGAAATTGTGGGAGGATCCAGCGACCGCTTGGGAACGATGAACATTACAACAGTCAGTGAGTGATAGCAAGAGTACATATGTACTCTCGGTGATATTCAGGCCAAGTTTCTGAAGATCAGTAGCGAGTGCTATCCCGAGCATTATGTTAGCATTACGAAAGCATAGACAGGATGCGTATTATAGGAGACCCAAGTTGCTGAAGACCAGTAGTCATTGCTGGTAACGTGCAGAAAAACTAAATCCGCTGCCTCTTTTGTCGTCGGACAGGATGCGTATTATAGGAGACGGTAAAGTTATGTAATGTGCTGCACAGGCAACCATGCATTCGGCCGTCAGCAACAGTTAAGTACAAGCACACTATCAAGGCAAGGACATTATTGTATTATTGTATTATTGTATTGTATCGTATTGTATGGAATATAATTTTACCTCATTGGGCCTACAAAAAGGCCAGAAAATCCGATTATAAGGAGCTAAAAGGAAAAGAGGGAGCAAACCAAAAGTGGATGAAGTGAGAGAAAATAACAATCCCCAATAAACTCTGCAATTACTTTTGTGTCTTTCCCTCAAACTAGTCAAGAATTACTTTCCCTAACTATTATTCAAACTGATTGAAACGTTTTTGCAATACAATCATGTAGCCAATCAATGGAAAAAACATTAAATTTTCCATCAGTTCTCTAGTAATAACATGCATGATGAGCTAGGCAAAAAAGCATAGCGTAGGGTCCTGAGCTTCCAAGCTCTCTCGTTTTGGACAGTTTTTTTTTCTCTGAACTGACTTCCTCAGTTCAGTTCCATCTGCTTCAGAGGCGTTTGTGTCTTTCCCTCAAACTAGTCAAGAATTACTTTTGCCTAACTATTATTCAAACTGATTGAAACGTTTTTGCAATACAATCATGTAGCCAATCAATGGAAAAAACATTTCCATCAGTTCTAATAACATGCATGATGAGCTAGGCAAAAAAGCATTGCGTAGGGTCCTGAGCTTCCAAGCTCTCTCGTTTTGGACAGTTCATTTTTTCTCTGAACTGACTCCCTCAGTTCAGTTCTATCTGCTTGAATTCAGAGGCTCCTCTCCATAACACCTGATTATTTTTAAAAAAAATGACAGCTTTTCATAACAACTTTTAATAGAAGTTTAACTCGGATGGTGAGCCAATTCTATGATCTGTATAAGATCTGGTTACGTTGGTGGACAGTTAGTTAGTCATAACTCGTAACATTTTGTCCTCCTTTTTCATCGAAGTGGTGAAGTGTAACGCAATCATGTTGATCCGCACGTGCCGGGTTAGACACCACCGCACAGAATGGAAACAGGGTGGAATGTCACGGCTACCGCTGTGGAGTAGTTATGATCATGAAGACTCGGGAAGGAAAAGGACAAAAATGTTACGAGTTATGACAAACTGTCCACCAACGTAACCAGATCTTATACTAATTTTTCCTTTCTTCATCATAACTATATTGGCTCACCATCCGAGTTCAGCAATGGAGTAGAGTGAGCATTGCCATTGAGACTACGTGTGTACCTGGGGGAAGGGGATGCTGACCTACATGTTTTTTTGAAAATCCGGTAGATTTCAAGTATAAAATTTCCGGTATACCGGGATGAAAGCAACAAAACAAACACAAAGGATTTTTGAAGTCCGATTAAAAATTGGAGGCGTATCCAATTTCGAAAGAAAAGGTGTCAGCACCAACGTAATCCACACAGTCAAGTAAGCCGATTTGGTAACCGAACGTTTTCGTTCCCTTCTCATCATGGGTATTATTATTACATGTAGGCGCATTTTCGCGTTGAAGTCGACCGATAGTTCCACTTCTTCGCTTGTACTGGACAACGAAGGCAGGAGGATAACAAAATGATATGCTGTGGAAAAAAGGTCAAACGATCACTGTATCAGAACCAAAACAGTACAAATCAGAAGAAAAGGGGCAAAAGAACCGCAGAAGTTTAAAGTCAGTGGTGCCTGAACAATGAAGTAGAGAGCGTTGAGTGATGGTGTGGTGAACAGCAACAAAGACACCATTCAAACACACAATGTTGCATGTACATAATCATTGAGAATAATTCAGATATTGCAGTGTCATCCGTCCCTTGCAGATCCTTTTCTGTTACCCGTTGACACAGAGCTCGCCACTCGGCCCGATCCGCAGCAATTTTCCTGATTCTGTGCAAGTCCTCCAGACTACTCAGCTTTCCGGCATCTGCTGCCTCCAAGTCAGCAGATATTGTACCCGGCAGGCTGGTCCTCGGTCGTCCTCTCCAGCCCTTGGGATCTTTGCTGGTGTAGTAGCTGACCATCGCCTGGACGGCTGGTTTGCTATCGGACAGGCGGAGGACATGTCCGAATAGCTTCCGTCGCAACATCTTGATGGTGTGGCTGATCGGCTGGCTTTCGCATCGAGCGTATACTGAGTGCGTTGTTCGACATTGTCTGAGGCCACCTGATGCCTATTATAAGCAAGAGTTTATGTACTCTTGCTATAAGTATAAGCGACCTCAGTTGACGCCGATGGAAAGAGTCCAGTCGCTCCTGAGCTGTCTTGGTAACCGCCCACGTACCAGATTTGTACAGCAGTACAGGGATGATGAAGGCTTGGTATAGCCGTAGGCGAAGCTTTTCGCTGACCTGCTGGCCTCGTTTCCAGAGGTTCCACAGGCCACGGAAGGCAGCTATCACCAGTTGCTTCCTCCTCAGCACATCCTCGTCATCACCAATCAGACTTCCAAGTTTTCGTGTTGATCTCCACTCTTCTTTGTTGCGATCACATTGAGTCTGGTGATTTCTGTGTACTCCGTTTTGTCATGATTCATGTTGAGCGACCATTGCACCAGGGTGGAACTCGCCGTAGCTTCTAGCTGAGAGAGCCACCGCCGACTGGTGCTTACAAAATCTGTGTCATCAGATTAGCTCAAACGGCAGGTGAAGATCAGCATGGGGTCTGGGAGCTGCTTCCTTTCTCAGTTGCCGTAACCAGGTAACGCTGCTTCCAGGTACAGTAGGTATCGGTTATAGCGTGGGTGTTCATGGTGTTTGAAAACGACCAGGGAGTCGTAAAATATCTTTACGACTCCCTGAAAACGACATTTTGATTCTTATTGCCGATATTTCTTACACACGGTAAATCACGTGTGACATATCATTGTTCCTTTGGGGCCCCAGCTTTGTGCATTTGTCACCATGAGTTTCGCCAGCAATTATCGACATACTGTAAATATACAAAATTTCGGCGCTGCAAAATTTCGGCACTTCACGATTTTTGACATTTCGGCGGCGATTTATTTTCGGCGTGGGGTAGAGGGCATGGCATTGCGACAGATGCTGTGAAAAATTTCATCGGCGTTTTAATTATTTAGGCGTTTTGGGTCGGTGCCGAATATAGCCGAAATTAAAGGGGAAGTTAAAGGGGAAGTCCGGTGAAAAATTTAAATTTCAGGTTCGGTAGAGTTTCGGGCGCTGAGTCGAATGGTGTTGGTCCCACGTGTCTCCGACAAAGCGTTCTCGAGATATTTCCGTTTGAAAAACTGAGTTTCGGGGGCTGCGCCATGACGTCATGCGGCCGCGCCACACCCTCTGCAACGTCATAGCGTGCAGCTAGGTCAAAAGGAGTGCGTGAAAGCAATAGTGTCAGTGCTATTTCAAATGATTTGGCGACAGATAGTTTGGTGCAAGCGACCCCGAAGACCTGTAACTCCTTGTGAGAGTGAGGATGCAGCCATGGCTGACCTTCATGAGTTCGGTCTGGGGCTGAGAACCTCGGTATTCAGCTGAAGAAATGGCCACGCGGGCCGGTCAAGAGTGAGCGCTACTGAGTTTCCGACTGATGAAGAAGCAGCAGCTATTGCAGACGAGGCTGATCAGATCGCTGGAGAGCAGGGTCGCCAAAATGGAGAAGAGTGATGCGAGTGCTCTAAATGTTGTTCCATACCGATTAGATTCGCTTAGACTCCAGTAGCCTGCCACATGGTGATGTTTTGGTGCGAACTAACTTACTTGGAATATTTCGGACTACTCAATTGGAGAACAGTGCAGGCTCTTTGAACCACGGGCACGACTCTTCGCTCGCAACGCTATGGAATCTGAAAGTTCTAGGTCCGGGAGCTGTTCGCTGTTTTGTCACTTGTCACGGTTGTGCACTCATCGCTGTAACAGAAAATAATGAGGCGGGTGCGGAAAACTAAAATTTTCTTTCTCAAAGCACAACCACCGGCACCGGCAAGGAGAAACGCACGTTCTCTGACTACATCATACATGACTGAACAATACGACTGATACGAGTGTACATGACAAGTCCGTGTGTTGACTAGTTTTCTGAGTCTTGTGTCAGTTGTGACTCAAGTCTTGTACAAGTCATACTACCCCAGAACGGCAGTGCGGGAGTAGTTCCGTCTGTGATGAGTTTGTTGACTGCACTACAGCTAGATAACACACTGCACGCACTGCATGCACGCAGCGCAGAGCGCGTAGAGGCTGACGGAAAAGTCCAACTCGGAAACGGCTATAATACGGTATAACCTCCAGGTTTACCGAGCTGAAAATCACAGGGTACGTAGTGTTTGTAACACTGAATCGAATGGTCTTGGTCCGAAGAAGCTGCGACAAACGGCTCCCCAATCGAACGCGCTCCGAATATGGCCATTTTTGTACACAACTAGATGGTGTGGCTACCTGGCTGCACGCTGTGACGTCATCACCTGGATCTGGGTGATGTGCGCTCAAATTCGCACATGTTCGATTGGGCGTATCTGACGAACCATAAGCCGCAGCCTCCTCGGACAAAGACCATTCGACTCAGCGACCCGAACTCTACGGACTGTGAAATTTAAATTTTTCACCGGACTTCCCCTTTAATGCCAAGTCAGGATCATGTGATGCACACCTGCACTGCTACGTCACGTGTCAATGCATTGTGAACAATACTCGAGTCAATACCATTACATTTTTGTATACTATTTTGTCCCATCAAGAAGTAACACTATTAGTGGAGTGCCTGGTAAGTGTGCCGGTCCACCTAACCATGTACATGTACGAGGCCATGCCAGGGATACTCCTCTCTGGCATGGTATGCATGATCCAACCCGCCTAGCGCCTGACATGATTGATGTATGATGGATGATGACAATGCAGCCAGGCCCAAGGCCAAGAAATACATGTCTGGTCTAGGCCGGTCTGGAGCCAGTGGAGGCGTGTCAGGGGTATGGCCATTGGCATTGTCTGCATAGCAGGGATCTAGGGCGATGTAAACTAATGACTATGTGCTTGACGTGTAAATACATGACATGATGTCGGTCTACTTGGCTAAACTCTTTGTCCTTGACAGTACTGAGTAGTGTCATATCACGGTGGTATGTAACTACTACAACTACCAAGAGGCAAGAGTCCATAACCCAGGTTATGGACTCTTGGTACTACTAGTACTAGTAGTCTACAGTAGTGGACTACTACTCCAGTACTAGTAGACCGGTACTTGCACACGGCTAATGAAGCCTATCCTTTCGTTTCGGTCTGTGGGCGGTCTGTTCACTCGTGCAACCGGTGTCGGTGAGCTCGGAGGTGAGGAACTAAACGATTTGGAGGAACTCATACGTAGGTCTACTGGTAACATAATTATTATTACATACACACAAGAGTGCATAAACACTGCACTCTTGATACACACAATAAAACACTGGAAAGGTAGTAGGCGCTACATAATGTCGCGGGCCCAGACCCCAGGCGCCAAGGCATATGCACATACATGTACAAACAAAAAAACATGTACCGGTAATCATTTGCGTGGCCGCGCCGGTGATGATTATTTTTTTAGAGTTTTTACATACACGCAAAATCTTCTGTCTGTAGCTGTGTGATTCACACAGACAGATTAATAAATTAGATGATTTTGCGTGTGTAAAACCCTAAAAAAATAATATACATGAAAATCAAAATCAAAATAAAGAAAACCCTAAAAACGAATTACGCAACCTCGCGAACACGAATCACGAATTCACGATCGCCGCACAAGCGATGACGACATGCGGGTGAGACAAGTGTCTGTGTGCATTTACGCTGTAGATCTACGTGGTTGTCAAGAAGATCAACCAAAGCAACGAATACAGTCACTGGTCACAACTCTCTCAAATCAGCACACTCAGAGTTTTGTTTCTGAACACTGTCGGCTTGTTTTGTTCTTCTCCATCATGGTAAGTATCATTCTCGTGGAGGTAGTGGCGACATTTCCGAATGGGTTGGATTCAGCTGTTGCTGCATTTTGCTTGTCGTTCCTGCGATCCAGACAACGTATACGGATAAGGGACCGAAGGTAATTTTGGGACTTATTCCATTGTTTCTGCTAGATAGGTGTAGACATGTAATACATTTGCTGTGAGAGTGTAATCCTGCCTTGAAGACTGTGCAGTTCTGTTGAGATTCTTCGATTTATTGGACAGTTTTTGAATGGGTACGTCGTACTCGTAGTAAAATAGGCACGTGTGTCGTACATAGGATGGTTTTTTTTAATCTCTTCGCCAGTAATTATTGTGTTGAGCACATTTTGTCCCACGAATTTGCAACATGTGAACCACAACATGTTGCTTATGTTGTGGCAGCCGACAGCTATGACTTTTGGAAATGCATGGTACTGGATGCTAGGTTCGTGACGTCAGGGCCTGTTCACCTTGTATGAGCCCTACAATTTGTAGTGTCAATAGCATGTCTTTTGTTTGCCTTGTGCGCATACCAAGAAGTATCCTCTGAAACATGGTACATGTGCTGCTGGATGTTTCATTGGTGATGCATACAGCCATAGTTTTGATAGTATTGAATACAATGTGTGCGTCGGAACTCAAACTTACACTTATTTTTTAAGCAATTATTTTCTCATAGTAAGTCCAATTGGGTGAACCCACCCATTCCAAAATACTCTGCAAATTCCGAACCATTCCATTATACAACGTTTCGGCCAATGGCCTTCTTCAGGTAGTCAATGATGTCCCTGAGGCTGCAAACGGGCGGTTTAAATATGTGCCTGTTCCGCCCGAAGCGCGCGATCTATTCTGCTAACGGGTATTTTCTCATAATAACAATAAAGAGAACACATTCTGCTGTCATCGCCACACTACAACGAAGTCATGAAAGTTTACCAAAATCACAAGAAGATCGATTTTGGTAAACTTTCAAGACTTCGTTGTAGTGTGGCGATGACAGCAGAATTTGTCCTCTTTATTGCTATTATAAAATTGTTGTCTCCACGTCGATTATTTTAATTATTTTCTCGATAGCAATATTCTCAATAGCAATATTCTTAATACCACTATAATTATAATAATACTTCTATAATTATAATAATACTATAATTCTGAAGAAACCACTATATAAGTGAACAAGCGCTTCGGAGACAGCAGTTTTAATATAGCTACTAATGTACCTTTCGTTGTGTGCCTTGCGATAATCGTACAACATTTTACGCATACATGTCGACATATATGAAATGCTTACTGTGCAATTAATTGTCTTTGTAGCTATATTAAAGGGGAAGTTAAGGCAAAAATTAAAATTTCACCAATTGTAGTCTTCGGGTCTTGGGATTCAAGTGGGAAGGGAGCGTCTCAGCTTTCTCGGACCAAGACCATTCGACTCAGCACCCCGAAGACTACAACTGGAAATTTTAATTTTTGCCTTAACTTCCCCTTTAATATAGCTATATCTCCATTGTAATAGTTTATGCAGTAAGTACTGCAAAGAAAAAAATCTCTATAAACTAATACCAGAAACACTAATATTCTAAAGCTAGCACTATAAAGGCGTTATTACATGGGGAGCAAGCGGAGCAGTGTGACAGCATGTGCAAATTGGAGAAGTGTGATAGCATGTGCAAATTGGAGAAGTGTGATAGCATGTGCAAATATTGGAGAAGTGTGATAGCATGTGCAAATATTGGAGAAGTGTGATAGCATGTGCAAATTGGAGAAGTGTGATAGCATGTGCAAATTGGAGAAGTGTGATAGCATGTGCAAATTGGAGAAGTGTGATAGCATGTGCAAATTGGAGAAGTGTGATAGCATGTGCAAATATTGGAGAAGTGTGATAGCATGTGCAAATATTGGAGAAGTGTGATAGCATGTGCAAATTGGAGAAGTGTGATAGCATGTGCAAATTGGAGAAGTGTGATAGCATGTGCAAATTGGAGAAGTGTGATAGCATGTGCAAATTGGAGAAGTGTGATAGCATGTGCAAATTGGAGAAGTGTGATAGCATGTGCAAATTGGAGAAGTGTGATAGCATGTGCAAATTGGAGAAGTGTGATAGCATGTGCAAATTGGAGAAGTGCAGGTGAGAAAGGTACATGTACTGTAAAAGCCATGCCTGTATAACGAATTGCTAATTCTAACGGGTTAACGAGGAGAAATCTGTCGTTAACGCTGAGAATGAGTGACACTCGTTGCCTTTGGTACACGTAAACCAGTCAATTTTGGGAAATCGTTATATATGCGCCTCGTTAGAATAATGGCTTTTACAGTATGTGAGTGGGTATATGGGTTTTGGTATGTTAAGTGAAGAGTGTGATAACGCCTTTATTAGTGCTAGTGTCATGACCCGGACTCGACTCGTCGTGAAAGCGACCACGCAATGAGATTCAGCAGCCAAAAGCTGGGCTCCGAAATATTCTAGAGTTCGGTAAGAACCATGATTAATCCCGCGAAGGATTTGGCACTTTCGTTAGTTGAGCAATCATGGCTTACAACTCGTGGCCTCGAGTCACAAGTGTTGTCGTACGGCGGCTACACCTTCAGTACAAGTCGTCAGCATTGTACTCACTACACTGTTGAGCTTGAGGGGACCCTGCTTAGTCCTGCAAGGGAGCTGATACCTTTGTTAGTCGAGCAAGCAAGGCCCCTCTTCTCGCGTCATACGACGTTAAGGGTCCTGCAAGTGCTTCGCGCACTGCGGACTCCGTTATCCCTATTTGGGAGAGGTCGCGGCTTGACCGTGAAGCGCCCTACGGGGTAATGAGAGGGAAGAGCCTACGGGGCAGAAGATGAAGGGTGACCCAATCAAGACACCGTACGAAGGCGGCGCGCTCTAGCTGCAGCAACATCCGACGGCGTACTCCAGGCTCCGTCGCACGATCGACGTACGAATAACCTCGGAGATCACTCATATTTGTAACACTATCATGTAATGTGGGTGAGCGAGCTCCCCGAAGCTATACTAAATATTTCCTACTAATTATTATATCACAATTATACTATAACCAAAATCACATAAAAGCCGCCTTCTTCCAACGAATAAAAGTATCTTTGATCGCTCCCCTTCAACCTTCGACTACCTTGTGTGAGCCGGAAAACAGGTGTGAGCTAGCAACTTGGATGGCGACTATATTGGTCGTCTACCTGGGTAGCCACTAGACTGATCGAAGCATTTGTGAACGCTACAGGGAACCCAAGGCAGACTTGGCGTGTATTGAATCAGCTGAGCGGACGGCAGCCAGTCCACACTCTTCCCAAATGCTCCCCGGATGACATTGGTAATGTGTTTGCAGGCATTGTCAATGATCCTCAACGTCCCCCAGCCTTGACTCTACCTCAAGGCCCCATGTCTCCGAACAGCCTTTCAATCTTTAAGCCTGTTACCATTGCCCGTGTGCGTAAGCTCCTATCGTCAATAGCCATGACAAAAGCTACTGGCAGTGATGGCTTGCCCGGAACGATTCTTAAATCATGCGCTGACCTTCTTGCACCCTCACTGATGCTCATCTTCAACAAATCATTGTCCGAAGGCCAGCTGCCACCAAACATGAAAATCGCCAACATCACTCCCGTCTACAAAGGTGGTGACCCCAGTCAACCCACCAACTATAGACCTGTCTCTTTGCTCCCTATAGTCTCCAAGCTGCTTGAGCGTATCGTCCATGAGCAACTCAGTCAATACCTGGCTGAACATAATCTTTACCCTTCCTGTCAATTTGGCTTCAGACGCCAGCACTCTACAGAGGATGCTCTCACAATGGTTACAGACAAATTCCTAAGAGCCCGAGATGACGGGCTGTCAACTGGCGCTGCTTTCCTGGACATGTCAAAGGCCTTTGACAAGGTCCAGCATCAGACACTTGTCGAAGACCTATTCCAGCTTGGAATCTCCGGCGCAGCCCTGAACTGGTTAAGCGACTACCTCTCAAATCGTCAACAACAAGTCGCCATCAGCGGCGATAGTAGCTCATCTTTCACGTGCTCAAGTGGGGTTCCCCAAGGGTCTGTACTGGGACCACTATTGTTTGTCATATATGTCAGGGATGTGGCCAGTGAAGTGGATCAGTTTGCCGTCCAGGTAACCCAATTCGCGGACGACATCATGCTACACGATAGCAGGAAGGACAAGGTAGTGCTGTCACACAACCTGTCTTCAGCCATCACCCATCTCAGCAACTGGCTTGGTGAGCGCAACCTAATCCTGAATAGTCGAAAAACACAAATATTGTTTATTCCTGCCAATCGTCATGACGACAAGACATTGAATGTGCACTGTGCAGCTACACTCCTCCAGCAAGTGACAAGCGCCAAGTACCTGGGCTTGCACATCGATGACGACCTGAAATGGAACACAATGGTTGACCATATAGCCAAGACAGTGTCCTCAAAGATTGCCATTCTCTTCCGCCACAGGCAGTGCCTCCCAATGCCATGCCGCTCAACCTACTTGAGATGTATAATTTTACCCACATTCCAATACGCATGCAACAGCTTTTCCTCTTCCCTTTCCTCTGCACAACGTGATCGTCTTGAGAAACTTCTCAAGCGAGCTGTGCGCGTTGTCTGCTCTGCTCCGTTCCTGTCTCCAACTGCCCCTCTTTTTGAACGCCTCAGCATTCAACCCCTGCAATCAATGTATTGCCGCAAACTCCTCCTGCTAACCTTTCGTGTAATTCATAATAACTGTAGTGTGCTTCTTCATGACCTTGTCACACCTCTGTCACACACCCGTCGAACGAGGAGCACAGATGTTCCCCTGCTTCTTTTCCCGAGGATCATATCTGCCGCTGCCACACGCAGCCCTTCATATCAATGTCCCGCTCTCTGGAATAAGTTGCCTGCATCTATACGATCACTGAAGAAACCAGGTCAATTCCGGACCGCTCTCTTACCCCACCTGAAAAATTCACCGACTTACGTTGCTCACTGATCAAATAATTATGCAATCTTTCCTCTGCTAGCTAGCTGCTGTCTTAAATCCTACTCTTTTTTTCTATTTTCTTTTTTTTCTTTTTAATCTTTTCCTTACATTTGTGTGCCTGTTTGTCTTTAGTCGATCTCATGTAATAAGGCAACACTGCCTGTTTGTTATTCGACGTTAAATAAACCAATCCAAATCCAATCCAATCTAAGCCAAGTCACAAACCCGCCAAGCGCGGCCATGACACTAGCTTTAGAATATTAGTGTTTCTGGTATTAGTTTTAGATCCGATATTGTTCACTTTATGGTACCATTATAATGTCTTTCCTTTGTATTCTCTATATGGAAATGGCTGGCAAAAGGTTTTGCAGTATGCAATTTGTTGTGCAGTATCCTAATTTTAATATATTGCACATGGTGGCCTTTTAGCATGTGTCCCATCTCCTATTCTTCTCTGCAGCCCGACGTTGGCAAGTTTGAAGGGTTCGATCACATTACCTTCTGGGTCGGAAATGCCAAGCAGGTAAGTGTGAAATCTTCTTTTGTTGCATTTAGTCCAGCGCACCATATCTATGCAGCTGTCTAAACACACGTGCACTTCTCAATTTTGAGCATCGTAGCCAGCACACTATGTGACAGGCATGTAGCATTCCATCGGAGAACTGGTCCAGCCACCTTAACAGTACCTACTTTTAAGATGGTCCGAACAGTCCACTGAATAAGCTTTTGAGAACTGCCCCCCCCCCCCCCCCCTGCGCGCGCAAGTAACAGTTTTTGAGTTAGGCTGGCTGCTATGGCCGTGTTGCAGAAGTTGGTGGTCAAACACTAACTCTCGACCTAGACACCTGCCTACTCTAGGCACTGCTCTATCTGTTTTCTTCTTCTTATAAAAGATGTTATTGGTGCATTTGCTACTTCACTGCATCCTCCCCATCTATCCTGTCACTTTGTATGCTCGCCAGGCCGCTACCTTCTACAGCGTACGGTTTGGCTTCGAAGTCCTTGGCTACCGTGGGCTGGAGACTGGTGACCGGAAGGTGGTGTCATGGGCACTGAAGCAGAATCGCATCATCTTCGTATTCCAGTCTGCGCTGAACCCAGACGACCAGACATTAGGCCCCCATCTTGTTCGTCATGGCGACGGAGTCAAGGATGTGGCTTTTGCCGTTCAGGACTGCAAGGGAATTATTGAGGTTAGGAGACCTGTGTGTGGTGCATGACTGTCCTCCTCTAGTGCCTGAGTAGTGTGTACTATCATTGTATGTGTATGCACGTCTGTGTGTGTGTGTGTGTGTGTGTGTGTGTGTGTGTGTGTGTGCGTGTGTGTGTGTGTGTGCGCGCATGTGTGTGCGTGTGTGCGCGCGTGTGCGTGTGTGTGTGTGCGTGCGTGCATGCGTGTGCATATGTACTTTGCCAATGCATGCATTTCTACAACAATAAAGTGATAGTCAGTCCGTGCATGTACAGTATGCGAATCCCCTCGTATCAGCTGTTGATAGGCTTTGTCCGGACTGGGCCATTGTGGAAGAAATCATTATACATGTCTTCTTTGGTCACCCTCATCTTCCGCTCCTTTTGCTGGGCTTCATCAGAATTAACCAATAACATAGCACTGGTGTTTGTTTGTTGTGTGTTCAATTGTTTGCTCTGCTATTCAGAAAGCACGCAAGCGTGGTGCAACAATTGTAAGAGAGCCATACACAGAGTCAGACGACAATGGCACCGTAACATTCGCACAAATTCAAACGGTAAGTTTTGTGTGACTGTGTGTGTGTGTGTGTGTGTGTGTGTGTGTGTGTGTGTGTGTGTGTGTGTGTGTGTGTGTGTCGTGTTGTCTATAATGGTTACTCCAGCAAGTGTAGGGTGCGCATAGTGGTAACTGTCTTGGCCGTTCTATTCCGATGTACATGTACTCCGTGTGGTGTAGACCAGTTGTGCATTAGGGGTCGATTCACATGGTTTCGCCAGTTGTGTGGATTAGACAGTTATCTGTCGCTAGTCTTGTTCTGTTTCATTCAGAATCAGATCCATGAGTGCACATCCAGTCCATTTTCAGATTTGTGTGCTTCTCTTGCGACGGACGTATACATGGTACATCATCGTAACATGGCACATGGTGCGCGTATGTGTGTGTGTGTGTGTGTGTGTGTGTGTGTGCGTGCGCGCGTGTGTGTGTGCATGCGTGCGTGTGTTGCACTCAACCTGCCCTACTCTTCTCTTTGTACACAGTATGGTGACACTACTCACACATTTGTGGAGCGTGCCAATTACAGTGGACCATTCCTACCTGGCTACCGTATCAATGAGAAAGTCGATCCCATCTTGGCTAAGCTGTAAGTGTCCTCCTTGCCGGTTGCTCTCGTTGCTACGTCTTCTTCACCATGATGCTGGTGTTTTGTTTGAATGCTTATCGGGCCATTTGTGGCGATGGTTTTGTTTGTATCTCCAACGTTATGGTATCCATGTGCATCTGTGTGTTTCTGCGTGGATGGTTGGTTGTTGTGCGATTACCACAGTCCGGTGATTGGCCTGCAGTTCATTGATCACGTGGTGGGCAATCAGCCAGACCTGCAGATGGAGGAGGCAGCCAGTTGGTACGAGAAGAATCTCATGTTTCACCGCTTCTGGTCTGTGGACGACTCTCAGGTAGGTTGTGGAGTTTCGAGTGTTTCGAGTGAAACTCGACTCACGCCATCTTTATATTATTTACTCTGAAGTTGTGCACTGGGTGACTAGTACAGGCCCACACACTCCAGGAAAACAGATCCGCCTAACAAAAGTTCAGGTTAAGGATATTGTTGCTAGTCAGAAGTCCTGCACGCAGTAGGATTGCAGTGCTCTTCAGTTGCACTTGTCTGCCCGGACTCCAGACCTTACTGGTATTACAATGTACAGCTAAACGCTGCTACTTGAACCATGTCCTTGTACCGCTACATGTGGTGGTGTTATACTACCGCTGCACTAGGTGAAATCCGACCTCCCGAAGGACAAAACTGGCACCCTGGACCTGTTCCGATCATAGCATTGTACATGTGTACGCCTAGCAGCATTCAACACCCCTAGCCCTTCCCGAGTGTGCAAGTCCTGGGCACCGAATATGCACTTTGGGTTGGATTTCATCTGGCGCAACTCTAGTACAGTACCAGTGGTTGTCACGTGACAATGCGTGTCATTTCTTCTTCAATATCTTCCTTTTCATATCACGCTTAGACCGTGCTAACTGCTCCCTTGGCTGCTGGTGGTAAATGTTTTTAGCTTTAGTGTATAACACACCGCAGCCAGTGTGTGTACTCTAGTAGCTGTATGCATCTGAACTTTCTCACGTTGTTGACTTTTGTTTGCACTTGGGTAGATAGTTTTCCACAAGGTTGCAGTACGTAGTAGCTGTACATACAAGTACGCATCCTTGTTTCTGTTCCTTTACAACTGGAGCTTCTGAGATGCAAGTTGTAGTAAAGCTCTGTCTTATGCTTCGAATTTGTGCTATTTGTGTCAAATAGATGTACTTTTGCAATCTGTATTGATGTGTGTGTGTGTGTGTGTGTGTGTGTGTGTGTGTGTGTGTGTGTGTGTGTGTGTGTGTGTGTATGTGTGTGTGCACGTGTGTGTGTTCGTGTGTATGTGTGTGTGTGTGTGCATGTGTGTGTGTGTGTGTGCATGTGTGTGTGTGTGCATGTGTGTGTGTGTGTGTGTGTGTGTGTGTGTGTGTGTGTGTGTGTGTGTGTGTGTGTGTGTGTGCATATGTGTGTGTGTGCATATGTGTGCATGTGTGTCGTCACAGATCCACACAGAGTACAGTGCGCTGCGTTCGATTGTCATGACCAATTACGACGAGACGATCAAGATGCCAATCAACGAGCCAGCGCCAGGCAAGAGAAAGAGCCAGATTCAGGAGTATGTTGACTACAATGGTGGTGCCGGTGTACAGCATATTGCCTTGAACACATCAGATATCATCAAGACTGTACGTACTGAGTCTGGCCGTATATGTGTTCTGTGCTCTCTGCCTGTGCTCTCTGCCTGTGCTCTCTGCCTGTGCTCTCTGCCTGTGCTCTCTGCCTGTGCTCTCTGCCTGTGCTCTCTGCCTGTGCTCTCTGCCTGTGCTCTCTGCCTGTGCTCTCTGCCTGTGCTCTCTGCCTGTGCTCTCTGCCTGTCTGCTGCTGTCTATTACATGTAACACATACAGTACTGGACGTAAGTTAGTTCCCCGCATTACCATGTTTACAGTACCTGTACCTGTTGTGGAGTCGGAAAGCCAATGGTGGCGACGCTGTGCTGCCCTGGCAGCATGCTTTCGCACAGCATTATGTGTTAGCAGCTTAGCATTACTGTTGTGTGTTGCGAGTGCATACAATACGATTCGCTTGTGACTCGGGCAGACTGGATTTACCGCACCTGTAGGAGCGCCAGCATGCGCAAGGATGGTGAATGCAATTGTATTGTATTGTATTGTGCTCCTATATACCGTAAAGTACCGCCAGAGCGCCCCACCTTGATTTTTACAACCAGGGAAAGGAAAATCATATGGCAGAGTGCAACTAAACTTGTATGGTGTGAGAACCTTAATGTACTACAATCACGCTCAGCCTGTTCTTGTAATTGTGTGGAGCTCCAAGATGAACTGAGTGTGGATTGACTGCACAGCATGCAATGTGTGCACAAGGTACGTGTCGTGTATGACGTACAGACCGCTGACCACCTCTAAACACGATCATGGAAGGGAGTAGATTATGGGGCTCTGTCACGGTACTATAGGGTCCATGTAAATAGATGATTGTATTGATAGTGACCCCCGCTGTGGACTATTCTCTGCCTCACGTGCGCGGTGTTATGATGTTTTTGTCTGTGTTTGTTAGATAACTAACCTGCGTGCACGTGGCCTGGAGTTCTTGAGTGTGCCTGATTCGTACTACACGCAACTCAGAGAAAGACTGGCACAGTCCAAAGTCACAGTTACAGAGTCTCTTGACATTGTAAGCCATTCTTTTCTGTTATTGCAGCACTGTGTGTGTGGGTGGGTGTGTGTGTGTGTGTGTGTGTGTGTGTGCATGTTGGTGCATGCGTGTGTGTACTGATTGAATGAGCGTACGTTGAGAATGCAAGCCCCCCCCCCCCTTCCATAGAACCTGTCTGTAATCTGAGTCATCGTCCTCGTAGTGTTTGTCATTGAGTCAAATTTCACCGAGCGCAACTGTGGACAGTTTGACCGTTTGGGTATTGGCCTCAAGTCCTGTCATAATCAAATCAAGCACACTCTGGAGATCATGGTGGCTGATCTGCTCCTTGAGCTCATCCGGGGGGGGGGGGGGGGGGGGGGGAGGGCATAGTGACCTCTAGAGTGTGCTTGATTCCACACGTCTGTCTTAGTGCTTGCTGTTGTGTTGTCGACTGTTTTTTTGTTTGTGGTGACGCGTGCACAGATCCAGCAGTTGAATGTCCTCATAGACTACGACGATGACGGTTACCTGCTTCAGATTTTCACCAAACCTGTGCAGGACAGGCCCACACTCTTCCTAGAAGTCATCCAGAGACACAACCATCAGGTGAGTAGTCCCAGTGATAAAAATAACTCGCCGACTTCGCCTGCCGTATAAGCCATGAGTCTAGCGAGACGCATATTTTTTAAAACAATTATCAGGCGAAGGGTGTACGCATCAGCACGTGGCCGCTTATTCAACCGTGTTCGATTGGGAATAAGGGCCGATTGCTGCAAAAACCTGGTTGACGGAGCGTCCGAAAGACTACCACATACCGTACTCACTCGATTAGAAGCCGGGAGCTTCTATTTTTTCAATACCAATTTTGAGGAGGCTTCTATTTGAGAGGGGCTTTTTATTGCTCCATTCCATACCAGTATTCAAATCGAATCTATAAAACTTTCATATTCACAGCAACTCGGCCCTGAGTTAGTTTGCACACCCTACGTCGACCAGGACATGTACCAATATGAACGAGATTTTTTTTGCGCACTTGACCTTCATACATGGTACTACCTGGTCACCCCATGCTTTGCGAATAGTAGTCCGGGCTTCTATTCGAGAGGGGCTTGTAATTTTTTAACAGTCCTTGTGCGGGGCTTTTACTCGAGAGGGGCTTCTAATCAAGTGAGTACGGTATGGGCTAATCTCGTTCAACCGTGCTTTTATAAGAACGAAATGGCTTTTAGTGACATTTCGCATACAAATCCCCATCTAGTAGGGCGCAGTCACCCAGTTTCAGTGGAAGTGGCGAGTTCGATTGGGAATAAAGGAGGAAGGGTGTGTCGGCACCCTGAAGACTGAGAGTAGTGAAATTTTGATTCTAGGCCATATTTCATATATTATTGGTAACCTTGGACATGGCATGAAATGAAAGGATACTAGTAAAAACTTTCAAGATGTTCAAGAGCCTGAAGTGTGTGTCCTTCTTATCAGTATTACAACTCTTTCTGCAAATGCTGTTTCTGCATTTCTGGGTGCTAGGGATTTGGTGCTGGCAACTTCAAGGCATTGTTTGAAGCAATTGAAGCTGATCAAGCAGAACGTGGCAATCTTTAATTTTGTCCGTGCCAACGTCGCTGCTAACAGTTTAGCGGTGTGCAGTGGCAGCGTGATTCAGATACATCTCTATTTACTCTGATGCCAACAAAAGAAGGTCCAGCGTCCTAATATACATTAGAAGAAGGTCCAGCATCTAATAATAAACATTACGTCAGTGTTAGTAGTGTGAGAGAGTATTCAGTGTGCTACTTCGAAGTGCGCTTATAAGACAGGCCTCATTTTTGCAGTGGGAAGCCAAACTTTATAGTGGCATCCCAGCAAAGACTGACTGGCCGTATTAGCTTTAAGGCATGGCAATGTGGTGTTGTATGTATGGCCTATGTGTTACTTACACAGGTTGCTACAAGTTTTGGGAACAACTGACTCATCAATATCAGCGATAATTATATTCGTTCTCTGATCTTTCTGGCAAGAATGGCACACCAATTGATTACCCCTTTTTTTATAGATCAGATTCTTGATAATTTCCATTGTATTGAGAGTTTGCTGGCACATCCTCCATACCGGTGGTGTATTGTGTATCTACTGCCGCTGGTGGTGGCGGTGCTGCTGGTTGTGGTGGTGGTGCCGCTGCTGGTGGTGGTTCTGGTTTTGGTTCTGGTGTGTTTGCTGCTGGTTGTGGTGGTGGTGGTGCCGCTGCTGGTGGTGGTTTTGGTGTGTTTGTACACTGTACTTCAGTGGGCTTCTCCACTGGGACATTCTCGCCGTTCGTGTGCTGGCTCCTGGAACTGGTGCCGTGTCCTATGCTTTCGCTTCCACTGCCGTTGTGGCTATCGCTGTTACTACTACAATGTCCTGTGCTGCTTGAGCTGGTGGGATGTGCCACTCTGGTGTCATCCTCCAAGCTTATAGAGCTGGGAGTAGAGCAGTCGTAAGTAGAAACAGCATGGGCCGTTGTCTTGTTTGATACATCTACCCTTTCCGGTGGTAGATAATCAGTGCCATGACCCTTCGGAAAATGCACTCTGCTGTCACCTTTTCTGGCAGGCGATGCTAAGTGATCTGTCTTGCCATCCGAGGGAACATCAACTCTTTCCTTTTGTGCAGTGGTGTGATCCCTGAGAAGAGGGTCATATCGGCGAGGCGAGGCAGCATCACCATCAGAGCTTGCCGAGCTTTGGCCAGATGTGTGCGAGTCGGTGCGAGGCCTATTTGAACCACCTCTTGCGACAAGCTCGGATTGCGCATCAGTTGCAGCTCCTTCAGCACCAACAAACCCTCTTCTTGCTGTGCACAGCAAACACACAGAAACTCATGCATTGGTGGCCCATGTACATGTATTGTGTGCAGTGTCTGAATTCAAATGGTCCTAAGCAGTCGCGTCACATGGGGCATCAAGGCGTTTTTTGTCGGTGTGTTCATGGCGTTAGGGCACATGTTCCGATGCGCTACAGATAGTTGCTAGTGTAAGAACCATGGCCCACACAACAAGTAACAATTGGCGATTGCGACAAGAGTGGATTCATTGAGGCAAATTGTTAAAGGGGAAGTATACCCTAAAATCAAATTTTCACCAGTTGTAGTCTTCGGGGTGCTGAGTCGAATGGTCTTGGTCCGAGGAAGCTGAGACGCTCCCTTCCTCCTTTATTCCCAATCGAACTCGCGCACTTCCACCGAAACTGGGTGACTGCGCCCTACTAGATGGGGATTTGTATGCAAAATGTCACTAAAAGCGCCATTTCGTTCTTATAAAAGCACGGATGACCGCGATTGGCCCATATGTTGTAGTCTTTTGGACGCTGAGTCGACTGGTTTTGGTCCGAAAAGGCTGCGATGCAGCGTTCCTCCTTTATTCCCAATCGAACATGGTTGAACAAGCGGTCACGTGCTCCTGCGTACACCAGTCACCTGGTCACCGTGCCTGCAGGGTACAACTTACTAGCCTGTTTGACCTTTTTTGGGTGCAGTCCTGTCACTCGAGTTGAACCTTGGTGTGAAAGTTGTCGCCTGCTGGCGCGGTGACCAGGTGATTTGGGCACCCAGGAGCACGTGACCGCTTGTTCAACCATGTTCGATTGGGAATAAAGGAGGAACGCTGCATCGCAGCCTTTTCGGACCAAAACCAGTCGACTCCGCGTCCAAAAGACTACAACATATGGGCCAATCGTGGTCATCCGTGCTTTTATAAGAACGAAATGGCGCTTTTAGTGACATTTTGCATACAAATCCCCATCTAGTAGGGCGCAGTCACCCAGTTTCGGTGGAAGTGCGCGAGTTCGATTGGGATTCAAGTAGGAAGGGAGCGTCGCAGCTTCCTCGGACCAAGACCATTCGACTCAGCACCCCGAAGACTACAACTGGTGAAAATTTGATTTTAGGGTATACTTCCCCTTTAATGCAATGTGACGCAATCTCATTATCTGCGATGCGAACTAGCAAAATACTAGTAGTAGCATTCACAAGGTGATGTCAGTAATGCGACATCGCCTTGCTCATATGTTTCAAAGTGTAATGCAGCTGTGTACGACAATCTGGCATTCACATGGCTGGGTGCAACTTGTGCAATTCTATAAGCAACAGTTGAACTTAGCATACAACCGTTGCCCAAATCGCATATCGCATAGTGAAACTTTGGTGATAGCCAGTTCCGACGTATGCATGTCTTGCATGAGCTGCTGGTGCATTTGGGAATGTCCTGGTTTAGCGGCGTTACGCATGACATCGCAAAAAGGAAACCCAATTCAGAAATAGTGGAGAGGTTGAGCATACTGAAAATCTGTACAATTTGACCGTTGTGGCCTTGAGTAACAGAAGTCGTAGGAACTTTCGACGGAAAAAGAGCTAAGCAACGATTTACTTTCGTTGCAATCGCCAAACTGTCACACAGTATTGAGTAATGTACGACAGCTGCGTACTGTTGCACATTGAGCGCATGCATGCCTGACAGTGAAGGCCTAACTTGAAGCACTTTTGCGCAAGCTCTGAATCAACTGATTTCCAAAGCCTTTTCCGCTGTTACTTGATCCGTCGAACGTTACGAAACTTCGTTAGGCGCAACCTCATTTATCATAGTCTTAACATAGTCTTACTCCTTGACCTGCCCGGTACGTGAACCCGTCGATTTATTTTTTATTTTTTAACATAGTCTTACTTGATGGGAGATGTGCCATAGTATCTAGCTCCTGCGGCTCATGTTGAGTAGGGGCTGTAACGGCAGGATCGCGTGACAAGCCGTTTGTCTCGACGTTGCTGGCATTCATCTCCTGACTAGCGTAACAGACTGGTTGAGTGGAGATTGTAGTAGGAGTAGCAATGTTAGGCAGACTGATTGACAGGTCCTCTTGCTCCATCCTTATGTCATACCTTGAAGTCTCCACCAACTGGCTATGGGCCGAGTCGCTGGGTTGCGTCGCTTGGGCTACACGTGCAGAAAAAGACAAAGTGGCTAACACTCACACGCATACAGTCGACTCCACTTGTAAAAAAACCCTCACATATAGCTAATTTCATGATATACCGAACCATTGTCCATGTCCCTGTTCGAACCCATACAAAATTGACCCTTTGTAGCGAACCGTTTTCGTTTATAACCATAATTATCTGGTCGGGCTGCATGTAAACCAAGTGCATTCACTCATACCATCATGGGTCACGTGCCAGTTAGGATGTGTTGCCTGTATAGTGTGAGTGCATTTCTTTTACAAAGAACTTCGGCTACAAAGAACTAATTCTCCTGCACAATGGTGTTCATTATGATCAGGAGTTGACTGTATATTGGTTGTTATCATGGTCTGGTGAATAAATTGATATGTGATCATACAGTCATGGCAATGTACCAGACTCAGCAGAGGACGTTCAGGTTCGTTACAACTCCGAGTTTCATGCCACAAGGCAATCACCAGACAACTGATACTGGGGATCTATCCAACATTACACTTATAACGTCGTTATATACACATGCATGGCCAAATCTAGTGCTGGGTGCACGTCAGCATTAGATTGTCGGAAAAGTGGGCAGAGGTGTTAGAAAGACAGCGGCCGGCAACAGGCGGGTGGTAGGGCTAGGAGGATGGCGGGCAACAGGTGGAGTTCTATCCGCCGATAGGCGAGAAGCTCCTCGGTAAGCCCTATCGGTTGCAGAACAGTTAATCCCGATTGAGCAGCGTTAGATGGCCATCATCATATGTGCCCGAAAATTGCTCCTGTTCCACAATCGTCATCCCTGGATGAAGGACAAGGATGGCATTATGTTTGATGTAGCCAGGAGCAGTTATGATGGTGCTGAGACATGAGAGCTTGTCACGGCCCCACGCTGCTCTCCTGCTCAATCAGCTCCCACGCCACGGTGATAGATCTGCTCATGGAAATCTTCAAGTGATTCGTCGACCCGCGAATGACTATCGACTCCTACCAGAAGATAGCGGATTTCGTGGACATCACTATGAACCTGGGCACGTGGAAGTTCCGGCCCTTCTAGAAGCCGAACGACAACCCGCTATATGTCAGCATTGTCAGCAGACATTCCAATCATCCACCGAGGATCACCAAAGGTTTTCCCCGTTGACAAGTGCCTTTCAACTAGCCTATCATGCGATGCTGACGGGTTTAACAATGCAACCCCCTGCGCATCGGCATGTATTCAAAGCCAGTGTGTATGCATGAGCCTTGAGCTTCCAGTCCAAGGTGCAAGAGGAAAGGAGTAGCAAGAATCGTAGCTGGAAGGTTATTTGGTTAAAAAAATACCTCACTTTAAGAATGTGAGCACAATTGTCGCTGGCAGATTCCCCGGCCTTGTCACCAGACATTTTTTCCCCGAAGACATGAAAGAAACAAAACATATGTACCCAGAGAGTACCAAAAAAGATTTTTTGGTACTCCCGCTATGTGCTGCAGAAAAGTTCCACATTCTAGATCCTGACGGCACCGAACTGAGAAGCTTGTGCTAAACACGCGACCCGAGATGATCTCAAAATGCAGGCACGACAAAAAGCTCCACGCCTCGCAAATTTTATACCTAAAAAATGAACTGATCAAATGCTATTATATTACCAGTTGCCCGCTATCTCTCCAATACCCCGCCCCTCTTTTGACAACTCATGCAACCCTATGTGTTTATATGGGTTGAACCCCAGTATCAGTCGTCCGAGTCCATCATTTTACTACGGTTGACATACATATACAATATACACGACCATTGCTTGTTATCGAAGCATTCCTATGCCTACCCTCAGTGACAGTGTGGTGGATGGTCTGGTGGTGGACTGCTCCGTCGGATTCGCCCGGTTGGTCCTCGTGATGCACCGCCAGTGTGGGTATTTGTGACGGGGCACCTTGACGCATGACCCTAACGTCGCGCATATGATTGGGATCAGTTGCTGGTGGCCGAGGCTGGTTCTGCTCATCCCGCCGGAACGCCAACACTGAATACTGCATCTCCTGGCTGGCATACAAGATGCAACGCTCACTATTCTTCTCTTCAGGCTCTGCCACTCGTGTTGGGTATGCTATAGCAAACATAGCAAGTATGCATGGAGAAGAAACATGAAGACTGAGACAGTGGGATGACAGTTCACTCAGAATTTAGCCAGAGAGCATTTTTCCTTTTTTTTCTTCTTTGTTTTACTTCGCAAAATCCAAACGGGAATTTCTTCCCAATGACAAGGTAGAAGAGAGAGAAGAAAAAAAGAGAGAAAAAAGTGTGTATGCACTGGAAATGATAGTCAGCTGGAGATCAATAAGCCCATTGCGCAATGACGTAATTTGTACCATAAACACCCCAGACAGCCACCTGGGCATGGTCGTCTGGGGTGTTGAACAGTGCATTGCTGATCCCAGTGTACTCACATGCATTACTCATACCTTCCATTTTGGCAATGCGCAATGGGCTTATAGTACGGATCCATTGTCAAACATGGCATTTAGTACTGTTGCATGTATTTAGCAAGGAATACATCAGGCACAGTCAAGGACCAATTGCATACGGTACTGCTGCAGCTTTGAAGGAAGCATCACTGACATTTTCAGCCGGGCCCGGCAAATTTAGGGTCAAGCACATTTCACAGTCATTATCTCGTTTGAAGCAAGAGCTTGTGCTCCGAGTCCTCAAATGATCTGTACTACGGATCAGTTTGGGATATGTGTACTTTTCCAATGCTCTGTTTTCTGGGCACTAGCCGCTACAGCAATTAAAAATAATAATAATTACCTGTAGCTTGTGTTGAGGCTTGGGCTACTGGCGAAGCAGGATGATTTGGCCGATCAGCTGTAGTGAATAATACATGTACAGCACAAACCCATGACATGCTGGGTCAGGGAATTTAAACTGATCTGTACTCGTACTACGGATCAGTTTGGGATATGTGTACTAGTACTTTTCCAATGCGTTGTTTTCTGGGCACTAGCCGCTACAGCAATTAAAAAATAATAATCACCTGTAGCTTGTGTTGAGGCACTTGCTTGGTCTGCCTGTGTTGAGGCTTGGGCTACTGGCGAAGCAGAATGATGTGACCCATCAGCTGTAGAAAATAATACATGTACAGCACAAACCCATGACATGCTGGGTCAGGGAATTTAAACTGATCTGTACTACGGACTTGGTCAAGCATCCTCAAGAAGATGACATGCATGCACTTGGTCTTGGTCATGTGTTCTGTACGTATTAGTCCCCGATTGGTCGTCCCGATTTGTCGTCGCAATATTACTGCTTGTTCTTGTTGTTTTCTTTGAGTCTTTTCCCGGGTGTCTTTTCCCGTCGTCGTTTTCAGTCTAGTCTTTTCGTCTTTCTCCTCCTGTGCCCTTTCCGTTTGTATAAGAAGTCCGAAACTCTACCAAGTTGTTTGCGCTGTTGTGTGACAGGGGCCAGGGGGAGAAGGCAATACTATTTATATTTCACACTGATGCAGGTGGAATGTGAAGATCTATGGGCTTTGCTTCTAGCCTATCTAGGGTGTCCATTCTAGACGCCTCTGTGGCCCAGTGCTGAAGAACTGGGGGTCAGCCTTCTAACCTGGACCGTTCTTATTATTATGTATGCACACATTCTATGTCAATATGCATTACTGGACTGGGCGGTGTTCGGGACCAGCATGTTGTGGCCTCAACCTCAATAATTTCACAGAGCACGGATCACAGAGCGCTTCAGCCGGGGTTGAAGCACACTTCACGATCACACAGCACTGTCGAAGCGCACATCATTCCGGGCGCTGTGATGGGTCTCACGCCATCTCCCTTCTTCCTCCGCACACTTTTTTAAGACTTGCTATCGTGATTGATGATCATGCAGGAAACGTGTTTCACTGACCCGTGTCCCCCCCCCCCCCCCCACCTCCCACCTCTCCCCCCTCACCATTGCTGACAGACTCCTGACGAGGAACACAAGATGGTATGTCCACGCATTGGTTGCCATGGCCACTCCTCGAGCGTCTTCTCAGCATAAGTATAATCGCCAGAATGATGGCAAGGACCACTAGGACACCTGCAGCTAGTCCAATCCATAAATCTGTATGAGGAAGACACACAGGGCAACCATTGATAACTACACCAAGCTGCATGCATGCCCACAGAAGCGGTCCCTTGAGCAACAGTACAATCCACGATCCGGAAATCGAACAAAAAGAGGGATGTAACAAAGTCTGAAGAAATTGTTAAAACGTATTGGAAACGGTCCCTGCTGGGATGCGGATGATTACACCAGCCAACGTAGTGGGAGAGCATCTCTTGCCTATAAGTTAGTGATGGTCCCTGGTTGGAGTCCTGGCGGTCACGGTGACAGTTCATTTTTTCTTCAGATGTCTGCACCCATTACTAGGGGCCATTAGTCAGTTCACCTGCCTCAGTAACGAGTATATGACTCACCCGTGCCTACAGTATCTGGACAATAGCAGATTGGGAGAAATATGACTTTTTTGCAAAGTAAGGACAGTTTGGGAAGGCTCGAATTATTTTTTTGGAAACTCACCAGCTGCATATTAATGGGAAATACATGTAACTTCTACTAACAAGGTATTCAAAATAGAAGAAGAAAACACATGGACACGAGTTATGAAGCAACTATCCACGAATGTAACAAGATAATAAGCGGTGAGTACGTGCTATAACAGGGCACAGAACTGACAGGCTACTGAGACATTCAGCAACCTAAGACCTAGCTCTAACACATCTCCAGTGCGCAAACCAACAGCCTTCCAACTTGGAAGGTTCAAGGTTCTATTTTACGTTTCATACTGGCTCATTATCCTCGTTGAATTGGTACTCAAGCTAATAATCACTCCCGACCCGTGTGAGCTGTGGTGCATTTAATGCAGGACGCGTGGCAGGCGAATTGAATATTTAAACCAACAAGGAGAAAAACAAGTCATCTAAACCGTGGCAGTTACTGTGGAAGCTGTCAAGGTGACCCGCTGCACTCTGATAGGGTGACCACCTGTTCCAAAGGGCCACTACAACTATGACCCACGCGGCAATGAATGTTGTTTTTCCAGTCAGTGAATGAACCTGGATAAGAATAGTGACGTCTGTACACCACATCCGGACCACATTGTGTTAGGTACCTTGAGAAGTATGATTGGTGGATGGGAGGGGGGGGGGGCACTCTGAGCACTGCACCCTTGGCTGGATGTGATTCCCAGCCATCTAGGCTGGCTGAACATACCCACTATCAGTCCGCAGTGGTAACACACTGGTTTGGCCTGTGGTGAGAACCTGAGTTTATAGCGGAATTATAACACGAGGTTGATCCTAAACCTCAAATCTGAGGTACGTGTTATTGATGTTGACACATCCAATGTCAATTCACAAAGTGTGATTATGCAGCAAACTATTAGGAACATAATATTACCATACATACGTATTACCATCTTACCAGTTTTATCGTTGTGTGCTTTGCTGGGAGCAGTTGCTGAAGCAGCCGATTCCTTGACAGTGCCTAAACAATGGGTAGAGAGGATGCACAGGTAGGAACGTCACATCATTGCTATAAGCTGTAGCATAAGCTCAGCAACATTCCTATTTCCAGTAGCTCCTTCTTTACAAGAGAATGCCGGGCCAAATAAGCAGGTCGCAAAAGATACGACTGGTACCGTATTTTTCCGGTTGTAAGTCGACCTTTTACGACTAAAAATAGAAGGAGAAAGGGTGGGGGTCGACTTACAACCGGAAACTATCAGAATCTTACAAAAATTGACCTGCCCTGCATGCATGAGTGCACGATGTGTACACATGTTTGCCAGTTTATTGGCATTTTTCAAGGATTGGGACGTTACACCCTCCAATAAGGAATGTTTACATGATTTGTTGATGTGTTAGTAGCAGGGAATGGTTAGTAGTGCTTCGTTGGGTGAAAACTTTAAAACGCAGAATAGAGACCTCCGGATACGGGGGTCGACCTATAACCGGGGTCGACTTACAACCGGTAAAATACGGTACATGACGCTGTCAACCAATTCGGACATTTTACCCTCTGGTCTCTCTCTCTCCTTCTCTCTCCTTCTCTCTCTCTCTCTCTCTCTCTCACACACACACACACACACACACACACACACACACACACACACACACACACACACACACACACACACACACCATTGGACCATTGGACGCCCATCGCCGGAGGCGATGATAGCGATGCTACGGCAGAAGCCATAGCAGCTTGTGCTGGGATTGCACCATTCAACAGCTTGCAAGGCTGAAGAATTGGCCACCACTATTCAGCCTGGTCTACACCACACAGCTATGAAGTGGCTTTTTCTGGCCAGTGAATCCCTACTTTTTGGTCTTTTTCATTTTTTCATTTTTTTTTCACGCACACGCATCACGCCACATACTCCGGCATGCACTGGCTGTTGGTAACCACCCAGGAGAATGAAAGAAAAGTCAGGAGGAGTCTGAGAAAGAGAAGAAAGACGTGTGTGACCATAATCGTCGGGAATCGAACCCGCAACCTATCGATTGGACACACACACACACACACACACACACACACACACACACACACACACACACACACACACACACACACACATCTACCCGGGTAACACGGAGTACACCATCACTAACAGTTGTGCCCTGCAGAAGCCCTCTCTAGCCAAGGCCGTGCTGATGCCAACTGTGGCCACGTGGTGTGTGTAGCACACCAGTACGAATTGAACAGTAAAACCCAGTTTCTTACTGGCAGAAGTGTGGACTGTCGGTATGGTGGTGAGAGGAGGAATACACAGTCCTCCAGTGGAGTTACGGCATGGCTTCACAGCCTGCTGGTCAAGTGATGTGCACATGAGGCACTGCTCGCAGGTGTTATTGGACTCTTCGCTGCACGAGGCACAGGCTGTGTCGTGAGTGCTGTTGCATAGCTTGACGTAGGACTGTTTAGTAATCGCATCACAAACAGCAACAACAAAACAACAACTGGATCAAGTAGTTGCAGGCAAACCTCAGTGACTCACTTCGCACAGTACCCTGTGTGCACATGGGGGTACATGAATGGTCTCCAGCTGGTCCGACCTGTGAGCTCTATACAGGGTCAGGGCGAGGGGGGGGGGGTAGCAGCAACAGGTCCATATGATTGTCAGGTTTTGGCTGGACTCACTCCGGCGGCTCTGCTCATCACCACAGTCCAACTGGCCAGCTATCCAGAGGTTGAGAGGTTCACTGTGCATTTAATGATACTTGGGCACATCAGTCAGTATGCAGTGATACGGTTCAGTATACAGTCAGACCTCGCTTATCCGGATCCCTCGCCAACCGGAAGAAAATCGTTGGTTACCGATTTACAGCATATGCCATGCATACATACAGTATGTGTGTTCGATTATCGGGTTCCCTCGCCTCTCCGGAAATTTTTGTGGAAAACGGATGTGTGCGGTTAAGCGAGGTTTGACTGTACCATACTAGCCTTACCATGGATGGGACGTAAAGCACTATTTTCTAAGGACTCTGCATTATGCTATACCATTCGCTTCGCCTTGGACACAGTGTACTGCAGCTAAAAGACAAGTTGTTACAACCCTTGGACTGTTGGAGGCATGTTATACTCAAGTACAGTACAGTACAGTCATGGGATTCAAGTCAGCAGGTCTGTTAGAACCACCTGACCGGCATACTGTGCTATTATCAACTTACCCCTGCACTGCACTGAACAGTAGCTGCAGGTCTGCAGCGCCAGCACTGTGCTGATGACACGGTGGGAGAGTAGTCAACGCCCGCCGTGCATGGGTAGCAGCTGGTATCGCTGCGCAGGCGACAAGAGGTGGCCACCGCTCCAAACCCTGGACAGCCGGGAGAAAGCAAGAGAAACATGCGTCATAATTGTTAACTGAACATCACCCTTTTGTAACATTTCACTTGGTGGTACACCAATAATACATTAGTGCGCAATTGCGCATGGTACACACCCTTTCCTCTTTCCATTTATTCTCCCAAGAAAAGTACACTTTAAAAGACATGAAAGTGGGATTGGTTCCACACCCTTCCCTGTACCATCACCCTGCTGCCTGACGGCAAGTTGCACCATACATGGAGTGACTTACGGCAAGTTGCACCATACATGGAGTGACTTCAGCGGTACGGGTATTCTACACTACCTTTGGTACTACTGTTGTGGACATGGAAATCCGGTCCCACGTCTAGCGGCCCCAGAGCGCTGGCCATCCAGCCGTGGATAAGCGGTACACACTTGTATTTCAGCGCTGCAGCGCTCTGGTCGCATCGGATCAACAATGATTATGTGCATTGCACGCAGCGTTCTGTACTCGCTGAGGGCGCCGGCCCCGGTCAATCGACTAGATTTCCATGTCCACGGCAGTAGTAGGTTCGTTTTTGACCAGACGTGACCACAAACATTCTCGTCTGGTCGGAAAAAAGAACCTACTGCTACTATGAATCGACAGACCAAATGAAGATGGCAGCATCGAATTAATTGCTACCTTCAGAGCATGTGCCGCACTCGAAACACTTGGTGTCATTGTAGCACACGCTGTGGCTTGGACACTGGTAGCAATCGCCGTGCACGGTTTGCACTAGCCTGCCAGGACGCAAGCCTGGATGCTCTGTTGTTGCCGCCACCAGATCCACGGGCAGCAGCATGACACACGACAGGAACCCGATGGCCTGTGCACCAGAAAGTATATAAACAACAAGATACACTCATGGAGAGTCACGGCAGCTCGAGAGAGTGCTTGCTGCAGCCTACGTATATCAGTCACATCCTCAATCTGTGGACAGAACTGTTTCGTCCTGCATCTATATCAGTCACATCTATAGGATGCTGTAGTCAATACTGTCTGATGTCGCTAAAGCGTGAAACTCGGAGTTACAGCAACAACACGTTGGTTCTCTTCTCTGTACAGTCAACTTTGCGGCTAACAGCACCCGGCGGGGCATCAGAAAAGTGTCCTTATTCGCAAAGTGTCCTTATACCCGAAGTCTCATTATAATTATGTATACAGGTAGAATGGACTTTGCTCTGGGCATGGAAATTCTGTCGTTGTTGGCGAATTGTCGTTATATCCGCAGTCGTTATTAGCGAATTGTCGTTATATCCGCAGTCGTTATTAGCGAATTGTCGTTATATCCGCAGTCGTTCTTAGCGAGAAGTTGACTGTACGTTTTAAAAACCAAGATCAATATCATGGCACCAATCAGTCTAGGGTACAATGTAACTGATCGACGGGCTACTCTTTGAAGATGTATGCCATAATAGGGGTTATAGTGAGACATCAACTCCTGGCATGTAGCCTGGATTCTGAGCACAGCGGGGCAAGTTAAGTCAACCCAGCCGCACATGGCACAAGGTCAAAATAATGATGTTGTAAGCAGGGAGGGACTAGACTGGAAGCCTGGTCCTGTATGTACAGTAAGACCTCGCTTATCCGGTCCTCTTTGGCACCCAAAGCACCCCCCCCCCTGCCTACGCCCCTGCAGGCATCGCCTGGTAAGATCTTTATTGTACTCCTTACCATAGTAATATACAATACTACAGAATCATCGGAGTGATATTTATGATAAATGTGATCATAGTGAGTAGGTCATGTGGTGCTTAGCTAGCCGACTTCGCGCGGTAGATCTGTGTCTGGACTACATGCGGCCCAAGCCAGAACAGCTAGTTCTCTCCGCATTCATGATCAGTGTGGATAACCAGTCTGATAGGAGATATTCCGTAGTCAATAGTGAACCTGTAATTATTATTGACTATGGAATATCTCCTCACCGTATCCGACTAGTCATCACTGTGCGCGCACAGTGATCATGGACATGAATGCGGAGAGGAGTGAAGTTGAACTCTGATTCAGTGATTGGAGTTCGCCGAGGCTCCTCCATTCTACCTTAATTTTACAGTATGTATGGAAAAGATAAACAAATGCAGAACACAGCACCGACGAGGCCGCAGTGACCGTGATAATTATTTTGGCGGTCCGGTCACGATTGTACGAGTCACAGCTCTTTGCACAACTGTGACAAGATTCCTCCCCATTGGTTTCAGTAGAAAACTGGCGCGTATGACTTCTAACACACCACTCTACCCTTTCTCTTCGTCTTGCTTTGTTTTCACCAGTTTGAGCATGGGGAGTAGGCCTCGACCAAATATGCTGGCGCATATTTCCGCATATTTTTGTGGGACAGTTCATATAGGCATATTGAGCGACAAAGGAAATATTGGAATGAAGCCAGCATATAATTCAATTATTCTGAAGAAAATGAGGACAAAACATTCATATTCTGGACAAAATGCGTTCAGAAATGCCTTTTATGGATGAATTTGGAATGGTTGAGGCGTTTGCTATATTTCCCCATGGATGAACACTATCGCTACTGTTGCTGGGGACACACCCCAGCCATACTATTCCGCATGTGTTTTGATTTGCACCATAAGCATGATAGCCGTAAAGCCAATGAATATTCCAAGGTTGTAATTTTACTGAAATAATCTACACCTTCTGCTTATGTCGAGCATATTTTGGCATATCTTTCTGCATATCTTGCTAAGCCTTTGGCATATTATTATTATGGACGTTTTCCCTGATATGCGACGAGCATAATAATGCTCTTTTTTTAGCATATTTGGTCGAGGCCTAATGGGGAGGGAAGCAATCGGCATTTCCAGCACTATTCAGATTTCTGAAAAGACAAGTCAAGCCTCCATTGTGACCTACACAGTCCGGTCGGAGGGAACCGCAAATCAGTGCTTACCAGCAAAATCGTCGCCTCTGGCCTCTTTGATAGGAGCCGCCCTCTCGACATGCCGGATGGACCGTCGGGTAGCAGAACCGCTAAGACAGAACGCAGTACATTTGCAATGTACTAGTACCATCGGGTGGTCGGGCGCAAACGGCGGGCCTAAGATTTCAGTCGGGCAAGCTGGGCTACACGGCAACTCACAAGTGAAACAATGCACCTCGGGCTACACTTGTAAACAACATGAGGAACGGTCAGCGTTGGGTGGGGCCATGTGTGAGTCCGGCTAACCTAAATTCCTCGAAGCAATGGGCAAAGAGAGACACAAAAGCACAACGAGAAAATGATACCGTGACAAGGTTTGTGTCAAGCAAACAGAAAGAGACGAAACACGGTTGCGCGGGTACTACTAGTACTTTTTAGTTTTGGTCTTTCGTCAAGCGGCTTGTCATTCACACCTCCCAGTATGGTGCTGTCCTTCGGCTACGCAAACTGCTACTGACTGGTGATGGCACTTGGCCGTACAGGGACTTGAACGGTTCAGCGGTCAAGCACGTGAAGAACGTTTCAAGCTGGCAAAGGGACTGACCCAAGGCTTGCAAGGCGATAAAACTCAACAGCCTGTCTGGGCGACAGACCGCAAGGGGATTTTTCTTCGCCCTTTCCATGATCCAGGCAATGCATCGATGACGAATCGTCGAGTCGACTGAAGCTTCTACTCTCGTACTCGAAAAATGACGGAATGTGACAAATGAACACTACATGTAGGTACTGTCCTAGTGACATAGCCTAGCCAGTGAACCATGATGAACATACATGTACTGCGAAGTAACGGTACGACGGACTAAAAGAGGTTGGTCTAAGCCTCTAAGCCTTAGGTTGTATGTTGGCCTACACAAACGATAGTCACCCCGTCCTCTGATCAACCTCACTTTCCGACCTGCATGCACCACCACACGCCCAGGCCTCAGTGTCTTGCCTAGCATGCCTGCCTCCAGATGTATTATCATAATACTACTGATAGTTATACCTTGTAGATATTCCTTGATTGCGTAAGCATGAAACTTAAAGTAGCAGCAAACAAGCCTTGATTGTCCTTGTTGTTCTGTTGTGTACTACGCTCTGCCTTTGTGGTGTTGAGCACTTTCAAGCACTCTGGGTACATCCTTCGGTAGATATTCCTTGATAATATTATTTGCAGCAAGAGTATACAAGCAGGTTATGTACTCTTGATTGTGATAGCAAAAATGCGGCAGGTTAAGCAACGAATGCACGTGTACGTAGTAGGAAGTAGCACTCGAAGAAATGTGACTCCCCCTACCTGTTTCGAAGTCCACATTTTTTTAAATAATGATAGTAGCTGACTGGCCGAAATTTAAAAAATGTGGAATTTTCGTCCTGGGGGTTGGACAAGGGGAAGTAGCCATGCAGGGGCGTGAGCTCGCCTTCCGGCACCGGGAGTTGCAGCTCGCTCGACTTGACTCCACTGAGTGCAGAGGACCCACATTTGTTTGGATCTTCACACAAACTGTGTTCCTTTGGCTTTCACCAAATTTGCTGGCGTACCTCTTGACCATACATCATGCTCCTTGAGGGTAGATCTACGCATGAGTACAAGCCAGGACTTAGCGGCTCACAGCACTACAGGATATGCTGCCGGCATGCCGGGTAGAAACACTTCACTTGTACCCGGGAAGACAAAAAACACAACCGTACCGTAGATTCTGAAATTCAATCTGAATCCATGTGCTTCGTTAAAAAAGGTAGAAAATAAGAAGAAAATACGTATCTAAAAACAACAGGAGAAAAGAGTAAGAACATGTGACCAGTGGTTAGCTAGCAAAACCTGCCAGACATTATACTGATACAGGTAGTAGATTTAGCAAGAGCGGGATCGCTCAAACAGCATTCCCATTTCAAGGGAGGGGAAATGGTAAAAGGGCTGTAGGTGCTAGGTAGGTAAGGGGTGCATGGCAGAACATTTCTACTTGTCCAGAGCCAGAGAAGATTAATGGGAGACAACGAGTAAGTGATAATAGTTCGTGGGGCTAAGACAAGAAAGGTGCACTTCCTGTGCTCAAACACCAGACAGTGCCTGACTGCGCAAGTGTGTGTGTGTGTGTACGTGTGTGTGCGCGTGTTTGTATCAGTGTGCATGTGGTGTGTGCATATGTGCATGTGTGTGTGTGTGTGTGTGTGTGTGTGTGTGTGTGTGTGTGTGTGTGTGTGTGTGTGTGTGTGTGTGTGTGTGTGTGTGTGTGTCAGTGTACAAACATATACGTGCAGAATCGGTACAGTTCGCTTGGCTCAAAAGTTTGTGCGCAACGCCCTGTGCTGCATGTCGAGATCAGACCAGACGTGTGTGCTCGGTAGTAGGACAGTGCCAGCCCAGCCCAAAGGCACATGATCATCCGCATTGAACATCAGTGTCAACAAGTTGCCGCTGTCGTCACAGACATCAGTCATCGGTAAAAGTAGATCAACTGATAACGCCACCAATAAGAGGCAAGGGCAGTAGTTACCAGTTTCCTTGGTTGTAAGCGTGGCTCTTCATCATGCTGGCCGCATTGCCAGCACCGCCACCCTGCGCTGCCGAAGTGTTGTGGGAATGATGCTTGTGCATGCCACCACCAGCGGAGCTGCTGCCACCGCCGCTACCGCCCGATGGCATCTGCGACGTTGAGGGCATGGCAGCACCGCCAGCGCCACGGCCACTGCCACCGCCTTGTTGCTGTTGCTGGGACTGTACAGAGACTGCTGCAGCGGCGGCGGCCGCTGCAGCCGCCGGGTTGCTGGCGTCGAGCACGGCGGGATGGAACGGCGAGTGCAGTGACTGGCTGCCGGGCAGGGTACCGCCGGTCGCAGCCGCCACCGCCGCAGCTGCCGCCAATCCGGGCATCATGGCGTGCTGCGACGCCGCCTGTCCCGCGGCCAGCTGCTGATAGGCTGCCGCTGCCTGGGCCGACTGCTGGTTGCCAGGTGCTGGGAATAGACCACTGGAGCTACCCTGGTAGTTTGATTTATCATACTGTGGTGGTGGTGGTGGTGGTGACAGAAAAGAACAGAATAGCCCATACCAATGAAAACCAGTTGACGAAGTTCACAAACCGTACACTAGCTCAAATATTCTTAGCATTTTTATACTTTATCAACCACCACACATTGATAAGAATCTGGACAAGGCCGAATGCCGCTGCTTACCCCTCTGGATCATTGTTATACCTGTAGAAGCAATACAGATCCCCACAGGACAAACTACTGGTACCCCAACCGGTCTACTAGGATATACCATATGCTACACTGGTGCAACACCATACACCACTGACAGGTGAAGTTGTAAACGAACACTGGAGAACGTACTTGACTATTTGCACTGAAGTGCATGTCCGGGGTCTTAGCCAAACACCAAACTTCTGATCTACTTTCAGCAGTGAAGTTGTAGCCAAAGCCGCGGGAAACACGGTACTGTGGGCACAATGTACCCCCCCCCCCCCCTACACAACGAGCACAGGTTGGAATGCAACCTGTCTCTGGAGAGGCTGGCGCAAGTGTGTGTGTGTGGGGGGGGGGGCATCTAGCTACTCAGCAGAGGTATAGAGTACTAAGGACTACACGTGATTCTACACACGGCACTTGCTTGGCCAAACACAGCACTGATAAGGAATTCAGAGGCAATGCTACCTGGCTTACCGGATGCGATTTGTTGTAGGACGAACCAAGATTACCACCGGCCGATGAGTTGTACGATGCTGCAGTACCAGCAACACAAGCACAGAAGACATAAAGCAATGACACACTCATACAATGATAATCCCCCCCCCCCCCCCACACACACACACTGGATCAAAACACTGGATCGACACAAAGTCATTAATGTCAAATTTTGACATTACATGTATCTTCATCTTCTAGTGAAGAAATTGTCAGTCACTGCAGCTGTCCTGAAACAATTTCTACGGAAAAGAACAGCGCTTCCTAATCCACGTCATGAAAAGCCTTCGGACAGCATCACGTCGTTCTGAAGAACGGAAGAGGAGCATGGGCATAGACAATTTTTACGACTTCCAGTGTTGTTGTTGTTCGCCAACATTGCTGCGCACGAGTTGGTGCGGCAAGAAAGGCCACTGAGATCCGCTAAGGAAGTCAGCCACCTGGAAGAAGTCATCTCCAATCAAATCTTTGCACTTTGCCTCCCACGGGCTTGAATCAAATTTCTAGAGAAGGTGGGTTTCTTGAACGCTATTTTCGATCCTGAAGCGCCATCAGGGATCAATGTTTGAGCTACTCTTGAAAAGAATGAACTTCGAATTACAGGTATAAGAACTCCCTCTCACTTCGAAATAAGCGTTCGAAGGACATAGTCACTGTACTGTAAACTGCTCTTCTGTACGAAGACTGAGTTCGAAATATACAGCGGGCGCACTTTTCTTACTTCGAATTATACCGTATTCGAATTTGACTTGAAGTGACTTGCAGGAGATCGGTACGACGAAAAAGTTTGAATTACACGGAATGTTCGAACTTCGAATTATACCGTATTCGAATTAGAGGGAGTCTACCTGTATCATCCAGTAGATCTACATGTATCCTCATCTTGAGAGCACTATGCCACAATCAGATGATTTGTCAATATTCCCATCCTGGTCTCAGTTCACCTACCGGATGTGCTTGCACCTTTGCTGCCTTGAGTTGATGGCTGGTAGAGCGAGGTCTTGAAGTCCACATCATCGTATCCTACCCCAGTGGAGCACACACACCCCACACCCACGCATGCGCCCACACATACACACACATGCAACACACACACACACACACACACACACATGAAATACACACACACACACACACACACACACACACACACACACACACACACACACACACACACACACACACACTACTACTACTACTACTACTACTGCTACTACTATGTACAGCTACCCTATCGGGCCACGCCGCTCCCAGAAGCGGGAGACAACGACAAGAAGAGAGAAGAGAAGAGAGAGAAATCGCAAAGTCAACATATTTGGCATGGCGTTGCAAGTCCTGTGGCCTTGAGAACCGTCTTTCGCAATGCTCGCATTCATGACGGCAGTTGTTCCTGGCTGCACGTGACATCCGTTTCGCACGGTCACAGTGATGACGGCTCACACCAGAACGAGAGCGGAAAGAGCGGCGACAAACATCACATCGAAAAGAGTCAGATTCATGGCGAATAGATACAGTGGGGACATCCGTGGACACAGGACAGCGATGCACAGCCAGTCCTCCAGCGCTCCTCAACACACACACACACATGCACACCCACACACATGTGCACACACACGCACGCACACACACACACATTATACACACACACATGCCCCCCCCCCCATACACACACATATTGCACACCACTGAGACCGCTTGCATGCATTGCGGATTCATTTGCTAATTTCTAGTACAATGACAGTCACACTCAGGTAAACATGAGTGGAAAGCGAGCAGCAGCTTGTCTCTCCACAAAGGGTTTAGGTGGACAGGGTTTTCTTTATTCTAATTCTGCAGAGTATAATTCTGCTCTTTGAAATGGCACTGTAAAATGGCCCAGCGCCTATTTGGGGACAGCACTTGGAATGTTTGTCAAAGCCAGAGCAACACGGCACGTAGCAGCGACACTAACCGCTTACCCTGTCCATATGCAGCCGCAGCAGCAGCTGGAGAAGGCATGAAGCCCGGCGCGCCAGTACCGAAGTGACTACCCTTTGGTACCTGCAAGCAACACGCAAAGGAGAACATCCCAGGGCTTGCACTGAATCTGAAAGGAGAAATTCCAGTTTTCAATACCCAATCTAGACCCAGTGAGAGAGAAGAGATCAGACTTTTCCAAGTTCCAATTTGGAAAATGGATGAAATTATACAGTCATGGAAAAGGCTGGTATAATCACAGCATATCAGTGTTCTGCTTACAGTTGCCAACACGAAACTACTGGCTCCACAGTGCTGATACGTTTTAATAACCATACAGCCCATAGAATTTTCACAGTACAGATACAACACAAGCAAAGCTAATGGTTCCCCAAACCTTCCTAAACTCTTGACTGTTTTTTATGAACTTTTCCAGGCTTTGATTCAGTTCAAACACAACCACATGCACGCTCTGGCCTTTCTAGGCTTGGAGAAGATATTCTTGAACACACTTTTCCCCACAACGTTCAAAGCTACTGTGATACGAGGCCAGAACTTCCTACTTGCTCCTGACGTAATTCCACAAAACCTACCCTCAAATTGATGGGCCTCAATTACGTTGTCATGCATGCGCAGAACCTTTAGCAATGGCGAGAAGAAACTATCAGCTTCACTTGTGGAATATGGTGATGATCACTGTCCGGCCACTTGGCGTGTACTTACCGGAGGAGGATAACCGCTGTACATAGCGGCCGGGAAAGGCATCATCGGTGCCATGTACATATTCGGATACATGCTGTACATGCCCAGCTGCTGTGCTTGCGGCTGCGCCGCCATGAAGTTCATACCGCCTGCACAGTAGCGTAGATACACCAGACATATGCACAACAACCACACCCACGTCATAGTAGAAATGGGATGCATACAAGTATAGGCGGAGGGAGAATGTCAGATTCATAGGGTTTTTTTCTCCATGCCATAAACCCATTCATATATGGAGCTGTATGCCAGTGCACCACGAAAGACCCATATTTTCATGGAGAACCAGGCCAGGAATAGAATAGAGTCGTATATTTATAATATTCATGGGAGTGGGATACCTGTAGCACCACTAGTGGGCTATCTGAGAGGGCCACCAATGCTCTACTACTCTTTTTTTTAAAGAACTCTTTTGTCACATGGCATGCTGCATCATTTCAAAATGCAAACAAATTAGGGCTGAAACGATCATGCATTTAGCCCAATCGATTACTCTTTATCATAACGATCGATTATTCGATTATAATCTTTAAGAGGCCGCACCTGGAATATGTACGTAGAAAGGCCAAAAGTGGAAATATGTACAAAATTTTGCACAAAAAAAGTGTTATGTATGCAGACCGGACGCGACCTTGACCTTCGAGCTTCATGCTCCAGCTGCGTTGTACTACACTGCACTAGGATAGGACTGTTTTTCGATTTTGACAGCATGTAACAAGGCGAGTCGCGCGTGCAGTGCGTAAGAAATTGAAAATTTAAAAAACGCAAAATAATCGTAATCGGTACTCTAAACGATTGCTCGATCGTTAGAGTTATCAAACGAGTACTCGATTATTCGGTATAATCGTTTCAGCCCTAAAAAAATGCATGCAGCATGCCACACTCACTGGGGGTGCCAAGGATGGAGCTTGACGAAGATGATCCTTCGTGTCCAAACTTGCCATCCGCGTTGCCTGAAAACGAGGAGAGTCGCAATCAATAGCAGGAGCTCTAGATCACACTGTCACGGTCAGTGACAATAGCATTCATGCTTGTGTATGCGAGGAAATCATCCACCATCTTCTTCACCCCCGGAGAAGGCAAAGCTGAATACAAGGACCAATCATTTGAATGATTCTGTGTCTCTCGCAATGACAAGTTTCCATTTCACAAGGATGTGAAAGGGAGACACTAGTTGAGGTGCCTCTCAATGGAATATTCGTCATGCAATGGGGGTTAGTGCAAGAGTCACAACCAGAGACTGACCCGAAAAGCGATGTCATATTAAGTTAGAAGAAAAAGCCTTGCCTGTGGCCGGTGCACATACCTTGGAAGTTAGTATTTCCATCTCTCACACCAGACTGGAAACGGAGTAAAAAAAAAGTAAGAAACACAATGACAATAATCGGAAACGGACAAACAAAACACGCACACAAAAGGTGGCATTGCAATCCAGCCAGAGAGAGAGAGAGAGAGAGAGAGAGAGAGAGAGAGAGAGAGAGAGAGAGAGAGAGAGAGAGAGAGAGAGAGAGAGAGAGAGGAGGGAGAGAAGGAAAAAAATTCGACGGGTTCGCGTACCGGGCAGGTCAAGAACAAGGAGTCATACAACTCCCTGGTCAAGAACCACCTTTCCGCTTCCGTGGGACGCCACCACCCCACGATCAGGCGTCAGATGCGGCTCCTAAACGGTGGGGGAGGATAGATCAGATCCACCAACCATAGGCCAAAGGCCTAACTAAATCCCATTTGCCACATCCATGTTTTATTCATGCCAGGCCACGAGTTCCTAATTAACTGTGGGTCGCAGCACGGTTGGAAGGAAAAGGAAAGAGAAGGAAAGGCAGAAGCAAAAAGGAGAGACAGAGAGCGACCAAAAGTTTGATTGACATACCATTGCCAGACCACGCTGCTGTTGAGCTGCATCAAACTCTCCAGAATAACCAGGCATGACGGGCATTCCCTACATGACAAATACAGACGGATACACCGACACACACCGACTGCTATTTTAGGCACTTGTGCAGCACCAGCGAAAACATTGTCCATATTAATTAAAAGCAGAAACTATTGTCGCACACATTCAAAAAAGGTTAATCACATCGCCACGCCGGGTACAGTAAACTTAGGCGTGCGCTTGTGCTCCAACAACAGCATACACTGTGACAAACCTGGCCAGTAACTGCTACAACAGCGCACATGGTATCAAACCTGGCCAGTAACTGCTACAACAGCACACATGGTATCAACTCTGGCCAGTCAGTAACACTACACTAAAACATGCACTGGAATTCAATTACAGCACGTACTAGTAGTGGTGCAGCATGGCTTCTCAGAGACCAGACAGCCAGAGGAACATGAAGATGCTACTGTGAAGCAGGTGTACATGTACTTCCTCCGTATACAAAAACTTCGTGACTTTTTTTGAAAGCTGCGCACACCTCTGGAATTGTTCCGTTTGACTCGGAATAACACTCGTGGCATTGTCTAACCTGTTTACACGCTATATACAAAGAAAAAAGCAACTCAGACGAATGAGATTGAGTTTTTTCAGAGTCTTCGTCGCTCATGTCATTGTCACCTGACGACGCTGACTCCGCATCGCTAACAGTCGCTGCTTCCGCTCGCATTTCGTTCAGATTCTTGTCACCTGCAGTGATGATCCGACGCTGGACTTTGGCTACGTCCTCTTCATCTCTAGAGCTGTGTACGAATCGGTGTCGACTATATTCAGTCGTTCCAACCCGCGACCTCCATTATGCCGTGAAATGAGTCGTACAAGCACATCCACATGCTTCGCATTTTCTCGCCAGGAGAATCCTCCAAAACATTCTACAACGGCTTCGAGGAGGTCCCTGCGATTTCTCTTGGCGACAAAGGAGACGTCTGACTGGTGAGAGGCGAAGAAAGCCAGGCCATCGACATTCTGATCCTGAGTCTGTGCTGGTTGCACGACGACTGAAATGTTTCATTTCGCCGTGCGAGCGAAACAAATCTATGTTCTCACCCTGCGTAGATCTATGGGGCCGCGCACCGCAAGTACGAGCCTGGCCAGTTTCAGGGCAGCGAGTGCCGCGTGACTCTGTGTTCCAGCCACGAGCTACACTTCGTCACTGTGTCAGTTTCGAGCAAGTAAGTGTTAGTTTTTTTTCATTTGACTCTTGAGTTTCTGTCGGCAACGTCCTCACACGCATGGCGTCCGTGGAGAATCTGTTCGGGATCAACCAAACTAACCTCGACATGGACGTGGGTTGCCGATGACAGCCTTTGGCGTCGTTCGTTGAGCAGGTTCTTGCTCAAAAACACCGTTCAAACAAAGTCAAGAAGTTTTTGTATACGGAGGAAGTACATGCACGGTACAGCAGCTGAGTTTTACTGTGGTCACAAAAAGATGGAAATAAGAATGCCCGCCGTTGGCCTGGATTGTTTCTCTTGCTTTTGCTTCACATCTGTAGGGGGGAGTATCCAAACAGGCAACTCAAGTGTGCCAGGTTGCAGATGCACTTTTGCACAGCCAGACGTTTGAGAGTGCTATAGTATACTGGTTGCAAGCTCCGGGTGACTCTCGATGCATGTACCTAGAAAAGAGAGGATGGCTGCATTCTCGCTTTTTGCTCTCACCATGAAGTTAGGCATGTAGGCAGCAGCATTTGGTGCTGTTGGTCCCATCATCATGTTCGGGGGCATGGACTTCATGCCTATACACACACACAAACACCGGTATGAACACACAGCACAGCACAGCACAAGACACACAGCATGCACAGCACAAGACACACACACACACACACACACACACACATACTCAGTACACAAAGCAGATGTACATCAAGAGTGCACGACAGAAAAGCATACCAACAACAATAACTACAATCACATTTGTATCATGTTCGCACCTGTAGCGCTCATAATCAGCTCACAAAGAGATGCAGCAACATGGCATCTCAGCTGCCAAATGCAGCAGAACAACATACAAACCAGTATAAGTCCAGACTACTAGTACATTTCGAAAACATCACAGCAGAAGGCAGTGGAATCTGATAACGGGGCATTTCAACCCGGCAACACTCGACGGCACCCTACAGTTGTGCAGTCCAGCACGGTTGACGTACCCAAAATGCAACCCACACCGCAGTTCACGAGGCAATGGTCAGATTTCACTGCGGCCAGCACTGTAGTATTATTATGTTACTGCAGGTTACAAAACTTGCTCCACGTGCCACCGCTGAAAACGGTAGAAGAAACAAGTGTGAACAGCTGCAGGCGTTTGCTGTACCCTACCGAAAGAAATCGCAACACAACCGAGTAATGTGAAGCGATTCTTGATCAGGGTTTACGACACACACACATACGCGTTGGCATGCGTGCGTGCGCGTGCACACACACACACACACACACACACACACACAAGCAGAGGATCTTAACATCACGCAGACAGTCATTGCCCACCCACCTGGCATTCTCATCGGCAAATTACTAATTCCTGGTGGAGCACCAGCATGGCCATGGTGTGCCGAACCAGATGAAGACTGTCCAGATGTTTGCTGGTGCTGGTGTCCATGTGTTTGGCTATGAGTACTCGAGTGTTGCTGTTGCTGCTGCTGATGATGTTGCTGGTGGTGAGATTGCTGGTGCGACTGCTGCTGGTGATGGTGGGACGACTGAGAAGAGCCTTGCTGTGACGACGTTTGTCGCTGCTGGCGCTGTGGTTGCTGCGGTTCTTCAGTGTGTGCTGAGCCCTGGCTTGCGGCAGTGGTTGCCGCCGACGTCGTCTGGGGCTGTGACTTCTGTTCGGCCTGCTGGCTGGTAGCTGGCTGCTGTGCTTGCTGCTGAGGGGGAACCGACGGCGGTTGTTGCTGCTGTTGTTGCTGTGAAGGTGGCATGGCAATAGGTGCTGGTGGTGAGGCCGAGTGAAAACCAATGGTGCTAGGGTCCTGGGCAGTCAGGCTTGGTGACACCGACACCGCTGGTGACTGAGTAGAGCGCAGCTGTCACAGCACACAGCACAAAGACACGCATTGCCGCAGCTGAAACTCACAATGCAGGAGAGAAAGGGAGATGGAGATGCGCTTCCAGGAACAGAATTTCTTCGATGACAGGAATCTTCATCTGGATTAGGGTGGATTAGTGTACATGCAAAAACTGTCATCAAACGGAGAAGAATGGCAGTTTGCGTTTTTTTCTTCTTCAGACTCTTCCCTTGACTGCTGACGTTTTCACAGTTGTAGTTGTCTTGTCTTGGCAAACATGCCATGCCTATGGGGGTTCGGTGATGGGACAACTGTCTGCTCTCATAGGGCTTCGGCTTCACAATACCTACGGATTGACGAGGAATGTCCACTATTCCTCCAGATATGCGGTCGACTTCTAACTCTGCTCCTGTTAGCCGCATGGCAGGCAGGGCTTCCATGAAGGATGAGTCCACACCTCAAGCACAAATTCCAATGTTACTACTTGTACTGCGACAAAGTACCTGAAACACTAATACATATACATGGACATGTCTACATACCGATGGTGCAGGCGGAGTTCCCACAATTAGAGGTGACTGATGGGCAGTGATACCCGAGTCAGCACCCGGTGCTGAGCCTACATTCGACGAGGCGCGGTCCAGGAAACCCGACGTGCCGAGCGAGCCAGCCGGTGTTGAATGTGCGGAGGATGAATGTGCTCCGGAACCGGGAATGGCTATGGCGCCTGCAGCAGTTTGAAGAGACCAGAAACAGGCATTGCACACTCCCAGTCAACACACATACGTGTTACATCATACTTATCACCATGACTGAACAATGTGGCGTGTAAGCATGGTACTCGCTAAGCAGTGCAAGCACACCGAGGCAAGATTTACCCGCAACATTATGCCCTGCTGCTAGTACGTACATGCCGTGAGTACTACCCAATGCTGTAGACAGCAAGCTGTTTCAACCATAAAGGCCTCATTAGTAACAGCTACGATCTTTAAAGGGGAAGTTAAGGCAAAAATTAAAATTTCACCAGTTGTAGTCTTTGGGGTGCTAAGTCGAATGGTCGTGGTCCGAGGAAGCTGAGACGCTCCCTTCCTACTTGAATCCCAATCAAACTCGCGTACTTCCACCGAAACTGGGTGACTGCGCCCTACTAGATGGGGATTTGTATGCAAAATGTCACTAAAAGCGCCATTTCGTTCTTATAAAAGCACGGATGACCGCGATTGGCCCATATGTTGTAGTCTTTTGGACGCTGAGTCGACTGGTTTTGGTCCGAAAGGGCTGCGATGCAGCGTTCCTCCTTTATTCCCAATCGAACATGGTTGAAGAAGCGGTCACGTGCTCCTGCGTACACCAGTCACCTGGTCACCGTGCCTGCAGGGTACAACTTACTAGCCTGTTTGACCTTTTTTGGGTGCAGTCCTGTCACTCGAGTTGAACTCGAGTTGAACCTTGGTGTGAAAGTTGTCACCTGCTGGCGTGGTGACCAGGTGATTTGGGCACCCAGGACCACGTGACCGGTTCTTCAACCATGTTCGATTGGGAATAAAGGAGGAACGCTGCATCGCAGCCTTTTCGGACCAAAACCAGTCGACTCAGCGTCCAAAAGACTACAACATATGGGCCAATCGCGGTCATCCGTGCTTTTATAAGAACGAAATGGCGCTTTTAGTGACATTTTGCATACAAATCCCCATCTAGTAGGGCGCAGTCACCCAGTTTCGGTGGAAGTGCGCGAGTTCGATTGGGATTCAAGTAGGAAGGGAGCGTCTCAGCTTCCTCGGACCACGACCATTCGACTCAGCACTCCGAAGACTACAACTGGTGAAATTTTAATTTTTGCCTTAACTTCCCCTTTTTAAATAGGCCGAGAGTACTATAAAGATTCACACACACACACACACACACACACACACACTGCAGGTATTACAAAGCATCACGTTTATCACACTGACCTGATTGGGTAGGTAGCAAGTCGCTGCTTAGAGACAATAGCGCATTGGCACCAACAGACGAAGGTTGGCCGTCGGCACCCAGTCCTTCTGCTACAATCTAGAAAAGCGGACAAGAAGAAGCAGGCAACCACTGCAATCATCATTAGAAACTACAAAAACAGGCGTATGGCTACTCTCTAACAAACTATCGAGTACATGTACAGTAAGTTCGGACGTCAAAGAATGGGCTGCTGAAGAACATCCAGGCTAGAAATTCACCAAGATAATAATAAGTTTAAATAATAACGTTTCAGGCTTCAAAAAAAATTAGGAGCACCAGTGTGTGTTTTCATGCAGCACTGCATGCACAGTGTACCTGTACCAGATAAATGTACTGGCACAGAACAAGAACAAAGACGCTGGAATCTCGAAAATGAGATCACTAGCATGAAACGGAGCCCGATTTTACATTGGAATTTACATTGGAATAAACACCACACCAATTCTCACAAGAAAACATTTCTTCCTTGTTTTCAGCAGCACACTACGGTGGGAAATTCAACCCCACAGCCACTGTGACCATGCACAGAACCATTGGACCCATAGACACTACAAGTACACAGTATGCTGCACAACACGCCCAGATCATAGCGACCACAATACTCATAACTAAGCTCCAACACACTAAGAGTACCCGTCTATTACAACTCAGGCTGAGACAAGGATGTTACCGGTATGTATAATTCTAGTCACAAAAGCCAACAACTCGGAAGTCACTTCAAGGACTCGGAAGACAGAACAACAAGGAAAGGGCAAGGAAGCACAGGTTGGCCTGCGTGCATGCAGAGTCCTAGTGACGTCTTAGTGACGTCAACACAAGACATGTACATGGATATCACACCATCAACCTACACAATCTATCAAGTCTCTACCAATACTAGTGTACGCCGCTCAGGAACCAACATGCAGATACCGGTAGGCCATATTTCAAGCACAGCAGTCTATACACAAGTCTACATACACACCTACCGGTTGTGTATCAATGGGCGCATACATACACACCTACCGGTTGTGTATCAATGGGCGCATACATACACACCTACCGGGGGTTGTGTATCAATGGGCGCATACATACACACCGGTTGTGTATCAATGGGCGCATACATATACACCTACCGGTTGTGTATCAATGGGCGCAGCAAGTGAAGCGTGTCCAGGTGGCGGCCGCACATGACTAAGCGCTCCCATTTGACCATGATGTACGTTGGTCAACGGCGAGTCAAGGGTGGTCAAGTTCGGAATAGGTGATGTGGAGCTCAAGGGCAGGCCCTCCATGCCAGAAACACCACCGGTTGGACTGGATGGGCTATTGTAGGATGTAACAAAGGGCACATACACACACACACACACACACACACACACACACACACACACACACACGCGCACGCACACACACACACATACACAAGGCTATACTGTACCAATGTCCAGTGCATATATACAAGTATTGAGTACACGCTAGAAGAATATTACATATCTTGAAGCATTTTACATGCGACAAGTTACCATGCAAGAGTTACACATCCGGAAAACTTACGATGCCAATGTCTGGTGTGCCGACGAAACATATTCAAGGCGGTCATCCTGCAACGCATACACACCATATGCACAAACACATTAGACTATCAGACACTGATTCGTAATATCCACAGTTCTGCAGCGGGATAAGCCTGTGTGCAAATCCTCCTAGAAACATTTGACCAAAAAAGTCTTGTGTCACTTCTCCAAGGACACGGGAGCTAATCTCTCTGTTTGTACCCTGAAATTTTGTTAGAAGGATAGTTCTTCTCCTTCAGTTATCGTCCCCAATCCGGAGATTGGAGGGGGGGGGGGGAAGCCATCCTGTAAACAATGCAAAGGTGACGTCATGGTTTCAAAGCTGCTCCCAAAGCTTGCCACAGCTCAGTTGTTGGCAACAGCAGTTGCTGTACCATCCTCGAACTCGCTCAATCAGCGGGAGAGTAAAACTAGCGAATGCAGTGCCATGAAGATCGGCCATCGGGCAAGCTGTCTGCTTCCATGGTTGGTGGATAACTGGCTAAGATCTCAAAACCTGAACTTTGCTTTGCAGATGTACATGTACACTTAGAGCACATTTCTGGAAAGGGTTGATCCGATCCAAGACATCTTCACTGAGAAGAAAAAACTGGCCACAACGATGCATCTCCCTCCCGAGACGCCAAATTAAATGAGGTCACATCGACAGTTGTTTTTGTTTGTACAGTACAGAAATGCATGTGCATAGTGGATGCCAGGCAGGCCTTTCGGAATGAATGTTTGGCTTAGAACACGGAGAAAGCGCAATGAGCATAATATGCTCACTGCATGTTCCCCGTGATATAAGCCACAAAATTATTATACAGGTCCAAGTGACGGAGAGTATAAAGTCTAGCAGACACAAACCTGAACAGAGGAGAGATTCGCAGGTGTCGAGCAAGGCTCTGTCTGGAAATTACCAAACTGTCAACACAAACACCCACACACACATACACGCACACACCCACACACACATGCACGCACGCATGCACACAGACCCACACACATCACCGCCACCACAACACCCACAAAGACAGAAACACTCAGCATCAACACATTTAACACACGCTAACACCACAAAATCAAGTTGATGGAAATAGCAACAGATCAAACTCTTGTTGCCAATGATATACTTCAAGTAATAAACGCAACACATTCCACCAAAAAGTAGAAGGGCTCGATAGCTGATATGTGTAATTGCCTAATTGGCAAACTGCGGAGACCCCATACTATTCATCAATCTTCTTTGCACAAATAGAGCACCATCGGCTTCAAAATAGACTTGCGGAACACGGTTGACAATCTGCAAAATGTGCCCGGCAAGGACCAGGGGTGTTTCCTTCAATTCCAAACTACAGTAAAACCTGTGACTAACGACCACCCCTTGGGGCCAGAGAAAGCGGTCTTTAGTTGCAGGTGGTCCTTACTTAGAGGTTTGCACCGCGCAACCATTATATGAATGTGAGACCGTCCGTGCCTGGCAAAGTGGTCTGTAGTGCCAGGCTGGTCGCTAGTCACGGTGGTCTTTAGTTACAGCTTTTACTGTAGTTGAGAGTTAAAATACTAGCACGCATTGCTATGAACATCATCTACAAGGAGGACTCAGCGCCACCAACACACCTGAATATGGCTGATGTCTTGAATGACGTGATGAAGAGTTGGCATTTCTACCGGCTGAGCAGGGATCTATCACAAGGCGTAACAAAATGGTAGTAAAGGATCGAGTCGAGCTGTGTTGCATGAAAAACTAGAAGAAAGCAACTCCCAAAGCACCAAAGCAGCTTGTGCATTTGGGGTGAGGGTGGGCTAGGCATGGAGCTGAAATGGAAAGGTTCAGCAAACAACAATAGGGAGGTGACAGCATTTGCCGAGATCATTACTACATTAGAGTTGAAACGACTATGACACAGCATGTTCACACGGAGTACAGCGTTTAAAACGAGTGGGCTGTCATGTCCTGAACATGGACCATAATGTATGTAGTGCGCATGCTCGCACAGGAGCTGGGTCTTTTTCGGGTATGGAGTTTGAGATGAACTGAAATTTGTAATGGCCTCAAGTGTGTGTGTGATCGAGCTGGATGAGTCCGAGTAGAACCCACCTGGGGTAGGACACAACAACTGGCGACGAAGATATGGCTCGGATATCATCGCTTCAGCCGTTTTCCGGCGGCGACTTTGAAGAGTTTGAGGAAAGACTTGAATTCTATTTCTTTGCCAATGATATTGGAACCGTGGCTGCTTCGGCCAATGCTGCAGACAAGTTAGCTGCCAGCAAGAAAAGGAAGGCTGTATTAGTGAGTTTGCTGTCTGCGGAAGTCTACTCGATTTTGAGGAGCCTCTGTCTGCCAGCGAAAGTAGCTGACAAGAAACTGTCGGAGATTTGCGATCTTTTGAGGAAGTATTTTCAGCCTGCAATTTCGCAAGTTTCGGCGACGTTCAATTTCCATCAGTTGAAGCAGAAGGAAAATGAGTCGACTGCGGATTTCATCATTCGTCTGAAGAGATTGGCTGTGAGGTGTGAGTTTGCTGATCCCCTCGATCGAGCGCTTCGAGACCAGTTTATTGCTGGCTTGAGCAGCTCATCCACTCGAAATTTCTTATTGACGAAAGAAGATACTTCGGCACAGTCGTTCAATGACATCGTCAAACTAGCTTTGACGCAGGAATCGGCTGCGCGCGCGGCCGTGCAGCTGACCTCTCGCTCTCAGCAGGAAGTGCACAAGGTGAATCACCGGCCAGTGGAATCGCGTTCGCAGGCGCAGTCTGGTGTTTCTCATCAATCTCGAGAGCAGAGATTGTGCTACCGCTGTGGGTCTACTCAACACTTGGCGGATAAGTGCAAACACAAGGCCACTGAGTGTCGTCACTGCCACAGGAAGGGGCACTTGGAGCGTGTTTGTCGGCAGAAATCCACGTCAGGCGCGTCGGTGCACAATGTTGTGACTGATGACGCAGGTGAGCATGAATCTGCTGATCTTGAGTGCATGCCAATGTTCCACATTTCGGATCAGGGCGAATTGAAGAGCAAATCTGTGCCCTCCTACAAATTGGAAATTGCTGTGAATGATGTTCCTGTTGTAATGGAAATCGACACGGGCAGTGGCATTTCAATCATTTCTGTCCATGATTTTGAGTCACTTGGGGTGTCTCGTACAAATTTAACCAAACCGAGTGTACGCATGACCGGTTTTTCTGGGGCAGAAATCAAATGTATTGGTGAAGGGAAGTTCAATGTCAGCATTGATGGTGTGGAGAAACCAACACTACTCCGTGTGGTGGATAATGGTGGTCCGTCATTGTTGGGCAGGGATATGTTGTCCCAATTTACTCTACCGTGGAAACAGATTGTCAATGTCAATCATGTTCAAATGGATGGTAGGAGGAGAGCTCTCATTGAGGAATTTGAGGAGCTATTCGATACGACTCAGGTTGGCAAGCTGAGGTCGGCTCAAATCACCCTGAGAGTGGATGATTCTGATCCAATTTTCCACAAGGCGCGTCCCGTACCGTTCTCTATCACGGAGAAGTACGAGGAGGCTTTGGAGATATTGGAAGCAGAGGGAGTTATTCGCAAAGTTGAGCGCTCCAAATGGGCATCGCCTACTGTGCCAGTACTGAAATCGGATGGTAGTATCCGAATTTGTGCTGATTACTCTCGCTCAATCAATGCCAAGTCTGATTTGGAGCACTACCCGCTACCTACTATTGAGGAAATGTTAGCGAAATTGTCGGGGGGAGATGAATTCACCAAATTGGATCTCTCCCAAGCCTATCACCAACTGGAGCTTGATCCAGCTTCTCGGCCGTACACGACAATCTCTACTCACAAGGGGTTGTATGAATACGTGAGATTGCCGTTTGGCATTCACTCGGCAGTGGCAATTTTCCAACGCACAATGGAATCCATATTGGCAGATCTGCCTGGGTGCATCGTCTATGTGGATGACATCCTGATTACTGGGAAGGATGAGGATGAACACCACAACAACCTGATCAGGGTACTACGTCGCCTACAGGAGGTCGGGATGAAGCTTAATCCCAGTAAGTTTCATTTCATGATGGATGAGATTTCCTACCTGGGTCACACGATTTCTAGTGCTGGTGTGGCTCCCACAGCGGATAAGATTGAGGCAATGCGGGACGCTAAGGCTCCTTCGAATGTTAACGAGCTTCAATCATTCATTGGAACGGCGAATTTCTTGCGACGGTTCATACCTCATTTCGCAACAATAATGGTACTTCTTTTCTCACTCACACGTCAGTACTGCACACATACTCACACACACACTCTCTCTCTCTCTCACATACACACACACACACTCACACACACTCATCACAGAATAACAACTGCGGGGGGACAGCCACAGCAAGGCTGGTTGCACTCTTGTGTCCAGAACACAGACAGAAAAACGTCCAGCGAAAACAACACCTCATAGAGTGACAGCATTGTGCGAGGTGAATCATACAGAAAAGCACAGCAATCGACAGAGCATCCGCACATTCCACACCTCGCACAACTTATAACCTGTATTGTAGCAGCAATATTGAGAAATCTATCAGAGAGAGAGAGTAACGCAGCGCTCTCACAATCATGATCTGTGTGTGAAAACCGTACAAAGCTCCTCATTGGGAGGGAGGGTGGGAAACCAGCTTGCAAAGCAAGAAAACAAAAGATGAGGGACTGCGGCGTACCAGTACGCCCAAAACTGTTGGACCTCGGTCCCAGACCTGTTCGTTCGAAAAGAACAACATTTCTTGTTTATTTCGTAAAACTCAGCCAACAAGAAATGAAAACTTCTTTTCTCACTCACACGTCAGTACTGCACACATACTCACACACACACTCTCTCTCTCTCTCACATACACACACACACACTCACACACACTCATCACAGAATAACAACTGCGGGGGGACAGCCACAGCAAGGACACTAAAGCATAGCAGTAGAGTCACACAGCTAGCACTTGAGACACCTGCAGCAGATTGGGCAGGGATTCCTGAATGTAAGCCTTCATAGCATCACTTCTCCATCCTCCCTGTCGCTGAATGAGCCTATCTGGTACTCCTGCTGCAGCAGCCGTGGATGCACCTCCCGATCTCAAACTGTGTAAACCATACTCATCTGGGTTTACGCCGATACGCTTCAGAGCTTCACGCACTAGCTCTCTTGCTCTGCTGTAGGATAGCGAGTGCTTGATGGCGGTCCTGCCCTTTACACGAGCTATACGCCCGAACAGCTTGACATGACCTTGGTGCCCTCCTTTTTCAATCAGATGCTCCACTAGCGATACCGGGCACAGGTCACTCTCCCACCGGCTGATGAACACCCAGCTACCTTGCCTCAGTTGGTCGTTCTTGCGAACTTGCAGGAAGACCGCCATATGTGATGACTTGATGGCTACCTCATCCACGAAGATGTTGGCCAAATCATCCCACCTCATCATACCGGCATAACCCAGTACTATGAGGGTTAGGGTCTGCAGGTCTTGCAGTGATGAGCTTGACAGTTCCCGATGGAGGCGCTCCAGAAGTGGTTTTGATAATGGCAATTTTCTATCCTTCGGTCGAGCCAGAGAGCGCTTGGCTGCCTGCATCACATTCTTCACCACTCCGTTAGAGCATGGGTCCGAGTATCCCTGGATATCATGTTTCCATGACAAGGCGCACACGGCTGAGACCAATGGGCTGACAGTTTTGGCATCTTGCATGATGTAGACCAGATATAGGGCTACGTGAAATGGGTCTGCTGGCAGATGAGGCACCTTCTGACGCTCTGCCCATTTGCTCCATCTACAGAAAGCAGAGTCGTACTTCTTCACAGTTCTTGGTGCCCGACTCATATTCATAATGGATGGCAGACATTGTTCCAGCGCCTTCATGTCCTCTGAGAGGTTGTCCTTGGCTGGTTCTGAACAGAGAATAGAATGGTTTCTGTCAATGCTTCCTAGCTGGCTATGTCAGAGCAGTCGACTCGTCAGCTTCCTTCTTCCCCCAGGGGGATGTCGTCGCTATACCTGGCGATCTTCCACCACTCCTGCCATTCACTCGCACCCACAGCTTTCCACTGCCAGGCAGTTGCTTACGTGCTCAGAGCACAATCACCTCCCCACAGTGGGGACATCCTGCAGCAGGACCTCGCAGACACTGCATGCACGCATTCTCGCTCATCACCACATGCTCCACAAACAGACATCTTTCCGTCAGAGAAAAACTCCAGCGGCCGGCGAATTTCAGCATCCCTCTTCTAACAAACACAGTTTGTCACTGTACAAATGCGTAGTGCATACACGTCACAAGGACTCACACTGCCCCCAAAGAAATTGTATGGACAAGTACCCTCCAGGAAGGTATCATGAGACTTTGGCAGGCTGATTGCCTCCTTAACGAAATCTGCCCACTTTGGGCCGCAACGCAACTTTGGCCACCATGGCGCCGATTGCCATTCTGGAACAACCAAAGTACCGTGGCATTTTGACACGATCAACATATCTACCACACGCCCTATCAAGTACATTGGTGGTACCAGCCAAACTCTTTCTCCGCTCCAATTCACAGTGAATGCATCAATACCCGAGCACCCCGGGTTCCACCACCTTGAGCAGAATCTACTCATTTGCTTTGTTCTGCTGCTTGCAAAGCAATCAATGCTGTGAGGGCCCCACATCGAATCAAGCCAATCGAACAATTTGGGATTTAACTGCCAGTCATCCGTATCAGACAGCTTTGAAAGGTAATCGGCCAGCTCATTTTCTTCGCGAGGCACCCATTCTGCCAGCAACTGAATACCATGCACGGCGCACAGCTTGTGAATCTCCAGTGCTTCGCTCTGCAAATGAGATTTTGAACTGCCTACTTGTATTATGTGCACGGCTGCCTGGTTATCGCTTCTGTGAATGCAAACGCCACCTTCAATCTCTTTCGACAGCGAACTCAGAACCAACAAAATAGCTCGCAGCTCACGCCATGTGGAGCTGGCACCAGCCTGCACAATTTCTTTGGTCCATTCCCCTTTAGCTAATTCAGTTCCTTTTGATGTAACTGAGAAACCTCCCCAGCCAGAGTCGCTCGCGTCGGACCACGAGAGCACTGTCACCCTGGGGTCTTTTTTCCAAAAAGGTTGACCGTGGCATTGACTAAACGAGCCAGACCAAAACTCCAGATCTTGAAGCGCCATTTGAGACCAGCTGAGTTTTGCATGCCACGACTCACGGTTCATAATCAGTGCATAAAATGACCTCGTCCTCAACCTGCACACGGGGCCCAATGCCAGCGACATAGATAGCAAATACCCCGTAAGCCTGGCCAATTGTCTGGCAGTTGGATATTCGACCTGTGACAGCTTTTCTACAAACGTCTTCAGCTTTTCCACCCGTCCCTTAGTGACCCGTATGATCCCTTCCCTCATGTCGACTTCCATGCCAAGCATTTCTACCGTCTGTGAGGGCTCCCAGTGGCACTTATTTTCGTTTGGAACAAATCCGGCCTGAACTAGATCTGATTTCAATCTTTTCGCTACTGCCTGTGCACCCTCAACTGTAGAGTGCCCACCCGACCCGTCATCCATGTAAAGCTGGCATCTGATGCCGTCCCTCCGCCAGTGTCTTAGTAAGACACGGGTTACCTTCGTGAAAATGTATGGGGCAGTGGATAAACCGAAGGGGAGAACACGGAAAACGAACCACCTGCGATCACCCCCCTTCCCCACCCAGGAGAAACCTAAGTACTTCCAATACGCCTTCGCAATTTCAATATGATGGTACCCACTCTTCAAATCGAACGTAACCAAATAATCTCCCTGAGAGTACACATTTGCCACGACCTTCATGTCCTCGAGCTTGAACTTAAAGTTTTGCAAATGCTTGTTTACATACCTCAAGTCCACAATGAGTCGTAGCTTCTTGCCGTTGTTCACAACGCCTAACGGACTGGTGACTACAACATCCTCCCTTTTTACTTCTTGAATGCAACCCTGGTTCAGCAGACTTTCCACCGAGTCACAAACAAACTCGGCATTCTCGCATGCACTGCGGTGGTTTGCAAATTCTCTTGCACGCGGGACCTCTATGAAGGGCAGTGCGTATCCATGCAGTACTATGGTTTGAATAAACCTAGATGCCCCCATCATGCGCCAAAATTGCATACATTTAGCTAGGCTACCTACTTGAACATCTTGAACACCAACTTCACGCACATCCCACCCACCATCAGCCTCCATCAAATAAGAATCAACATCTCTTTCTTCATCGGAATGAATTGGTGCAACAACAGCAGGCTTATTTTCTAGCAGCGGGGGCAGAGATGGTCTGGGTGCAGAATCTGACGAAGTGGTCAGCGCTGCCGCAGCGGTGGCACACAGGCCTGGGGGGTCTGGGGGGAACTGCTGGGGCAGGGGTTGCTGTGACGCCCGGCGTGAAGGGGATTGGGGAATTGCCCCAGCTCCTGGACGAGGTGGCTGGGGCACTGCCACGAAAGGGCTGCCTAACGTTAACAGTGGGGGCTCTTTGCTTCGTGCTTTGAATCGCAGCGATTAGCTTTTTTGACTTTTCGGAGGACGACAGGATGTCGACCAGCTCACCCCCCTCTTGAAACCTGCTGGCCGCCTCGTGGCCATGCACATCCGCCACCACCAACCATTCTTGTCTAGCAGACAGCAACGACTCACCTCTTCTGAGCCTCTTAGAGAGACTTCGGCCACCCTTCAGCTTCCGCAGGTCCCGCCTGGTCTTCTTGAGTTGGCGTTGCAGCTGCTCATTCAGGCCGTGCTGCACTTCATAAGACCTTGTCTTCCACTTTCGCGCTGACATCGAGGTGGAGGATCTTCGCGACTTCTTCGATTTTTTGAATTTTTTGGTTTTTCTTTTCCGGCGGGAGTCATCCGACGAGTCAGACGAATCTGATGACGAGGACGATGAAGAAGATGATGACGAAGAAGATGAAGACGACGACGACACAGAAACATTACGGCGTTTACGCTTGGACGAGGACGACTCATTTCCCCGTTCCAGCTGTCCCTCGAGGAGCCTGATTCTCAGGGCGCTCTCTTCCTTTTCCGCCTCAAACTTCTCCCTCATTGCATTGAGCTCCACGGTCAGCTGCGCTGCCGAGGGGGCCTTGGATTTTTTCCTTGGAGGTACCAGCTGCGCTGCCGAGGGGGCCTTGGATTTCCTTGGAGGCATAACGGAAAGGCAGGTAGATCTACGACTGACGAAATCAAGGGAGTCCAGAAAAAGGCAACCAGCTTGCAAAGCAAGAAAACAAAAGATGAGGGACTGCGGCGTACCAGTACGCCCAAAACTGTTGGACCTCGGTCCCAGACCTGTTCGTTCGAAAAGAACAACATTTCTTGTTTATTTCGTAAAACTCAGCCAACAAGAAATGAAAACCTCTGTACAATCTGGTGAAGAAATCTGCTGAATGGCAATGGGACCCCGGAATTTCAGTGCGGCCAAGCTGTCCTGGCTTTGAATTTCGGCAAAGGAGGAGATAAGTGGGCCCCAGCCGTGGTCACGGCTGTTCTCAGTCCGATGACGTATCAGATACAAGTCGGTGATGCAATGTGGAAACGCCATCGCAACCAGCTGCGTCCTCGGCAAATCCCTCAGTTCGATGCAGGGGTGTTTGAGCAGAGTGGAGCAAGTTTAACCCTTTGAGAGCCGATTGAAAATTTCAAAATTCTGCATATTTTCATGTTCTTTGGGACGTAACTTCAGTTCTACTCACTCAAACTTCACAATCTTGGGCTTCCTGGAAAGGTCTCCGCGAGAGGAAGAGACTGAGGTCACGCATGATGACCAGGACGCCATATCTCCAGCGCCAGAGAGCAGCGACCTAGCGAAAACTGCTTGAAATGCGTGCACTTTCGTCCTGCTCCAGCATTTTCATTTTTCTTGATCGCAGAGTTTCGATTTTTTCGCTGTGTACCCTTGGAAATACTACCAGTGAAACCCACGCAAATTTGAGTAACTCAGCGCGAGGAAAAGTCTCAAAATTCTCAACTTTCGAGTTGCACTCCCACGCTTTTCAAGTGCCGCGATCGCGGCTGAACTTACGAGCGATTTATCTCAAGAACCGTTGATCGCAGCGCGTCGCGGATGGGTTCTACGGCACGCTGAGAGTTTTCTCTTCAAGGTAGATATTTGGATCGTTGAATTTGAGCTAGTTTTGACCGAGTTACGGCCAGTTGAAGTCTCACAGTCGAGTGTGTAGAATTCTACACATTCAAGTATGGGTCGGCTCTCAAAGGGTTAACAGCCCAGGCACAGCCGTCACTCAGCAACAACGACGCCAGTGTCACGGCAGCGGAGCTAGGCGCGCCGGTCTCAGCAATAACCGGTACTAGTGAGTCTGCGTCGGTTAGCACTTCACGTGCCAGCTACAGCAAGACGTCGTCACCGCAAGCTGAACGACGGTCAACCCGCGCTACTGTTCGACCAGTTCGTTTCAAGGATTGACGTTCAGAACACACAGTTCATATAGACCTATTCTAGTCTGTGGAGTTTTAATGATATATTTTGGACTCTGCTGGATATTGTATATAATTATATATTTATGGTGTAAATATGGTGTATAGTGTATCATGAAATATTATGTCTCGGCAGTTTTGAGTTTTGAGATTGCATGTTGATATGTTTACTATTGCATAGTTCTAGATGCTTCGCCTCAACTAGTGAGGGGGAGATTGTCATGTCCTGAACATGGACCATAATGTATGTAGTGCGCATGCTCGCACAGGAGCTGGGTCTTTTTCGGGTATGGAGTTTGAGATGAACTGAAATTTGTAATGGCCTCGAGTGTGTGTGTGATCGAGCTGGATGAGTCCGAGTAGAACCCACCTGGGGTAGGACACAACAGGGCTATCCAGGTAATCGAAAACCTCCCTGATCAAAAATAAATGGCTAGACCACTGGATGGTCTACTCAGTCACCTCGCATGTGGCATTCCCTAGACTAGATGGAGAAAAAGAACAACCTTGCGGATGTGCACTCACAGTACACGTAGGCTCGCATCTACTTCCATGCACATGTACCATGACGTGCACAGTGACATCAGCATCAAGCAAAAAAAACAACGTGACACACGTACCTCTGGTCGCTTGACGAACATGGACGTTAGAACAGCTTCGGGCATGCCTGCGGGAAACGTCATGTGGTAGGACTCCAGGCTAGTGCTGGGCAACTCAACAACGAGCCCAGTCGGAACAATGTCATCCGCAGCAGCCAGCCTGAACAAAAATAGCAGCCACACAACAACATGTGAAGCCATTGACACTGATTCAAAAATGAATGAAGAATCACGCCTGGAACACAATTTGCAACTCAGCACAGGCAGTATTCCAACAGCTAGAACTAGAAATGAGAGGTGCACTTCGAGCTCGTCACAAAGTGGACTACATTGTATTGGCACGCGATGTGCTCACGCTCATGTTGTCAACACATACCCCAGAGTGGTACATCTCACCACAAGACAGAGGAATTCACGGGGAATACGACATGAACAGCATCCAGCAGTCACTTACTGTTCACTGGACTCAACAGTAGTCATGCCGAGCATCGCATCCTTGCAGGAAGAAACAGCAGGTCAGCATCCACAGAAAGAACACAACGAATTATTCCCCCAAGCTATTCAGAAGACGTTGCACAGGGGCGTTTGGCATAGCCAAGGTTCACAGCATAATACAATTTGAGCCATGGAAGCCGTGATCCATTCAAACTCGTAAAAATAAATAAATATAAAGCAAAAAAGGTTGATACAGTCAAGCCTAGACAGGTGGTTTTCTATGCAGGTCAACATGTATGTTGAAGCGTGGATTAGTGACAGAGATGAACGGTATCTACAGGCAGGTGGTGTCCTATTGCAGTGGTCACTACATACAGGTTCCACTGTACAGGTATATGATGTCCTTAGCCCACAATCAACACATGCTACCTATGGCAAACAAAGGCCTGCAGACATATTGCCGACAAGTACAGTACTGTACTACTTAACCCTTCAAAACACCTAGTCCGGTTAATTTAAAAAAAAAATCCGACGGGTTCGCGTGCCGGGCAGGTCAAGAACAAGGAGTCGTACAACTCCCTGGTCCGGTTACCATTCCTTTAAAGACGGGAAACCAGTTAGCACAGTACACTTACCTGCACATGATCAGCATCAACATTGCCATCAGCCGGCACGGCAACAGCAGTAGCAGTAGCAGTAGGGGTGGCAGCACTAACATCACCAGTGGTCCATTCACTGGCGTGCCCATCAACGTTGTCTCTCCAGCTTTCGATCTGCAGCTGGTGAGAGGAGTCATCGGCAGACTGCCAAGTGCTGGGCTTTGCGGACACATCGGCGTCGGACACCAACGCTACAGGCTCACTGTCAGTTGGCCAGCCATCTGACTCTTCCTTCGACTCTGGCTGAGTGCTAGGCCAAGTGGCAGGTGTTTGCTTAACAGGCGAGGCACTGATGTCATCTCCCCACTGCGCGGTGCTGGTCTTAGCGCCAGTGCTCATGCCCCAGCCTTCATTGGCCGACGGCGACACTGTTGCATCAGCCCAATTGCCCACGACCGGCGGCGGGTCGGCGGTGCGGTTGAACCTTGGCGTGGCATTCACGTCCGTGCTCCAGCGGTCAGACTGATCGTCGTCCAGGCCCTTCGGCACTGCTTCCGGCGCAGACTTGTTCATAGTGGCGCCCCAGCTCGGGGCAGATCCACCTGCACCCCACACTCCAGACGCTGCGATCGGCTTGTCGACCTCGCTGTTACCCGCTGCAGGCCAGCCAGAATCTAACAGAAGCAGAATAAGTCCTAGGATTAGCTCTTGCCTTCCAATGGGAATCCATGCTACTGAAAACGGCCCACAATCGCATCTACGGTCTAGTTGAAAGCACAGTGTACAGTTTCAGGATAATAGTATTGTAGTGTTATCTTGTATGTGTGTGTGTACCCATTGTGCATGCTTGTTTCTCTTATTTGTACCTTCTCTTTATAGATCTAGACTATCCATTACAGTATCCCTTTCATGATTCATCCCATATCTAGATGTCTCATGCACCGTAGTGTACCCTCAAGTACTCTACTAGATCCCAAAATGGAGTACCCGCGACTGTCTTGCTGTATTATGTTTCTTTCACGACTATTTGTGTTCTTGCACTGATAATGAAAAGGGTTCTTTGCCTCACAACGAGACCGTGTTAAAGGGGAAGTTAAGGCAAAAATTAAAATTTCACCAGTTGTAGTCTTCGGGGTGCTGAGTCGAATGGTCTTGGTCCGAGAAAGCTGAGACGCTCCCTTCCTACTTGAATCCCAATCGAACTCGCGCACTTCCACCGAAACTGGGTGACTGCGCCCTACGAGATGGGGATTTGTATGCAAAATGTCACTAAAAGCGCCATTTCGTTCTTATAAAAGCACGGATGACCGCGATTGGCCCATATGTTGTAGTCTTTTGGACGCTGAGTCGACTGGGTTTGGTCCGAAAAGGCTGCGATGCAGCGTTCCTTCTATATTCCCAATCGAACATGGTTGAACAAGCGGTGACGTGCTCCTGCGTACACCAGTCACCTGGTCACCGTGCCTGCAGGGTACAACTTACAGCCTGTTTTGACCTTTTTTGGGTGCAGTCCTGTCACTCGAGTTGAACCTTGGTGTGAAAGTTGTCGCCTGCTGGCGTGGTGACCAGGTGATTTTGGCACCCAGGAGCACGTGACCGCTTCTTCAACCATGTTCGATTGGGAATAAAGGAGGAACGCTGCATCGCAGCCTTTTCGGACCAAAACCAGTCGACTCAGCGTCCAAAAGACTACAACATATGGGCCAATCGCGGTCATCCGTGCTTTTATAAGAACGAAATGGCGCTTTTAGTGACATTTTGCATACAAATCCCCATCTCGTAGGGCGCAGTCACCCAGTTTCGGTGGAAGTGCGCGAGTTCGATTGGGATTCAAGTAGGAAGGGAGCGTCTCAGCTTTCTCGGACCAAGACCATTCGATTCAGCACCCCGAAGACTACAACTGGTGAAATTTTAATTTTTGCCTTAACTTCCCCTTTAAGTATCACGAAAAAAAGATCAAAATGGCACATTAAAACCAACGGCCAACTGTAACACTAACAGGTTCTTCACAGAAGAGTGAAGACGTACAGCAAAAAAAGCAGGCGGTTCATGTCTCACTTCTTGCTAAGCCATACTGATATTGCAGTTGGTGTACAGTGGGGAAAGTGAAATCCAATCGGCGGTTTCAAGTACATGAGAACATACAGAGCAATCAAGCCTATAATCTCGCTGAACCGCAAGAATAAAGAGTCGGATTTCACTTGCTAACACTGAACATCTGAGCTTTAGTCTATTGTAACAGTGTGTGATATTCAATTATTCAATACACGACTGAAACGCACCATCATTCTTGACATCAAATCCTTCTTCAGCAATTGGGGCACGTCTCCCTCGGTTCGCTGGAGTCTGCTGTTGTCTGCCACCACGACCTCCGGCACCACCGCCACGACCATTGCTACGATTCCAACGTCCACCTCCACGTGGATTCGTGTGATCGTCACGTGGTCCGAAGCCGTGAGCCGGTGCACCGAAGCCAGATGAATCAGAAGCTCTGCCACGCCCTACACGACAGATGTGTGCATGTATGCAAGGGTGTGTATGTGTGTGTGAGAGAGAGAGAGAGAGAGAGAGAGAGGGGGGGGGGGGGGAGACACAGACACACACAGACAGAAAAATCAAAGACAAACGCATGAGAACTATAACCAGAAACAAATACTGGAGACAGTGGATATACACATGTGTGTGTGTGTGTAGCCGATCCACAGATAACTATATCCCTGGGCTGTTTACAGCACAGCACAAATCAAATCAATAAAATCACAGATGCACAACAGTAGCTTCAATTGATTCTTCACACGGCACAAGACAAAATGAGACGACACAGTGCCTTTATCTAACTCGACCCTCGCAAACTGTCCACCCGTGTGACCTTGTAGCAGGAATCAGGTGAAGCTCATGCACAAGTCCAGATGAAGTAACTACCCAAAGCTTACCAGCACGACCACGAGATGAACTATTACTATCTGTGGAGAATGCTGGTGCAGAGGCTGTTGTAGATGCGCCAAACGATGATGCCGGGGTGGCTGCCGATGTCTTTTTGTTACGACTGGTAACATTGGTCCACTCGTTGTCATCGCTGCCGCCCTCGAGCAACGAATGGATAGCAACCCCCTCGTCATAGCCGCAGTCATGAAGAGCAGCCGCAACCTGAAACATGCCACAAAGGTACAAAGGACAAAATTGATTAGAATCCTACACGTATGTGGTAACCTGTTAAACGTTTGCTTCTGGTCCATGATCACCTGCATCTTACTGTACCAGCTTATTATTAGAGTGTACGGGCAAAACGGAAACCGGGTGCATGCTTCCAGTCAATGACGGCACAGGTGTGCCAAGTAGGGGTGCCAAGGTTATGCGGTGTGTGCCACATACATCAGTGGGACAACTTTGTCAGGAACAGGCAAGGACACTAAATTGCTACTGTGCACGCAAAATACTAGGACACAGAGAGCTTGAAAAAAAACAAGTCCTGGCACAGGAGGGACCAGTGCTTTTGTCTTGCAAGACATAGCACACGCTGACAAACCACACCACCAAGTTGTGTGCTTGTCCTGACTACTTTCCGTACAAGGAACATCATCACACGAGTGGGATAGAGCATCCATCTCTCTCTCTCTCTTCCCCTGCGAGTCTTTGCTTTCAGTGGCATCAACTTGTCAATGGCTGTGTGCGTCAGTAGGCATTGTGCAGCTACACTTAGCGGTATTTCAAAATTCTTTGAAACTTACGGACGGCTCCTAAGCCCCCTGAGCATGCCATTCATACACTACAGTGCTGCACAATGAAATCCGATTGCGTGCATCAAGTACGCGGCGGGCGATGCGCAGCCCTAGACCTGCGCGATCGGATTTCATTGGACAGCACTGCACATAATAAAATAAAATATTATAGGTGGAGGGTAAAGTAAAGCACTGCACATGTACTAAAATTGCTTTTGTCTTGATCGTGAATCTCATGCCAACAGCAAATCGAACAATTTCATTCAGTGCGTCGACGGCCTACCTTGTCCTCGGACGCACTCGTCACTTCCATGACATTGCGTACCATGCCTGCAAGGCGGTCAGGGTCGACTTTGGGACCGTCCATCATCTCCGCCATTCGCAGCTGCTCCGTACTGGCCGCCTGACCATGGAAGCAAGACAGCAAACATGCACAGAACGATGACATCGTCATTCTCGTCGTACAAGTAGAAACTTCATCAGACGTTTAGAAATCCACATACAGTAAAACCTGTGACTAACAACCAGCCTGCTACTACAGACCACCGTGACTAACGACCAGCCTGCTACTACAGACCACCGTGACTAACGACCAGCCTGCTACTACAGACCACCGTGACTAACGACCAGCCTGCTACTACAGACCACTTCGGTAGGCGAGGACGGTCTCACATTATGGTTGTGCAGTCCAAACCTCTAACTAAAGACCACCTGCCACTATTGACAGCTTCCTCTGGCCCCAAGGGCCGGTCGTTAGTCACAGGTCTTACTGTACATGTTTTGTTTTTTGCAAGACAAAAATCATTTTAAATGGTCCACCAAGACAAGGGCTGCAGGCTCTGGAGCATAGCACTGACCTTGGTATTCAAAAAGGACAGTTACACATACGACAGCCACACTACATTTCTCCAGCCCGGAAAATACTTGTATCCGCTCACAGACCATATCCACGGCAAAAGCAGCTGCTTCTGACCCTGAATGTGGCCCAAAACTAATGCAGTACCCCAAGCCATTGACACTGCTGTAGATGTGCCCGCACCTCCACTTTGATGGGGAAAGGCCATAGATATGGCATATGGTGTCACTATTTCCACAAAAGTGACAACAACAAAAAAAATCACGGTTCGCGTGAGACTCGGCCAAAGGCCCAGTTTTCCGCATCAACAGGAACGCCACCACCCTCTTGGATCAAGGCGCAGATGCAGCTCCTAAGCGGTGGGAGGTGAGTAGATCAGACCCACCACAAAGTGGTCAAAGTGACAAAAGAGTTGTAATATTTCCACTGAAACTCGCCCAAAGGGTGCCCGGGAGACCGACGTGCCCGTAACTTCGGTATCTGGATAACCGAGGTATGCGTGTACGGGTGAAATCCTGATAATTTGAATATGGCTTAATTAGAAGTTTCCTCCGGGACCGATTTCTGTCAGTACGATTTCCACATAACAATTTCTGATACCGTAAAGTCGCGGATAAAAGCCGGGCTTATAAGCACATAAGCCGCTTTCTGCATCAGGCTTCAATGCAAACCAGGCTTGTATGCAAACCATGCTTATATGCACCACTGATATTTTTGCCAGGCTTGTATGCACATCGGCCGATCCAGGCTTGCATAGAACTAAGAAGCCAGGCTTCTACGCGCGACACGCGTAGATCTACCACTGACTACCGGTATGGCGGCAGTTTTACTATGCACTGTACATAGCGCATGCACTCTTGACCTACCCGATCCGCGCCTGCATAGAAGCCAGGCTTCTACGCGCGACAGGCTTATATGCATTTGACCCGTTTGATTTTCAGGCTTCTATCCGCGATGTGCTTGTATGCAAACCCGGCTTTTATCCGCGACTTTACGGTAATTAGAACCTCGAACTGGGTATGTCCGGTTAATTAGAAGTCCCACGGAATCCGCTTACGTAGAAAATGTGTGGGATTCGTGCTGATAATTCGAAGTTAGCAAACCATAATTAGAAATGGACCGATTGCCATTTGTACAGATCCACGAAATCCCGTAGAATCCCGTAGACCCGGTAGGGTGTTGAATGTGCAGGACCCAATTGTGTTTTCTGCTATTTCCACTAAGAAATGGGGCCTGAAGGCATTTCATACGAAAACTTTTTCTGACAAAGATCTAACTAGTCAATAGTTCTAACCAAAGTGAAGAAGCTGGAAAAGCCATTGCTGGTCATTGAATAATGACGCTAAAAAGGTCAAATGCGCATGCATAGCACACAATGAGCACCCTACCGGGTCTACGGGATTCTACGGGATTTCATGGATCTGTACAAATGGCAATCGGTCCATTCACTTTATTTTCTGCAAATCAGTTTGGTTTGCATGCGCAGTCAGTTCGGTGTCCACTAAATATGTGTCTAAGGTGCGTAGTGCACTAGTGCTATTCTGCGTGTCAATGCGAGCATTTTGACATACTGTACATAATGTGTTGTGGGTACATGTTTGGATAATTAGAATGTCCGAATAATTAGAAGTTTTTCCCCGGCATTTTGGTGTTCGAATTATCAGGATTCCAAATGTAGTAGTATTCGTCTTTAATAGTCTATACTTTACACGTACAGTACTGTCAGGCTGTGTTTACATCAGAGTTTTCAACCCGGATTGAAAGTCTGTATGATGGAAAAAAATAGAAGCCATCATGGTTGTTTAAGTTAACTAATGTTACTTTACATAAAGACAGGTGACCCGGGTTAATTACTGATATGCCGCCAAAAATCCACTTCTAGTGCCCAGTATACCGTAAAATTCCGTTCTAGTAAGCCCTGGGCGTATACTTTGCAGAGCAACAAAAACCGGGCGTATTTATTTATTTATTCAACATCTTATGGCTTCCGATGGCAGCCAAAACGGGAAGATGTGGATGGTAAAAGGAGAAGATTATATACATGAAAAGGAAACAGCCGAAAAGCTATATTGATTAGTATATTTGGGCATGGGCGTTATTTCGGACGCATTCTACAGAAGATCAATCGATCAGCAACCCACTAGTTTCAGTGAACCACCATTCACACTGAGCGCGGTACATCAAACCCCAGCTGGAAATTTGGTCGTAACCAAGAATGTAGCGATGAATTACAGATTTGATAGGTAAACCACTTGTCCACTTTAATTAACGCCCTGGGCTTATTTCGGGCATGGGCGCTAAAACGGACTTGAAGTGTACACCGCCTAAAACTGGGCTTATTATCGGACATGGGCGTTATTTAGGGCGGGCTTGTTTACGAAATTTTACGGTATATGGTCACGTGAATACTTTCGCGCGAAATTTGCCTGTGCAGTGTTGTTCAAATCTGGCACCAGGTACACACACAGAAGTACGGTAGAATGATTTCTCGATTTCAACCCTCCCCCCCAGGGGTGGGTTGAAATCAACCCGGGCCAAGCCCAATACGTCGTGTATCAAAATGCGCCAGTCAATCTGTATTCATGGCGTGCTGAAACTTGACCCGGGTTGAAATGATTCATGTAAACAGTCTCAAGTGCCGAAGGACTGGGGGTCAGTCTCGTAGCCTAGGCTGTTCGTAAAAAAATTATGTAAGCTGTCTTTGCGCAGTAGAGTCACTGCTGTGCTTGGTGAAATTCTAGCCTGTTCGTTCTTCAGCACCGGACAGTACTGTACACTAAAGAAGTCTGCACAGAACTTTCTTTGCTCATTTTAAAAATTAGGTTTAATTAATAGTTTCATGAGAGGGTCAAACAGCCCCCCCCCCCCCCCCCCCTACCACCATCCAGATTGTTTGAAAATATTTGATTCTGTATCTAACTCATATTGATGATCAACTAAGTGGCACAAACAGTGGGATGGCATGCCGGTGGGGGGTGTCATGCCAGTGGGGTGACCGTGGGGCTACCAGAATTGGGGAATGGCCTTTCAAATGCCTTTTTTCCTGGTGTGGAGAGCCCGGGTACACAGAGCTGTACTCAACAGCTGATATAACATAACTGAGATGTGTACTCTACACTACTGACAACAACAACCGACGTGTAGCACCTTTAGCTTGGTGTTGGAGCGAGACGAGGCTGAGCCAGATTGATCCTGCTTTTTTACATCATTGCGCGCCATTGGTCGCTGGACTGGCAGGATACGCTAGGAGCCAACAACGTCGAGAAAATACGACAAAAACAGAAATGAGAGCAACAGAAACACTTCTTGGATCGATATCACTGGCTACCGATGGCAGGAGCACCGCCATAGGTGCTGCTTGCACGAAAGGATCCAGAGCAGCTAGCACCAAAAAATTCATATCAATGACCTTGAAGATTCAGGACTTTACATTGCCAAAGTCAACGTACCAGCAGCAGCACAGAGCTCCACTGGACCAAACAGGCAAAAGCTTCTTCGAGATTAAAAGTGATGTGTTAGGAAAATAGGTCCAATGAATACTGTTACAGCTGATAAAAGATGATGTCTGAGAGAGGGAGAAGATAATCAGTATCACCAGCGATCAATTTCGTTTTATTTTTTGCTGCCGCTGTAGCTTGTTCTTCACATGTGCATCATACTTCCTGTTACAGCATACCCAGGCTAGGCCCAGACCAACCAGACTACAGTACATACCACGCCAGAGCAACCAACCTGTGACTGTGTAGACTGCGGTGGCTGTGAACATGGTGAAGCCAGAGCTACAACACTCAACAGTCAACAGACATTGTGAGACAACACTCACAACAGTCAGTGCAAGCGCACAAGATAGTTAGTCATGCATGTACTGATGTCGTGATGAGGAAAGCTTTCACACACACTGTTTTTTTGCGCTGGGGCACGCGACACTGACGCTACTCATAGTATCGTCAAGGTAACAGTCCACATGGCGCGAAAATCCAAAGACAAGGATGTGGAAATGGCGCACTTGGACCATGGCTTTCCTGTAGCCTTAGCGCGCGCCTTTCCTGTAGGCGCTAGGCGCGGGTACCGGGCACGCGGAGCGGGGAGGTCCGGACGCTGATGACGTCCGCGGATCCGGCGCGCGGCGGTCCATCATCAGGTCAGGTCACTCGATCGTATGCGTACGACTCTGATAGTGATACATGTATAGCCTACACTACTCACTACAAAAAAGTGATCCTGTAGTCTAGATATAGACAGTGTATAGCGTGCAGTGTAGAAAAAAAAAGAAAAAAAAAAAGTGTAGAGCCATGCCCATGCCGGCCATGGAGCTAGCTAGCTACCATGGCTACGGGGCTACGTAGATCTACGTGTACGCGTGTGTGAGTGAGTGAACGCAGCGTTAACGCGTTACAACGAAGCGTGCCTGCAACGTGGAAGTCGTTGAAATGATCACTCATCACATGCGCAGAACACACATGCACTGCACTACACTCACGATCACTTGCACTGAGATCAGACTGTAGCCTGTTCTGTTCACTTGCGATGCCGGTGATCTGGCTACAAAAAAAATAGAAAGTCGAACACAAACTACTTTGACAAAGCTAAAGTCAAGACAAGTCCTGATTAGCTTTACGTGTTGTTTAGTTTTGAGCCAAAATCTTCTTGATAACGGTGGTCACTCATTTCTTTACTTGCAGTGCTTGATCTTAGCTCGTTGAGGAGTGAGCCAGTTTCTTGGATTCCATCGTTGAACAAGTAGCTGATTTGTGTGGTGGCTTGAGGCCTTCCGCAGGATATTTCGCTTGGTCTGTCACAAGATTTATTTTTTGTGTGTTGGTGGCCATGATCTAGGGCTCTGTGTCCAGTGGCAGTGTGAATTTTGTCGGAAGGACTGCGGTACTAGTATTTAAGAGGTGTAGAACTAAGACATCCGATGGAGAAGTCACTGTTGACACTGCTCGTTGCAGTTTGTATTAGCATTAGCCATGCATTCTATCTACCTGGATTAGCCCCAGTCTCTTACTGCAAGAAAGGCGCTGTGAGCAATCCACCCTGTCAAGTAAGTTCTTAGCTACCTGCGTACGATAAGTATAGTTATTGTACATGTACATGTACTAGTAATTCTCTGAACCGTTTCTGTCAAATGGATTTGGCTGCATCTGCCCTTCTTTTACTAGTAGTTTGCTGAAGTGACGTAATTATTATGAGGATTCTTTTCGTTTACAGTGTACCTGGAAGAATTTTTCCCTTTCACCCCCCAACTAATGAATATTTGGAAGACAAACATTATGATTATGCCAGTACATATTGTAAAAAAATATATCCAATTGGTTGTGTCCAGTTTGAAGCTCTGACCGTTATGCGATACACATAGAGTGGGTTCCCATATACACGACTCATACACTTTGTTGTATGAATTTTGTCAAGAGTACATAACCCCAAGAGTACGCAACTCTGCATATGGGGTCTGGCGCGGCTCGCTGCCTGCATTACGTAGCCACAAAGATAAGTCGACTGGCCAGTCGATAGGGTTGAGTCAATAGAAGGAAAACCCTTATCAACTCGCACATCTGTTAAAAAGTACATCGTAAATGCCCAGAAAGTACATGTAGTTCATGTACTTGACCTGGAGTTCAGGCCATGTATTGTGAAGTACACTTGACACGTAAATCCATTTTGCTTTAACGCACAGCTGAGTCCAAGAACGGTGCAAAACTGGCACATTTTGCATGGGTCCATTTTAACATTGAAACCTACAGTGTGCTCATATCGTGCTTCTGTTTGCTTGTGCATGGGTGTGCGACCATGCATGTGCATGTATGGATGCGTAAATATATTGTGATTGTGCTCATGTGCGAGGGCAATGCCAGTCGATAAACAGTCGATAAGGAATTTGGGTCAGTCGTTTCATCCCTAGTCAACAGTGCTGTTGGCATGATCTTCTTCGGCCTGAGACACAAAGAAACTGTCTACCGCGACCTTGTGTGTACCATCGACCATTTCTTATCTGTAGGGGTCCGGCATTAGGGAAATCCCTTTTGTTCTTGGTCATGTCAATCCAGCGTATGTGGGGAATATTAATCTGAAGGCTCTTGCTGGCCACAATGCCAACATGCCCCATGTGGTTTCGCCAGTGATCGTTGATAAGATGTCCGAGCACTCGCTTTATATGTTCCGTGAATAAGGTTTTTATCAATCTATATTTGAACAGGCGGCGAGGTGACAACAGGTTTAAGATGGCAATAAATAGAATCAGCTGAAGCGACATGTTACGAAGGTTTTATTGAGATTTAAAGTGGTGTTGGACAAAGAAATTACTGTGGTGGAAATGTAATGTGAAGAACAATTTGTCAATAATAGGAACGATGAAAAATAAAAAAATGCATCGAACTTGTTGAGTGTTGTGTGAAAGCTAGTTCGATGCATTTTTATATTTTTCATCGTTCCTATTACAGGTGGAATCCTGATAATTCGAACCTCAAAATGCCAGGAAAAAACTTCTAATTATCCGGACATTATAATTATCCAAACATGAACCCACAACACAATAATTATGTATGTCAAAATGCTCTCATGATCATGCAGAGTTGTGCTATGGACCTTAGACACAGATTTCACGGATACTGAACTGACCAGCACAGCCTGTTCATGCAAACTGAACTGACCAGTACAGTGTAGAGTGAGCTTCGAATTACACTTTGCTAACTTCGAATTATCAGCACAAATCCCACACATTTTCTATGTAAGTGGAATTCGTGGGACTTCTAATTAACCGAACATGTCCAGTTCGAGGTTCGAATTATCAGAAAATTTTATGTGGGAATCGTATTGATAGAAATCGGTCCCGGAAAAACTTCTAAATAAGCGGTATGTTCGAATTAAGCCATATTCGAATTATCAGGATTCCACCTGTATTGTTCTTCACATTACATTTCCATCACAGTTATTTCTTTATCCATCACCACTTTACATCTCAATAAAACCTTCGTAACATGTCGCTTCAGTTGATTCTGTTTATTGCCATCAATCTATATTGAAGGTAATAAATTGATGAAACAGGCTTTTGTCTGCAAAGAACTGTAATTAACATGTATTGTAAACGTTGCCTTTATCTGCAGACTGATATTAAAGTATTCGTCAATCGGTTAGATTCGACAGAATCCATTCTCCCGTATGACTATGAGAAGTAAGTGTTGTAATCCGCATCATGCATGCGTCTGTCTGTTTTCTTTCGTGGGGCAGCTGCGATGTGCCTCGATGTCACGCATGGCAAACTTTGTTTACCATCAAGCCCCGGTGACAATAGCTGTATCCACCAGTTCCCATTACATCTGTGCATGCACTGTAGACCTCAGCTTGTACATGTTGGTGTCTATGTATTCTTGGTGTAATTTCCCGACTGTTTCCTTTGCCAGATTTGATTTCTGCGAGGCAAAGAGTGACCGTCCATCCGAGAACCTTGGACAGGTACGTTGTGTACAGTGATGTATGGTGAGCGGTGATGGTTCAGTGAATACCCCTTACACCGCCTGCACCTGCCAGTGGTTTAGTGGTATGCCTATTTCGCATGCATGGAGATTGCTCTGCTCTCAAATTCACCACCAGTTGGCCCACTATTGAGCTTTTAAGAATAGCTGGCATCTTTGTAGCGTGCACAACTTTCACCGGTATGCAACTCTTGTAAAGATGCAATAGTTTTGTTCGTCAGTTTGGGGGGAATGACATTGTTTGGCATGTTTTATTCTTGTTCTACTTTGCAGGCTGATTGTTGCTGCACGGGGTTTTGTGTTCCATTAACCACTGTTAACTTGGAAATTGTTTCCTTGTTCTTATTTGTTGTTACAGGTGTTGTTTGGAGAGCGTATTGCCGGATCCGTTTACAATGTAAGTCATTCTTCAGGGCTGACGAAACTATGGTATAGGGTACGAATACCTTCTAGTTGTTAGCTTCCCCCCCCCCCCCTCTCTCTCTGTTGCTGCTGCTGCGGCGGCGGCAACAGCAGCAGTAGTGGAGTGTGGGCAACATTTTAGGAGCATGTGAGAATGTTCAAGTGTCTCTGCTGGATGTATTCTCCAATTTTCTTTCTTTAAAAAAATTGTGTTTTCACCCTTCAGCTGTCTATGCTGGAGCCAATTGCTTGCAAGCTGCTCTGCCGCAAGGAGTACGCTAAGAAAGATGCAGGTCAAATGAAGAAGCTGGCTTTCCTCGTTTCCAAGATTTTGAAGAACTACGAACACCACTGGTAAGTTCACCATGTGCTGTTGTGCCTTATGATAGTCATGTGTGTTATGGTACTGGGCTTCTCGGCAGACATCTCATTCATTTGTTAGTGCAAACCAGGCCGCCGGCTAGAGGGACATATCTCCATTCAAGAAGTGATACAATGCATTGGTAAAAAATAAGAATGTCCGCACTTCCGCGTTACCACCGGCTATACAATTGTGGTGAGAAACACACAACCAGCTTAGGAAGCTTTGCTCGTGCCAGGCCATCACCATGCCTGGTTATACCAAGGGAGCAGCAGATGCATAGCCCAGCAGCAAGGGCTTGCCCTCACTCTGACTCGCTCTGAGTAGTGAGTACCCATTTGACTGTAGGTGTTGGTTAAAGTCATGCAGTTGAGTGTCTTTCTGGTCCACATCACTTTCTTTTCTTGAAATTTCCGCTCCCGGCTGCATTGCGTTACTTGCTTGCACTTTGCACGCATATTCATGTGTTCTTCCAACACTACAGCCGTTTGGACTTGGTTACATGTGCAGTGTACAATGTACATGTCCATACTATCGTTGATCGGACTGTATGCCATTGCTCCTGCAGTCAACGTATGCAGTAGACTCACAAGAGCATAGACACACTTCCTGAGTTGATCAGAGTGGATTATTAGCAGCAGTAACTGTTGTAACCAGTAACCGAAGAGCACCATTTTGACATACATATTGCATACGGTGTGCCCAACTAACTAAAACATAAACCTCACTATAACGTACAACTTGCCATATCCCAGAGATTACGGTATAGCAAGGTCTGACCTGTAGCTTGGTTTCTTGCGATTCTGACAGTATCTTCGGTTGTCCGAAGTCTTTTCACTAACTATGTACATGTACTATCACACATAGTACAGTTCCTACGTGCTGTAATACAATTAATGTGAACCTTGCAGGCGAGCTGCTCGGTGGACATTTGTTCATTCAGCTGGCGCAGGCGCAGGCACATTCTAGGCCACACCGTTTTTTTTCTATGTTTCGCGTCACCTTTATATTCGATGAAATCAATGAGGGAGGCGAAAAAAATAAAAAGCCATCCAAAAAAAAAAGTGTACGTGCATTGCATTTGTGTATAGTGGGGCTTAACCCTTTCAGTGCCAGAGCACTTACTACACAGTTGGCCGGCACGCGCGCTGGCACTACACGCACTATTCCCTCTGGGCACAAAATATCGCCATTTCACTCACCAGTAACAGATTTTCCTCATCTTAGGCTCTCTAGAAACCTGAGGATCTCCCCTGTCGATCCATGAGGCTCAGTGTTCTGTAGGTGCAGGAGAACGGCCTACAAACACTTCGAAAGCTGCTCCAATGCGCCTTTGTAGTGCTATTCTACACTCAGCGACAATTTCTTTCGATTTGCAGCTCGTACTCAACGTACAGCAACGATTCAAACGCCAGCAGAATCAGGCTGTTCTAGCCCTCAGTTTGGTGTATGTCACGCATGCGCTGTTCCCCGGGGGAAATCCCCGTAATCAAACACCTTGTCAACTTTTGCATGCAGTGTGTCACAGTCACACACTTGAAATTTGACATTCACCCGTTTCCCGAACTTCAAGCTTCGGCGCTCGAGTATTTTTACTTTGCGCTATATCAAATAATACACCGTTGGAAAGCTGTGTTCAATAGCTTTCCAATGAGTCGTCATTGGATGAATTTGAAGTAGGGATACCGAAGTTATAGGTGTTTGTACAGTGGTCTATGCTCGTTTCTATGCCCCGTGTGCGGGACGAGTTATCTCGTCCTTGGCCATTCAGGGTGGTTGTTTCAGGACGAGTTATCTCGTCCTGTGTTAATTCACACATGCATACATGAATACATGAGTGTATTTATATAAATACGATGAGCGTCGCAAAGTAAGTTTATTGCACAATGCAAAATCTACTGATTGGTAACAATTGGCCAAACTGTGTCAGCATTATCAGCTGGATGGGAAGCCACACCTCTGCCATGCTTGTGGTCCATACACAGGTGGCATGTCTTCCCAAATTTAATGGGGAAGTTAAGCCTAAAATCAAATGTTCACCAGTTGTAGTCTTCGGGGTGCTGAGTCGAATGGTCTTGGTCCGAGGAAGCTGAGACGCTCCCTTCCTCCTTTATTCCCAATCGAACTCGCGCACTTCCACCGAAACTGGGTGACTGCGCCCTACTAGATGGGGATTTGTATGCAAAATGTCACTAGAAGCGCCATTTTGTTCTTATAAAAGCACGGATGACCGCGATTGGCCCATATGTTGTAGTCTTTTGGACGCCGAGTCCACTGGTTTTGATCCGAAAAAGCTGCGATGAATGCTGTGTTACTCAGTGCAATTTAATCTGTCCATCACCTATCCTCCTAAACACTGCACATCTGTGTATTATATGTGTGTGTGCTCTTAGGATTGCAGACAACATGCCCGTCACGTGGTGCTACGAAGTGAAAGGACAAAAAAAGCCGTACTGTGCCACCGGCTTTCCGATCGGCTGCTTTGCCAACGACAAGGGCGAGCCGCAAGATGCTTGCGTTGCTTACACCAACATGGCGGAGAGGGGAGCAGTGTATGTGTTCAATCACGTTGACCTGACCATTACGTACCACAACCCTACTACTAATGATAACGTGCATCGCCTTGTCGCCGTCAAGCTGCAACCGCGCAGTATTCACCATCCCGATGACGCTGCCTCTGTAGCATGCAAGGCAGACACGAAACCAATGAGAATCGTCTCCGGCAAGACTGCTCCTGACAAGCAGGTCATCAAGTACACCTACTCAGTCAAGTTTGAGGTGAGTGCCATGCTGGACAACGCATACAGTACTGCCAAATACTTTTCTTCCAGAATCACCTTTTTTCCAGATGGCCAGTGGAGACCGGGCAGTCACCCTCTTGTGCTATGGTTGCATACATGTAGACTTTACTCAATCTCCGGACAGCTAGTTGTTTCGATCTTGTTACTCGTCAGCGGAGCGCTCCGAGTTACTGGCTGAACCGATCGCAATATGTTTTGTCGTTAAGTAGACTGTATGTGAATACACGTGCATCGTGTAGGTCGGCATGAGTGTGTCAAACTGACCACAACACGTGTACATGTAGACTACATGTATTATGACAATGGGGGAGCTTTGTTACAAGGCAGAGGACGCACTGTAAGGAACATTGCTCCTGGCTGCAGAAACCGGTCTGTTCCTTGCAGGTCCTCCACCTTGTAACAAGCAAATCATTGTCATGCCTGGTACTTGTACATGGTGAGCTCACAAGTAAGCCTTACATATTTAGACTACGGGTGGGATCGTGCTGCAGGATATAACTCTGTTTTTGGTTCATTTTTGTTTGCTTTTTCTGTCATTCCTACTGCTCTGCAGAGAAACCCTGATGTTAGATGGGCTTCTCGGTGGGACTATATCCTGGCGTCTTTCCATCATTCCTCCATTCAGTGGTTCAGGTGAGGTTGCACCTGCTGTACTCTGCACAATGTTGGCTGTGTTCTTGTTGCCGGTGCCTCTCTCGCCCTTCATCTCTGTGTCCTTCCTGTGACTTTGTATGTTCTGCGTACGTTTTTTCTAACCCAGCCAAGCTGCCTCGAATCTGCACAGACTATCTGTGCAGCTTTTCAATGTATTCACGTTGCTTTGCTCTAAATGCCCTGTGTGATGGTTTGTGACTCTGTGCAGCATTGTCAACTCGATCGTGATCATCCTGTTCCTGTCTGGTATGGTTGCAATGATTCTTGTGCGAACCATTCACCGTGACTTGGTCCGCTACAACCAGGAGTCTGCTGTAAGCTGTCTGGTGTTATCTCAAGGAACTGTAGTACTGCTGCTCAGAAAGGGCACCCGGAGATGGCTACAGATAAGATTCTGCTCCGCTCGCCTCGATATCTTGCTGAGCCTTGCACTACAATCTAGAAACTTGATATTCTACTCCGTTTTGCTTCGGAAAACGGGTATTTTACCCACTTCCCGTACAAGGTTTCATAAAAATCTCCCGGTCGGTTTCTCAACACGGGTTTTCACACATAATATTATGTCATTGTCACGTGTGTGATGTGTCCGGGTTCTTCCGAAATCATGGTGATCCACAGTGAATCCCAGTGATATTTTCAGTGAAATGATTTTGCCTTGTGCGATGTAGCGTGCTGAGTGGGTAAGAAAACAAGGAAATCCAAGGATCAGGCATCAATTTTACCCAAAATCTCGATATTTTGCTCCGATTTTGGCGGCATTCCCATATTTTTCTCAATACTTTGATATTTTGCCGAAAGAATTGCCGGCAGAATCTGTCTGGGCATATCATGCACGCATGCACATGAGTGATTGACTGATTGATACAATGTACATCATGTACATTGGAGGGGGCGCAACCCTGGACTGAACCTCACCGCACTCATGTCCTCTCTCTCTCTCTCTCTCTCTCTCTCTCTCTCTCTCTCTCTCCATTTATCCTATTCGATGTCGTTGGCCTTCTTTCACTTTGGTGGAGAATGCATGTACATGTACATGTAGTTCACTTATTATCTTTGTTGTCCGTGCATGATACTTGTCTACTTGCCACCAACACCACCACCAGCCTGTGCGTTGTTTTTGCTGCTGTTGTACAGGAGGACCCACAAGAAGAGTTTGGGTGGAAGCTTGTCCACGGTGATGTGTTCCGACCACCCCGCTTTGGCATGTTGCTTTCAGTGCTGCTTGGCAACGGTATCCAGGTGACCATCATGAGTCTTCTGGCCCTGGTCTTTGCCAGTTTTGGCTTCCTTTCACCATCAAACCGTGGTGCTCTGATGACTTTTGTGCTGGTAAGTTCAGGACTGTGCTGCTAACTGCTGGGCAGGAGTTACCATCACCAATGCCTGTGCATAGCTGTGCTTACTTTAGTCCTAGCTCACTGCTCGCACGGACTACTTTTCTTTACTATCCTTGAATCTATGCATCACTTTAATATAGGAGCATCTCATAAGTTCGCATTTTTTCTTTCTAAACGTAACGCATTTCGAAACAAGGGTAGCGCCCTTTTCGACTAACCCTTGCACTGCATGCATGCAGGCTACTCGAGGTGTCTAATGTCACATCAGCCTGATCAAATCGTGTACCTGGCCAGCTTTTCCAGCAGTACATTTTAATTGTACAGTTGTGGAGGAACTATGCATTTTTAATTAAAATTTTAATTATCCTCACTCTCCCTCCCTCCCCTTTTGTCTCTCTCTCTCTCTCTCTCTCTCTCTCTCTCTCTCTCTCTCTCTCTCTTTTCTTTCCCTGTGCTGTAGGTATTCTATGTCCTCCTGGGCTCAGCTGCTGGCTTTGTGTCGGCCAGGGTATACAAGATGTTTGGAGGGGAGAAGTGGAAGTCCAATGTTCTGATGACATCCTTCCTGGTGCCAGGCTTTATCTTCGCCATTTTCCTGAGTCTCAACCTAATCCTGTGGTACAAGCAGTCTTCTGCGGCTGTGCCTTTCGGCACTCTGCTGGTCGTTCTTCTCTTATGGTGAGTGTGAGCATCAGTAGAACTTGTTTGGAAGACGGGTTCATAGTTGGATCTAGGTCGTCTTGGGTCCAGTTATACCGATCACGTTGCATGTCCAGTCATTTGGCTGAGTATTGCCAGCATTCTGTGCTCAGTCCAGGGATATTGGGCAGTCACCAGTGATGCAGTGGTGTGCATGTGCTCAAGTGTATTCTCGCCCAGCTGTCCTCTGAATCTATTTGTTCTGCCGTTGCGTGATTGAATTGATGTATTTAGGTTTGGAGTCACTACACCGCTGACCCTGGTCGGTGCATTCATTGGTTTCCGTAAGCCGGCTCTCGAGCATCCCGTGCGTACTAACCAGATCCCGCGTCAAATCCCTGACCAGGTTCTGTACGTCCGACCCTTCTTCGGCGTTCTCATGGGCGGTATCCTTCCGTTCGGCTGCATCTTCATCCAGCTGTTCTTCATCCTCAACAGCATCTGGTACGTTCAAGCTTCAAGCTGTTTAATAGTCTTCTCATCATACTCCATAGCAGCTGTGCCAGTAAAAGGCATTTTAGTCCTTCTGATCATGTGGTAACTATAGATCATTGATCATTGCTGTGCCGTTGGCCGAGGGCTGCAAGTATGGCTGCTGTTTCAGTACATGTGTCTTAGAATGCCGAAGAAAATTTAATGTATTGAGTAGCAAAGTATAGGTTTCTTCTATTAACAGTACAATCATGTACATATCCAATAGTGTGCCATCACTGGGGGGGGGGGGGGGGGCCTGTGGAATTTTTTGTGGTGTCAATCTTTCATGCCCATTTGGCTTGCTAATGCCATAACGTGTACCCAGAGAATCTGTACCAGTCCTTCGCATGATGATGCTATACTTTACTCTGTGTGCGTGCGTGTGTGTGTGTGTGTGTGTGTGGTACATGGTGTGTGTGTGCGTGGTTGCTGCTGCTGCTTCTACAGGTCTCACCAGACATACTACATGTTTGGGTTCCTTCTGCTGGTCTTCATCATCCTGGTCATTACCTGTGCTGAGACGACCATTCTTCTCTGCTACTTCCATCTATGCTCGGAGGTACCGTCTATTGTTTCTCAGACACCTCTTAAAACTTTTGAGTTTTAAAATTTTGAAAGTTTCTTTTGTGTAAACTTGTGCTTCTTGATGATGGTGGCAGTCTGACTAGCCTCATGCAGTGGGGGTTCTACTGCAGTAACGCTACCACTGCTTTGTTCAAAGTCCATTCAAGAGAGGGCGCTGTTTTTTGCTGATACGATAACATCACCCAGCATATAACGAAGAAAACATAGAAGAACAAATTCTTAGCTTCTAGTTCTGTTAGGCTGTGATGCAACCTTATTCTCCGCCTCACTGCTTTACTATCTTTCTTTGGCACAGGACTATCATTGGTGGTGGCGTTCGTTCCTGACCAGCGGCTGCACGGCCATCTACTTCTTCATGTATTCGCTGTACTACTACCACTACAAGATGGAGATGAGCGGCCTTGCTAATAGCATGCTGTTCTTTGGCTACAGTCTCATCATGGCCACGCTCTTCTTCACTTTCACAGGTAACGTTTGTCAATAGCATATCTACCTCACACCCCACAACACTGCATTGTTTGGCCTGCACCGTTAAGTTTGCGCAAGGGAAGCTGTCTGTTTCCTGCCCCAATCCCCCTCCCCGAGATGAAGTAAGCGTCTCTGAAGGTGATTGGTCATGTTAGGCCACGTGGCTGCTCCTCTTTTCTCCTCAAAACTTCAAAGCCAGCTAAAAACGAAGAAAATCATCAGTCAAACCGCGGACCTTGCTATTCGCAAGCAATACTCTAACCAAAGATTCGAGTCCTGGTGATGCCGCCACGGTAGCTAATGTGTTTTCGACTTTTCGTGGTGGTGATGGTAGTGGTGATAAATTGATAATGGTGGTGATAGTGGTGGTGATAGTGGTGCTGGTGGTGGAGTTGTAGGTGTTGTTATCTTTTGTTTTGTTCTTATTTGGTTTGTCAATGTTGTGTTTCGGACACAGAGAGAAAAGAGCTGGGATGGGTGGGGCAAATTTCCTTAATTAGACATTTCCGCGAAGTACAAGTCTGAGGCTGAAATTGCGATGAATAATGTTCTCCTTGCTTTTGGTGTTCCATCTCTGTACATGTCTGTCGGTCCCTGCAGGCTCTGTTGGGTTCTTTGCTTGCTTGTTCTTCGTGCGGAAGATCTACAGCATTGTCAAGCTCGATTGACTCATAGGCGTGTGATCCTCAGGCTGCCTGCTTTCATCTACCCTTCGCTGTATGTGCTCAGCTATAGGGCTGCTGTAAAATATTCCCTTTGCCAGATGTAAAGTTTTTGAATGCGTTGAAATTTAAGCTGTGTCTTGTATGACACATCGGCCTTGTGTGTAGATGCTAACACCACTTGTGATATCTATGCAATTACTAGCTTCCGCACAGGAAATTTGTGTTGCCTTTCACACAGCCATTTGCCCTGTGTGGTGCTGTCAGTGTGTATGTGCGTTGAGAGCAGTGAATACACAGCGAATTTTTTTTGTTTGTTTTTGACCCCCTCGGTGTACCGCATCCTGCATAGCAGAATACTCCGTTTAATCACGGTGTTGTATGCTCTGCCTCTCTCTCTCTACCTCTATAATTTCGCCGGTGTGTGTCATGTGGAATATGTGTGCATTCATCTTCTTCTTTTGTCGATACTCACACGCCCCCTTGGTATTTGTACGAGCACATTAATTTTGTAAACTGCCCATTTATTTCATTCCCATCGATAGTCCGATTAATTCCTTGTCGTTCCCTCTGTCTTATTGCTGTAGGATCTATTGCAACTAACATGTATACGACTGCTATGTTGCTGTTGTGTATTGCACGCAATGTTCTGATTACCTATCCTACTTTGATATGTTCAATATCGAAGCAAACCCTTTTTCAGAGTCTCTTTCATTTGTTGCCCGTGCAAGTTTCACATTCTGTGGTAAGTCTGCGGTCACTGAAAGCTCAGCCAACACCGTTGCCTGCAGATGTCTCACATTACGTCTAGCATATGCACTCAAACTTCACCAGCCTCGTCCTCACACTAAACTTTCAAGCCCCATACAGTGACTCCATTGAAGAAGAAAAAACATGCACTTCATCTTTGAAGTACTACAATGTAGTACCAGCACATACCTCAAAGCATTGGCTGTCCATGGCAGCAAGAGCAGTCCTAACCCCCAAGAGTGTGCAACTCGACTATGGGAAGGGGGGGGGGGGATTATGTACTCTTGATGGCAGCGAGCGAATTGAAGGAGAAAGCATACTGGCACAGACACTGTACTGCTCAAACCGTATTTTTTAAATAAAATGCACAATACTACAGGAAGGAGAGAGAGAGAGGGCTACGGATGGTTAGCAGCAAGACTCTATAACCAGGTTGGTGACGGGGAGTGGATGGGACGCGCAGTTCAAAAAATGCTGCGGACAAAGACTCTATCAGTAAGCAGAATGCAGGCATGACATACAGAAAGAATATTGGCATCCAAGCTACTAAGTTAGTACAAGCCTGCTTGCCGTCATCATTCACAACAAGCCGGAGATAACAAAGTATACAAGAATACAAACCAAACTCAGAGCCATAAAAAAAGGTTTAGGAATAGGCTTCGTGAAAATAGGGGTCACCGGTGGGTGCCGAGTCACACTGTGTGGCAGCAGCATGCATAGCTACAAGAATATTCACAAATGCGCCTGGTAAACAAACAAATATTAATTTCAGCCGGCACACATGATTGTGTGAGCAAGTAGCTTGCAGACACCAGGAAGTCGCTACTTTAAATTAGGTTATATAGGCCATCTCGCATCAACAAGCCGGGGATGCATGCACTATAACAGGATGAAGCTGCAGTGTTTGTGCACCACAACACAGCCAGTGCTCTATCCATTGTAAGGAGAAGGCATGCCACTGTAGCCACCATAGCCACTATAACCGCCGGTGGTGGCTGGCGCCTGGCGAGCGTAGGGATTGCCAGCACCACCCGCTGGTGGTGGTGCTGCTGCTGCTGGTGGTGCAGACGTAGCACCACCGTATGGTGTAGGGAAGTTTGGTGGCGCAGATGCTTGCTGAGCGGGCTGCTGCGCTTGCTGTTGGGGTTGCTGCTGCTGCTGCTGATAGGGATAGCGAGCCTGCTGGGCACCATAGCCACCACCGTAGGGGTTACTTGGCGGTTGGGTTGCTTGTGGCGGCCCTTGGCTGCCTGGCTGGTTGTAGTAGCTGGCAGCTGGTGACGTTGTAGCAGCATTGCCAGAGAAACTTGCTGCAGGGTAGCCAGTAGGTGGTGGGGCAGAAGCACTTGTGCTCGGAGGCGCTGCTCCACTTGCTGGGTATGCCGCAGTCGACGATCCAGGATACCCAGAACTGGTCGGGGGCATTTGCTGCTGTTGTTGCTGCTGGCCAGTTTGCTGTGGCTGTGGCGGAGCTTGAGAACTGGGCTGCTGCTGCTGCTGACTTGGTGGGTACGTGCCTGTAGTCATAGCATCTGACGGAGGGGCATTGGGCTGCTCCGGGGGAGGCGCCATCTCTGCACAATTGAGAATATTACGAGCAGAACGAAGAAGAAAAACCCCATATTGCTCTCATTACTGCAGCAAAGTACACACCCAAGCAGATATACCCTGGTTGCACCTGGACTCACATAATACACTTTACAAGACAACTACTTCAAGTACAGATCACAAAGACACAAAGGCGGAAGAGAATGGTGATAAACGGTTTTAAAATTAAATTATAGTTATAACGCAGTGCTCCATGCACATAGCCAGGCTAAGGAAAATGAAATCCAGGCTCGCTGTATACAACCAGCGGCGTTCCTTACCGTCCGCAGAAAGGCCAAACGAGTCGGCAATGGCTGATGCCGTTCCGACGGGTTCCGTGGCGGACGATACAGGAGTGGCGACTGGTGCTGCTTGCACTGCTTGCATTACTGCGCCACTGTGGTTAGAAGCAGCTGGGCTTTGCTGTGGTGGCTGTTGTGCTTGCGGTGGCTGCTGTTGCTGCTGTTGTTGTTGCTTGAGAGGATCAAAAAGAGTCTGAGCAACAGACAAACCAGCCTGATCCACAGGGCGACTCGGATCTATAAGTCATAAAGGAAATACAAGAACATACACGGCAGAAAGGTAAGCTGCCAGCGGGCTAGCCGGAGTGGTCTGAAACAGAATCGATATTGGTCGATTAAAGGGGAAGTTAAGCCTAAAATCAAAATTTCACCAGTTGTAGATTTCGGGGTGCTGAGTCAAATGGTCTTGGTCCGAGGAAGCTGAGAGGCACCCTTCCTACTTTAATCCCAATCGAACTCGCGCACTTCCGCCGAAACTGGGTGACTGTGCCCTACTAGATGGGGATTTGTATAGCGCCATTTCGTTCTTATTAAAGCCTGGATGACCGCGATTGGCCAATATGTTGTAGTGTTTTGGACGCTGAGTCGACTGGTTTTGATCCGAAAAGGCTGCGATGCAGCGTTCGGCCCTTATTCCCCATCGAAAATGGTTGAACAACCGATCACGTGCTCCTGCGTACACCAGCTCACCTGGTCACCGTACCTGCAGGCTACAACTTACAGCACGTTTACAGCATGTTTGGGCGAGTTTCTGTCACTCGAGTTGAACCTTTGAACCTTTGAGTTGAACCTTGGTGTGAAAGTTGTCGCCTGCTGGCGTGGTGACCAGGTGACTGGTGTACACAGGAGCACGTGACCGCTTGTTCAACCATGTTCGATTGGGAATAAGGGCCGAACGCTGCATCGCAGCCTTTTCGGACCAAAACCAGTCGACTCGGCGTCCAAAAGACTACAACATATGGGCCAATCGCGGTCATCCGTGCTTTTATAAGAACGAAATGGCGCTTTTAGTGACATTTTGCATACAAATCCCCATCTAGTAGTGCGCAGTCACCCAGTTTCGGTGGAAGTGCGTGAGTTCGATTGCGATTAAAGTAGGAAGGGTGCATCTCAGCTTCCTCGGACCAAGACCATTTGACTCAGCACCCCGAAGGCTACACAACTGGTGAAATTTTAATTTTAGGCTTAACTTCCCCTTTAACTGGGTGATCAAGAGAATGGCGTTCAAAACACTAAGCCAACACATGTTCATATACATATAGCTGATGGTCAGACTCACCTTGTCCAGTGGTATCAATAGGTGCTGGCTGCTCGATAGCTGGCCCACTCTCGTGTTTGCTTGCATCAGGGACAACCAGGTCAAGTAGATAGTTGACATGATCTCTGATCTTGATGAGCTGCTGCCGTACATCATTCACGTCACAGGAGCAGCCTGAAATATGCGGGAACATCTTTCCACGAACTGTGTGCCAACACACACACACACACACACACACACACACACACACACACACACACACACACACACACACACACACACACACACACAAGATAAATGTGGGACATACTGTGAAAGCTCTTTATAATACAACGAGGTACAGGTGGAATCCTGATAATTCGAACCCCAAAGTGCCCGAAAAACTTTAGTGGACACTGAACTGCCTGAGGTTCGAATTATCAGACATTGTTATGTGAAAATTGTATTGATTTATCAGGATTCCACCTGTACTACATCTAACAAGGTAACAAGGAGACATCTGTCGTTAAAATAGAAACATTACAATCATGATATCAACACCTACCTACAGAATTCAGTGGTGAATTTGAGTGAATGAGCAAGACCCGTCATTTTATTATACAGCACTGAACTAGTAGCTGGTCAAGTTTAGGAAACTGTACATGCAATAATAATAATTTCATTCAGCTGACCAGCTAGCTACTGGATAAAATGTGCCTAATTAAATTCATAAGCCCTCAATAATGACCTTCACAGTAACTTACTGTAAATCTTCAAATGCAGAATCCGACTGCACTGTTTAGCGATGGTGAGGTCAGAATTGTCAGCCATTGTGATGAAGTCACCATCTAGCACACATACACATACGATACACATATCCGTAGATTCGAAGCGACCATTTCACACAAAGTATACTCCCAAGCACAGAAATCAAAGCCAGAACAAACGTACAACAATATCACACGTATGCACAGGTGTCATATCGGGATCTGTAGGGAGGTTTAGTCCCACGTAATCCGTGTGTACATTTACGTTTACGTGTGTGTACCATGTGATACTCAGTGACCCACGTACAGACGTTTTCTGATTCACGACATACCGTGTAGGGAGGCTCACCCACGTTTCGCCAGAACGTGGGTGAAAATCAGAATGGAGCGCATTGTGTAAGCTGTGAGGGTGCTCAGCTGAAGAAGTTTCCGAAGCACGAAATCAAAATATTCGATGAGCTTCGAAGCTTCGTCTTTGACCAAGTTTGGGCCTTTCGCTTCATGCTTTTGTTTGTTCCGTGTGACTAAAGACAACATTGCGAACGTGGGTCCATTGCATGAACTTTACGTGTATCACCCACGTTCCCGTATCCGTTACGTGGGACTTAACCTCCCTACTACTACTTACTAGCTGACGGTCCCCCTCCCCCAACAATGGCGGCAACACATGCCGAGTGAACGTGTTACCATCATGCAAGCGGGAAGGTGTAACGTTCCGCTATCTGCGTACGTCATAACTCATATTTAGTCATAAGGCATCCTGATATACGCTACTTGCACGTGATCATACATGTATATCACTTGAATGTCACAATGCACTATAAACGATTAATTTGTATACACTATAAGTATAGCATTTGTACTGAACTGTTGCTTGGGTACAGTGTTGTCCAATACGACTCTCTCTATCCTTGTATACCCTACTCATGTCTCCCTTACTTGTTCATTGGTTAAATCTTAACAGCTCTTTTCTTTGTAATTGGTTACTACTACTAGTAGTTCTCCCACCGACTGGGCTCTTCACTGTCTCACACAAAACTGCTGCTTCACTCTTTGATCGTTACAGTGAAACCTATTCGAAGAGGAATGCTCAAGGGACCTTCACAACGTGGTCTCTGTTGCCAGGTGATCCCCTTATCCAGGGTCGTTTGACTGGAAATAGCATCCCTTGGTCCTGGTTGCAGTGGTCTTCTGGGGCAGGTGGCTGCCTTGACAGGTTTTACTGTACATCCAACCTTCTCATTGATCTTATATCCTGAGCAAGAACAATCTCTTCCTCCTTCAACTGTTACTTATATTGTCAAGGTGAGCGTGTGGGGCTGAATGGATACTTCGATCAACTATGTTGCTTGATAGCCTGATTGGGTTCTTGCGGCACAACGTACGTAGATGTTGTTGCCATGGGATCAGTATTTCATGTCTGGCATGACATACACACACACGCACACGCACACACACACACACACACACACACACACACACACACACACACACGTGTAATGGCTTACCATCGTCTCGATATTTGACGACAACATCGTCAGAGCTGGTAACTTTGCCAACAAATACTCGCTGCATCATGAGCAACAACTCATCGTAAGTGATGTCCTCGTTGTGAATCGGAATTCGTCTAACATCATCATCACCTTCGATCCTGATTTTGATTATCAACTTCCCTGACAAGTCCATAGATGGGAATGATAGTCCACTAGTTGCACCGTTCGTAGATGCAAAGTTATTGCTACCGCTTGTGGTCGACGTCTGCTTACTCATGTTCCCGGGCTGAGCAGTTTGGTGCCTGGGCTGGGTTGGGGAGGGAAAGGTCGCCATCTGCTGCTGGGCAAAGGCGCCTCCGAATGTGGACGATGTCCCTGCCATCTTCCTATCAACAGCTACCTCACTATACTGGATCAGATGGAACGCGCACAGGCCGGGTTATACAAAATGTGTTCAAAACTTTCACAATGCAGCTCACTTCATTTCACTTCCTTTGCCTTGGATTTCTTTCTCTTGCTTGCTGTCATTCACACCAAGAATGCAACAAAGCAAACCAAGCAATGAAGCAGAAATAAAAAAAAACATTCAAGAAGGCAGCAGCTAGCTGGCTAGCTAGCGTCAGCAGTGTGACCATGGTGATTGGTGACGTGTCTATATAAAATCACAGTTTTTCGTCATCGCTTGGAATATGACGTAATAATCATCATTTTTTCGGTGACCGAACGCTCAAACGGCGAGCTAACTGCGCTATCTCTGATCTACCACCATCCAGGCATCTAATCCTGGCTGGGCCAGTACGAGTGCAGTACGAGTACCATCAAGAGTACATAACCCCATGGGGTTATGTACTCTTGGTACCATGTACATGTAGGAAGGAACAGCCAGCGGCAGGAGTATGGGGCGCACCTGTCGACGTCGACATAACCCGGCTGGACGAGTCAGCGCTTTCTTCTCGACAAGGCTCAAGTCTGGGAGTCAAGAGCAAAGGCTGCGGCAAGACAGAAGAGCCTATTGTAGGGCAAGGGCAGGGTAAGATGATTGCAAGTGCAAACTTGAACGCATACAATGACTCAGGGCTCACCACGACCATACAAAATTCAAAAAGCGTCGACCACCATTTTGAATGCCGCCAAAGCCAGAGTTTGTGCAGTCATAGCGGCTACGCACCCGAGTTCATGCTCATCGATGTACAGCGATGTACAGTCTAGTCGTAAAATACCGGTATTTTACGACTTCCTGGTCTACTCTGTACAGCGAAGGGCCAGTGCCGAAACGAATCTTGTTGTTTGATGTCGAGAAAGACACGCGGAGAAGACGTCCTTTCTCCAAGCAATCTTGGTCATTTTTCTCAATCCGCTGGTGGGTGTCGACCAAGATATGTCCGTGGGGTACTGGTTACTTGAGTCCTGGCATCTACAAGAATTTGCCGCGCCTAGCTAACCAATGTTGTCAGTAGAACTCAGCGTTTCCTGATCGCGACTCGGCACACTCTTTTCTGTTTGGCCTAGCTCGCAGCTTTCACGCTGCGAGTGGGGAGTTTCCTTGTCACAAATGAATCCCTTAGTCATGACCATGATGAGAGGTGACTAGTATGATCCCTGACTGGCATGAGTCCTTAGCTTGAGTCAACACGAAGGTAAACTCTTCACTTGGAACGCTTGCTGTCTCCTCCGCCCTTTCTTGTTGCACTTGCAGATATGCGCACGGCTGCCAGTTTTTGTTGGTGCGCGCGGCGACGCACGGCCGACCTTGATGTCTTCAAAAAAGTAGAACAGCGGTTCTCCTTGGCCGATTCTCATCATCGATAGCTCATTTTCAAGGTCTTGGAATTCTCTATCGGTTTACCGTCCCCGATTTCTAATTTTCTCTTCATTCACTTGTTTGCACGCCTTCGCGTTTGAGTGATTTCACCATCCGATCTCAGCCAAACGAAGGCCAAATCGAAAAATTCGAGACGGTAACCCCCCAAAGACACACCTTCTGAACACGAATCCACAATGGCCTAATGTCTAAAACCAACGAATACAGCCAAGCTCCACTCAGAAAACACCCCACAATTGCAAGAAACAGCCCGTTTTGCTGTGCGCTGATTGGTCAAATCCAAATGACCGTTATTGACGCTTTGTATGGTCGTGGTGAGCCCTGAATGTAGTAAAAGATACTAAAAACTAGACAAAAAAACTAGAACTGAGCAAAAAATCCATGGAGCGGGGGGGGGGGGGGAGAGGGGGTAAAAAGCACCCGAGCCGTTGACTTGAACAGTTGAAGATAACCCTCTCTCCCAAACGGTCACCCGGTGGTTTCTAGTTGCCATGTTCACTGGGGTACCGGTAATTACTAGTTCGTATAACTTTGATCATCACGGCTTGCTTCATGGGATCGCGAACCCGGTTTGAGATGTCCGTGTAAAGATGCTTCCTCCCTCGAACCAACACTTCACACACCTCATCATCCCATACACGCTCTTAGTCCACTTCGTCCCTTAGTCTTCCTTTAGTGTCTCGCCGCTATGGTTTATACTCGCTTAGCTTTCTTGGTTCTGATCATTGGAACGCACTTCCTGCTGATATTTGCACAATCTCCTTGCTCAGAAATTTGCGTTCATCTATTCAACAATTCATAGGGTACCCTGTAAAAAGGCCCTAGGCCTGTGGGACTGCCCTATCCAAAATTTAGTAAGAATACCGTATTTCCGCGCATATAAAGCCATGGCGTTATATCCGAATATAAGGCCACCCTCACTTATAAAGCCATGGCGTTATAAGTGAACAAAAGTCAATGTGGAGGAAATTGCATCTGGCGTTAAAAGTGAGTTCAGTTCTTTCAGTGAACCTACAGTAGCGGTGATTCTCTCTGCATGTACCCATCCCCACTGTCACATGCCACCTTGTACACAATAGGTTCACAATTTGAAATTTTCAGGGAAAATTGAAAGTACATGGATGCTCGACATGAACGTGCAACGGCACCATCCGAGTACTCGAAGTTCATACTCTGCCGATTTTTTTGCATGTACGCGACTCTCACTTTTAGCGCCATGGCGTTAAATCCGAGGCTATTTTCTGTAAACATTTGGTCCAAAACAGCGATGTTTCACCTATAACGCCATGGTTTTATATGCGCGGAAATACGGTAATAATAATGTCAACTAGGAGCAAACGGTGAGGAGCTGCTGTGCCCCCACCTCCAAATTCTACACTCTCGATTTTTGTTTAATTATTTTCCTTTCATCATCTTTGAGTGTGGATCATGATGTGCGGTGACCACTGTAGGACACGCACTCCACTGAAACACTGTGTGTGCTGTGCACTGCCAGGATACCAACTTATTCATGAGCCTGGATTTCATTTAGCCCAGTGGTATGTGCCATGCATGCACATCCTCATCCATCTTTTAAAACATTGTAGGTCTTGCCAAAATTGGTAAATATGTGAGAGATACTAGCACACAATCACTAGCATGTAACAAGACTGCTGCAATGTACATGGAGTGTAAAAAATCGGACAACGGACGATTGAAGCCGGTCACTAAGAGAGAGAGAGAGAGAGAGAGAGAGAGAGAGAGAGAGAGAGAGAGAGAGAAAGAGAGAGAGAGAGAGAGAGAGAGAGAGAGAGAGAGAGAGAGAGAGAGAGAGAGAGAGAGAGAGAGAGAGAGAGAGAGAGAGCCTCGGAGAGAGCCTCGGAGAGAGACAGAGAGACAGAGAGACAGAGAGACAGAGATACAGAGAGAGACAGAGAGAGACAGAGAGAGACAGAGAGATAGAGAGACAGAGAGACAGAGAGACAGAGACAGAGAGAGAGAGAGAGAGAGAGAGAGAGAGAGAGAGAGAGAGAGAGAGAGAGAGAGAGAGAGAGAGAGAGAGAGAGAGAGAGAGAGAGAGAGAGAGAGAGAGAGAGAGAGAGAGAGAGAGAGAGAGAGAGAGAGAGAGAGAGAGAGAGAGAGAGAGAGAGAGACAGAGAGAGAGACAGAGACAGAGACAGAGAGACAGAGAGAGAGACAGAGAGAGACAGAGAGAGACAGAGAGAGACAGAGAGAGACAGAGAGACAGAGAGAGACAGAGAGAGAGAGACAGAGACAAGGGGCAAGCTTGGGCTAGGCTGGGGAGGCCTAGACTAATCCACCCTTCCATGTACAAAATCAAGGTACAGTGCGTATCGGTTATAGTGTGGTCGTATACAAGAATATACTGCTTACAAGAATGAACACTCATTTTTTCATTATCATAACACATATTTTATGTGTATATTTATTCTTACAAGCAGTATTATCGCATAGTAGAATATATCGGCCCTAAGAATGGATTTTGTGTAGCAAAATATGCCAGATTAGTGCAAAGTGTATCGCCTGTAGTAATAGCATCTGTGCTCTGTGCATACTCAATACAATAATATTCAACACAAAAAGAGAGTTATGTCCAAGGGAGCATTGGAGAATCACTTCTTCTGTCCAGTCGGACTCTTTCTTCAGACTTCTCTCGTATCCGCTGCTCGGCAGTCACCTAGCACGACCGCGAGTCTGATTGATCCGTGTACCAAACGTGCGTGCATATGATATGTCACACGTGCATATGATAATGTCACACGTGATTTATCGTGTGTAAGAAATATCGGCAATAAGAATCAAATGTCGTTTTTCAAACACCCACGCTATAACCGATACCTACTGTATCTTATGTTGCGGCACCAGTGCCCAGGACAACCTTGCAGCGGAACAGTGAAATGTACTTCACAAGAATCACAACATGTACCTAGTAAGTTAGTCGTATGCTGTGAGGGGATGGCGGGGAACATGCATCCGCCGCGGCTCAGGAACCAACCTTAGAACGGTTGGGCGTTGGTTGCAAGCATCACTTCCAGAGTTTGTTGCTGTCTGGAGTGCTCCTTGTTCAGTATTCCTTGCTAAGTATCGTACGTTGTTGTGCACAGACAGAAAGAAGACTACCAGTCGAGGAGGCTGCTTGTGACGGAGGCTCAGCACGCTGAATGCCTCGTAGCCACTTGTTCTCATGTCTAGGTACCGGCAGTGGTGTCAGGCATGTGTGATGGTGTACATGTACATGTATGTGTGTGTGTATGTACATGTACTTTTGAAGTGTATGGATGTGTGTTTTCGTGCGTATGGAGTGTTTCATAGTTTAAGTCATTGCTTGCGACTGTAACATTGGCTCCTCGGCGAGTTGCATCATTCCTGGCAATCTTGGTCACATTATCACATACATGTACTGGTACATGTTTGAATTCTTTATTCTCACGATGGCACCATCGCCAATAAGAGAATGTTGTTTTTGTTGTTGTTGTTGTTGTTGTTTGTTTATTTAGAGTCGAAGAACAAACAGGCAAATTATTTGCCTAATTACATGATGTCAACTACTATGCTCTGGTTGCAGCTTGTTTAGGCCTCAATGTGTCAGTCAATCGGAGGCAAGGTGGTAGAACGCGGTCATAATTACCGTATGGTGAAAACACATGACATGTGTTTTCACCATACTGTGATGCTCGTATACAGAACGGCATACAAGTATAAATTTCATCATTTCACCTACCATTCTATGCCCTGCCTCAATGCACTGCAGACACATGTATCGATTGTGGGACACGTTCCCTGGATCAAGACCGTAAGCTTGTCACCAGCTGACAAGTGACTTCTACAAGACTGTCAACAGCAGGCGGTGCCTGTTTATTTGCAAGGTGGCGTCAGGTCATACCAAGCGTCCTATCCAATGGCCGGAAATAACAACGCTCAACGTGAACGCAGGAAGGACAATATCATGTGCATCGACTAATACAATGTAACGTTAGCTTGCGAAAGTGTCTGATCAAAAGTTCAGGAAGCTACTGTCCCGTCAGTAGGTATTTTATCTACACAATAATGTGCATCTTGACTATAGCTCAGTGGTTAGAAGAATGTGCATGTACATACATTTACGTACCACCAGTCACTGGTCACATTCTGTTAGAGTAGATTGTCGTTTGGTCGGCAGTACATGTAGTACCAGTCGGTCACTCTACACTGCACACAGGTACATTTTTTGTACACAGGTACATGGCACATGGCACATGGTACCATTGTGCTGTGTAGTGCATGTACCTTGTAGTGTAGGCCACCTGTTATAGTAGTCTGAAAGCTACATGGACATCTTGTCCATGTGACGATTGTAAGATTTTCATCGAGAGTATACTACTTCTACTACTAGTGTATGTGGCATTATGGTGACCGTGCTTGGGTTTAGAGGGATCGACGTGAAACGTCCCACCTTCAAATGCACACTACTGTACTGTGATCCCATGGCAATATCAGTGGCCACAAGGTAACATTGTGTCACCATGAAGCATGTGCATGTACCCCACTGTGCATGTACATGTACGTGCTGCTCAATGAAATCCAGTCGTGTCACTTAAGTTTGCGCCTCGCATCATTTCGCAGCCCAGTGTTCGCAGGTCTAGGGCTGCTCAACGCCCGGCGTGTACTTGAGTGACACGACTGGATTTGCAACACTGTATATACATGGACATGTACATGTAGGTTGTGTGCATTGCTGTATGATTTTCACACGCCTTTTGCGGACTTTCCTTTATAATGGCCATTGGCATGACAACTGGGACTCCCCTCCCAGCTTACCCGGCAGCTTATGGTACTGTCCTACATGTATTTTAAACCCACATAGAGTGCCATGATGATGAGACCCTAGCTGGCATAATGGTTTGTTTGAATGGAGTACAATCCTACACCAATCAGGCCCCTTGCCTGCAACAACAAAGTAAGCATGTTCCATAAATTGGCATAGTCAGATCATGTCCGCTGCATATCATGATGGCATGTTGTCTCAACTTGTTTGCTTTGGTGTACAGTCATGTACATGATGTCAGCCTGGGGTAGGTCCAGGCATCTACACCTAAACTCTAGTCGCAGTTGAGTTTCAGGCACATACCTACACAAGTCACTAGAACTGTAGAAGTAAGTAATTAGTTGGATACCTTGGATCAGCACTCTTGCTACATGTATTTGCTGCTTTCAGTGGTGTGTAACGGAATCACAGCCATTCCGTTCCCCGGGACGCAGGACACAAAGGACAAGACTGGTTTGTTACATTATTTATATTTGGACATTACGGAAATGGAGACAACACTCAAAGGGACGAACAAGAAGACTGACAAAAGGACTCTCGACTACAAAATCGCGCATGCTCATATCACACATGCACGCGACTAGACGAGACAGTTTGGGGAATGCCATCACACAGGAAAACAACACATCATTTTACAACACCTGCCCCCTTGATGACATTCCACAAAATAATAAACCGACACCACGTTCCACATGCACAACAGCAAAAGGAACCACAGCAAAACAGAAAAACCAAAACCAACCAACAGCTTACAAAACATTGTAGCACAACAAAACTGGGCCACGACACATGGCTAAACCAAAAAACACAAGAGCCGACGCTCTAAACTCAGGCACACAAGGCCAACCGAAACACGAGAGCCAAAGCTCCAACAAATAACAACATGAGCGCAGCAGCGCAAAATAAATCTACAACGCAAATTAATGCAGAACAACAGAACGACGAGAAGAGCAACATACCGACAACCAAACTCAACAACACAGCAACGAACCGAACAGCGAGAGAAACATGATCAGACAATTAAGCGAGCAAGACAACAACAAGACGAACAACAAAGGACGACACACAGTCGGTGATGCCAGACTCATCCACTGGCCTCTGGCGAGCCACGGCCACACGCTCCATGCGGTACCTGCCGTCCCAGGCTCCAGTCCCCAGCTTCTGCCGATCCACCACCTTCTCTGCCTCCTCTCCGCGTCTTCTTCCGCTTCCACCAGCTCCTCGTCTCTCCTCCATCCCCACGCTTACTCTCTAGTTGTACTATTACTTGTATTAGTTGTTGACGACGACGAACAGACTCATGACAAACTTACTCATCCTCTGCGTCCCGGGTTTCGGCACCACGTTGAAACGGAATCACAGCCATTCCGTTCCCCGGGACGCAGGACACAAAGGACAAGACTGGTTTGTTACATTATTTATATTTGGACATTACGGAAATGGAGACAACACTCAAAGGGACGAACAAGAAGACTGACAAAAGGACTCTCGACTACAAAATCGCGCATGCTCATATCACACATGCACGCGACTAGACGAGACAGTTTGGGGAATGCCATCACACAGGAAAACAACACATCATTTTACAACAGGTGCCAGCGGATAATGCGGATCATGATACCTTGTGTCAAGCTGAGTGCTTGTGTCAGTACAGGTATGTGCCAGACAGAAGGTGGGGTGATGAGGTACTGGCTTTGTCCATTCTTCATGCTTATCACAATTACAGCGTGTACGTCACGAACTGTGACGAAGTGAGAGGCAAAGCAAAAAGGTTCCCCGCTGGACAGGGGACTACACCATTTCCGGGACTTTAAAACACACGATATTATTGCCAAAGAGCAGATTATAGCTGCGCAGTTTGCTAAGTAAGAGTGTGTTCATCGAGCGCAAAGTACCAGTCATGTCAGTCATAACAACAGCTGCACAGCAACCACTACAAGTCATGTACAATCATGTACAGTACAAGCTATTAGTTATTACTATAACTTATTGCTTTGAGTCTTCAATAGCCCCCACTTGACCTGGACTAATCCTTGTAATTACAGTGGATGGGTCGCGATATTTTTGGACCGGAGTTTAGCATTGGAATCGTCAACTCCATTACATGCACATGCACGATCGTATCACTACAAATTACATTGGCCTGCACTCGAGAATGTCATGGTTATCTCACTCTGAATATCACTACAGAATGTGCTAATGTTAATTTTTCACTATGCCCTAGGGCAAAACGGACGCAAGGATCAGCTGCAGCATCATGCAGGCAATGCTTGCAACTCCAAGGCTCTATTCCTGTTGTGGACGATAAGGCAGTGTCGTCGACGTGATCTCTAGCGCTCAATTTGTACTGCAATCCATGTAGCAGCGTTGTGATTGAGGACAGGAAAGTCGCCCTTGCCTCAGGTCATTGTGCTTTTCCCCGCAGCGTTGTATCCCAAACTGGACGCATACATTGTACATGTACCTCTTAGACCCTAAAACGTGACTCGCAGCCTGGCCGGCCTAGCGCCTACCTCTGTAGTCTGGTCTGAGTCAAAAGAGTCAAAGCAAAGGTAGCCGACGACAGTACCAGACAGACACTCCTGTAGTGATAGGAAGAGTCTTGTAGCCGACGACACTACAAGTACAAGACAGATACTACTAGTGAAAGGATTTGTACTTGTAGGTAGGGTGTTGTAGGTGTGCCTCTCATTCCTGGCGGTTTGGATTGTGACCTGGAAGACGCACTGAGGACATGTCAAGCTGGAAAACACGAGATTAGAAACAGGTACGCACTGCGACCATTGGCATTTCGCGATATCGGACTGTCCAACACTGCAATACATGTGCTGCTAGCAGCAGGCAATGCTTTGCGGTAGCCACACACAGCAGTACAAGCATGTACATATGCAGTGTGCCATGCATGCCTAATATCAAGAGTCCACCACGAGATCGAGAGTCCATGATGAAATCTCGGCAAGGGATTTATGAACTCTTGCTGATAGTATCATAATGACGGCCATGATGCCAGTCTGTAACGTCGTTAGATTCATGCATTCCTTGATAAAGTCAAAGATCAGCGGCTTGATAGATTCAATTATTTCCGGTATAGACATACATGCGTATTGCCACCTCGGTTCGTGCTTCAGTTGGCGAACAACGCTTGTGTCGGTGCTGCACAGAAGGAGCTATGACTTCAAATGGCAGGGTTCGAAGACTTCAAACGTTCGTCCATGGCCGAGCTATCTAGGAGGTGTTCTACGTGAGCCATGGAAAGAGTTGGAAAATACGTGGCTGGCTAAACGCCCTTGTCTCAGGGGATTCTGTCCCTGCATTAGCTATGCTTGTCACATGCTATGAGATTGTGTCTAGTAATAATAACAATAATAATACTCGTGTTATTAGGACTAGGGAGGCAGTCCACAGCCATTATCAGTTTATCACACCTCGTCCATGGAGGCTTGAAGTCATGGTCTTTCGTTGATGGATCGCTCCATTGACTTGCTATGGTTGTCTATGGGATTCGCGACCCGTGTGTTACAGGGATCGGTGCGAGGTCTCAAGGTTTGAACTGCAATCTGTTGATCAATACACGTACACAGGCGAGGAAGAATCCATATTACCTGGCTCTTGGTCTTATGCAGTTATGGAGCCTTGGCGCAGCGCACAGCGGACGGCACAACTGTGCCTAACACTTCCTTTTGCAATTTGTCCTACACGATATTTTTAAGTCAGAGTAGACGACGTGCTCAACTGGAAGCCGCCGAAAGGCCACGGACATTGGCACGATGCTAATGATGCACCTGCCACATTTCTAGTACATGCTGCTGAGAGTGGCATCTGGCCACGTGTGTACAGGGAGACGGAGGAAGAGTTCGCCTCTTTCGTAAACACCTACGTCAAGACATTTCACCCTGGCACGGAATCCCATCTGTCCGCGCAAAAAGCGAATTACGTACACAATAGGACTGGCTGGGTTGCTGTTACCTCTGCGCATTTCCAATATCCGGCGGGGCCAGGGCCAAGCGGAAATGCAATGCAGATAGTCATCTCAACAGGATCATCTGGTGATAGGTGGCTGGTTCGCCTCGCTGTTCTCAGCTATACCCGGGGCCGGGGTAGTAACGGTTACTAGTACTAGTAGTAGGAGACAAAGCGAGGGTCTGTCTTTGCCAATACCCATGGCGAACAGAACCGTGACTCCCACCAGTTGCACCACTGCTATCGCTACCCTAACCGAGTCCAGCAGCAAAAGTACTAATACATGGAACCCGTTTTCATGTTGCCTACACGAAAGGAGCGTTGAGCTACACTGACTTAGTAGTAGTAATAGTAACTATGTCATGTACCAGCCTGGAGCTGTCAACACCATTATTCTCGAGATGGGTGACTCGGTGACGGAACGACGTCGTCATGTGGAATCGTTTGCATCTTGAAGAATTAGTCATTTAGTTTAGTTCATCAATCTGTGGCAACACAGTAATAATAAGTTGATATACTATTACATATAGCGCAAGGAAGTGGCCGAAGATGCAGATACTACTGTACTACTACTAGTACATGAGATGGTGGGGATGCCAGGCACCTTCACGAGCAGAGCGCTGGTGCAATAGCAGCCACAGGTTACGTGCCATAAAGTGTCGTCAGGACCCAATCCACACTCTGCAACACAGTTTTCACAAAGATATCTTTAGATTCGTACCGTCATTCACATGTACAAAGGGATCCCACTCCCAGTTCCCCAAAGAGCGAAGAATACAGGTTGCTCAGGTGCGCGTGTCAACAACCCAACTAAAACCCTGTGCGTGAGACTTCGATTAACGTTTAATATGAGTAGGTAACAGCGACGACACCACCATGTATACTCTGTGCGAGGAATAGTTGGGGGAAGATCCAGTGCTATGCGTAGTGCCGCAGGAGTGACGTGAGTTAAAAGCCTAGCTCCCAGTCGGACGTGATCGCCCTGTGTCTGGAGCAACTGACAAGGTCAGTGGTAGCAGTGGGTGGAAGCCTCCAAGGCATAACCGCCATAACTCTAGAACATCTTACAATGTACATCCGACACACTCACACTCTCAGCATCCATACTTATAAGTCCTTGGTCTCCTAGACTTCTCTAGTGTCCATGGTATCAGGGACTCACAATTCTGAGTTCCCAGCTCGAAGCCTCATCATTTCCACTCACCGTGACATGCTGAGCTAGGTCAAGCTGTTGTCTATCAAGCCATTCAAGGCTTAGCAGGAGGTGCGTGTGCGTGGTCACTGGTCGTATTATGGTTCACGATGGTCTTGTTTGCAGTGTAGTGGACGACTGACTCTGTTCTCTTCCCCTGGCCCTTGAGCTGAGTTGAGGGCTGATTAACTGGTGGAGACTGTTACATGATGTTCCCAAAATCCTGGGTGATGTGTGCCCTTCAAACTCCGCAATTGAAATCTGTTGAGCGCGGTATGAAGGTGAGGACACTACGAGTGCGCACCCCGTATCAAATGCGTCTATCGTCTGGTGCTCTGCCAGGCAAGTCGGGGCAGGCTGGTCTCACAGACTCACCAGGGTTCTTTCTCAGCGTTGTACTGTGGATATGGGGAATGCATTACTGCACTGCTTAGCCTCCATAAAAGAATTGCCATTATGTTTTCATCGCGTGACCATTGTACAGCACCCTTTTGACGCTACAACCGCAGCCTCGTCATTGTTTTCCCCTGGGCTCCGCTCGCGTTCGGCGGGCGTTGTTCATTCCTAGATCCTGCAGACTGCAGTAGTTAGCGCTAGAGTAGGCTTCACTCTAACCCGTACCCCTGTACCTAAATGTAGCTAGCAGGACTTACACGGGAGATGACGGGGCGAGAAATGACATCGGTTGAAACTGGCGCGATCGAAGGTCGACGGTGGTGTTAAGCTGGCAATCCTGATTCTGCTGCGGATGCGATGCCTACTCTAGTCCTTCCTGATATGGTGGCTGTTGACTAAAACTCCTGCTGAGCCTCACGGCAGATCTCTCACGCAACGTCAGCTCAGGGTTGAAGCTGGGTAGAAAGAGAAGAACTTGATGTACATCACCGTCAGTCTGATATTCCTGGTCGACAGCATTGAGGCACTGAATTATTACTACACTCCAAATCCTAATTCTTTGGGGGTGGTTAAATTCTTTGAATACTGTTTCTACCTCTCTGGACTCTGCGTGACCTACGCAATGAGTATGGTGAAAAGTAATCGGATGCTTCTGGCAGTGGCGGCGTTCGTGCTTGCCTTGATCAGTGACAGGTGAGAGTGGTTTGATGAAGAGTAATTATTCTACTTTACAAGTTAGTTGTATGCGACTGGTGGTTGTTGTTGCATAGTATACATGATGATGGGGCAATGATTCTAATTACAATGCGATGATAATATGGATGATGATATGGATCTGGTCAATTGTATTAAGCCTGTTTGACGCCCTTTCTGATTGCATGATGGCAAAGGGATCCTCCGAAATTTGCTTGCACGCGTGCATGCTGAATTGTTTTCTCGAGTTTGTATTTGGCTGTCGCCCAGCAGGTTTAACTGTATACATGTAGATCCAGGGGTTGTCGTGGTTGCTAGCCAACATCTACACTGGAACACTCGAGGTCAAGACTTCAGATGAGTAGTGGTTTAGAACAGCTCACTGGTAATCTCGCGTGATGTTCGGGATACATGGGCATGGGGCGGATCAACTCGTCCTTGTTAGCACTGAGAGTACCAAGTTTCACCAAAAGGCTTAGGCCGTTCATGCTCAGCCGGTTATATACATGTAGGCACATCTCTTTGCTATTGTGGCTTGTTTGTAATTTTCGACCAGGTACCAGGTAGGTCAATGTCAAACAGCACATCACTATCGACAACTGGCTGTGGAGGTTAGGCCCTCTGTAGAGCAGTGGGACATTGGTGAGGGTGAGAGTAGCACCACTGGCAATGCAACAACCACTGACAGCACTAGTAGCAGTGTACCGTCCGCGGTCGGCGGTCATGACCCTGCCGAGGAAACCGATGGTATCGAACCCGACGGGCGAGCCGCGTGCAGCTTTCTACCCGGGCTGACAGAGCGCCAACGACTGTGGTGCAGGGACAACTACGTGTTTCTGGAGCCCATCGCCAGTGGCGCACAGATTGCACTGGCCCAGTGTCGAAAGCAGTTCGCAGACCGGCGCTGGAACTGCCCCACGGACAACCCGGCCGTCTTCAGTAAAATCTACGACAAAGGTGAGTGACGGTGGGACGGGGTGACAGACGGACAGGTGCACCGCCTGCACTGTTCATCATAAGCATAAGGTACACAGGATCTGTCAGGTGAACTGTACTGCCGCTGTTGGCTGCCTGTACCAAAATTATAACGCATGTCCTTATATGTATACCGCCAGGCTGTTCCCATTGTAATGCGTCCCAGTCAGAATGTGGCCTTTGTACTACACGAAGCTTCAGGGATCTAGGGAGTAGACCATTGTCTGAACCCGGGCAGAACGCTGACCTCAAACTCAAAGTGTGTTTTGTTAGGTGAATCATGTAGTGTACATCCAGTACAGTAGTATAGTTAGCTGATCAGGGCGCGGCAATGACGGTACACTGTACACCATGGTACACCGTACCTTGTCCCAGATCTTTTGTCTTTATCTACTGGCCTCGTGTTGTGGTACCTGCTGGTACTAAGATAAGTAAGAGCCGAAGCGTAGGCAGCCATTGCGCTATAGACATTCTGATATTGCATCACAGATGCATGTGGCAATAATGAACGAGACAAGGTGCAGATGCCATGCAGATGTGCACCGTCCTTCGCAGTGTGGAACGTGTCGGAATGGAGTGAAGTGCTTGTCCAGGCTATGTCATGACTCGGACATCAGGGCCTGACCGTCACAATCACAACTAACTGTTACTTTCTCTTCTCAGGCTTGAGGAAGTAGGCTGTATGATCGACACCATGGCAATAGCAGTAGTCTAGACTAGAGACTTAGAGTGCTAGTTGCGTCAAGAGCTTGTAGGTCGTTTCCAAGGTTATGCCATGGAGAATTACATATGGCCTACAGGGAGAATATAGAGAGACTAGCAGCACCCCCGCCAGCGTTGCCTGGCCGAATGTGGCGTGCGGGTGAAGCAAGTACATGAACACAGCACACGTGCTCAGCGCGTGGTGGTGGCCAGACCGCTGAAGTCCTGGTGAGGGAGGTTCTTCATCGTTGGAAGGAGAAGGAGGGACGTCTGTTACACCTTCGGGAGGCTGGTCAGGGTTGTCCATCACCTGGTGGCGGATGAAGCGGCTCAAAAAATTCATAAACTTACTTACGAACAAAAGTGCGATGCGCTCTTCACTGCAGATCAGATGCAGAGTGCATGCAGTCAGTGCAGATCTTTTGTATCCTTTTGTTGCAGATGTTTCTATTTGCAGAGAACGGTTCACGTGGTCCGCAGCGCTTGTGCGGCTGCTAGTGCTACCTATGGCCTAGGCTAGGTGGCTAGGCTACATGATTCGCACGCTTCGCGTGCTCAGTGCTTCTGCGCGCGGCTGCTACTGCTACTCGTACTGATCGTGTCTGCTATAAGTATAAGCGCTACCACCGTACCTACACTGTTCGCACGCTTCGCGTGCTCAGCACGTTGTGGTGGCTACACGATTCGAACGCTTCGCGTGCTCAGTGCTTCTGTGGCTGCTTCCGCTAGCTACACGATTCGCACGCTTCGCGTGCTCAGTGCTTCTGCGGCCGCTAGCTACACTGTGCTACACTGTTCGCACGCTTCGCGTGCTCAGGGCAGCGCTGCTCCGCAGCGCTTCAGCGTGACACAAAAACACACGTCACAGGTGCCTCTTCTTTATAAGGAGCGTGACACACACACACACACACACACAGACACACGTCACAGGTGCCTCTCTTTTATAAGTAAAGATGAGCCTACTTTCCTGGCAGGGCGTTCAGAGCAGGTCGATTCGATACACGAAGTCTTTCGCTCGGTTCTCTCCGAAATCGGAGGAGTTGTTCAGGTAACCGGTCGCCATCAAGTGCCACCAACGACCTTGTGGGCCTTGCATTCGCTCTCGTTCTGGAGTTGTCAAGCTGTGCACCTGCAAGGAAATGTCAAGACGCACGCAGCTCTGCACTGCAGACAGAGATCACTGAGGCAATGGTGGAATGTCCTGAGCAAGAATGCCGGTGGCGCGATTCACAAGGAAGTGTTGCTTTGATGATGTCCCCAATCTATATGCCGACTTATTATTATCTCCACTTGGTGGACTGGCACTGGTCGGAGAAGTATGCTCGTGACGGCGGAAATGACAAGGCATTAGAGAGGTTTCGCTTCACGTTGTTCTGCACTACACCGTGAAATTTCACGTCGGTGTGGCAAATTTTGGCGTCGAAACTCCCGTTCATGACGTGAGCTGAGGTCAACTCACGTTCGACGTGACGCGAGTTTTTGCAAATTTAGCCTTGCTATCAGGTTGGGATTATTGACTCGATTTGTCGATTTTGCCTAAACTAGCTATAAATAATATTTGTGCGACTTTGGCCTCACCAAAAATCACTTTTTCACTTTTTGAAGTTTTCGCCCCCAGTTTTCGCTCCTGTCGTCAGCGAAACGACGTGCTTCACAAGCAACGTGAAACGAAAGCTCTTTCTGAGCTCGCGTCGACGCAAAAAATTGACGTTCACGTAAGAGCACAAATCACGCGGGTCGAAACCTCTCTATTGCTCCCTTTCCTCATGGATATACATTGTGCATGCACTGTACATTATCATGTGCATGTATGCACGTGTTCATGAAGTTGTCCTGGACTCTGGGCTAATCTTACCAAGAGTATGGGGTATGTGCACTTGATATCCCTGGCTGGATTTTTCAATGCCGATCTTGTACGTACATGTACAATCACTCACTTGTCGAGGCCTGTGTCAGCCCGATGCTGCCGCATTGTTATGTTTTCACCTTAAAAAAATGGCCGAAGTTCAGTACAGCACCAGTAGAGATTTCCATGATGCGGCAACCTAGAAACATTATACATGTATCATGCACGGAGGAGAGTTATTCGTGCGAGACTCTTGGCATGGGCCCTTAGGGATGACCAGTTCGTCCAAAGTGCGTGTATGCTCTGGGGCGAGTGGGCGATCATTTTGCAATCGAATTACAACTGTCAACTGTCACCACACACACCTCAACTATAAAATTCATTGCAGTCCGGCTACGACGGCAGGGGACGGTGAGGCAAGAGGAACTGAAAAAAAGAAAGCCGAAGAGGGTGAAAGAGGGTTGAATCAAGGCCTGAAGCAAGAAGGAAGAGGATCCAATACCAGACCCAGTAGTACTGTGTGAACCGTGGAATATAGTCCATCGGTCAAGTCTCAAAATCGTAAGTGGTGATGCACTGAGCTTCCAACTAAACGCGACCATACCCAGCACGTAGAGAATATATCAGAGAACACTATTCCGTTTGTTGGACGTGTCGAATTCAGTCCAGGGCGTCGGTACGAAGCGTTCTTCGTCGCCGAGTTTTTTACTGTGCGCTCCATTTGAGAGTGCGCAGAGTTCTGATCGAGAGTTTTTTGAGCAGATTTTCAAATTTTTGAGGCTGTCAGCTGACAGCTGTCAACCCTAAATGGCACTTAGTATGTGACAGGCAATAGGTTTTGGTGCCTCCGTATGCCTTCTAATAAGTTCTATCTTCCTTCGTTTCACTTCGCTGCTTCGCCCACCACCTCAGGAGATGACAGCGTACCTGCACTAGTCAGCTCTCGCTAACCCTGTCTCTCTTTCTCCGTCTTAGCGCTCGTCATTCGTGTCCTTCTGCTGGGGCGAGCTTGATACTGTTGTGTCGTAGTTTTTAGGCAATAGTGGCTGTTGTTCGCGTGACGATCAGGATTTATGGAGAAAGACGACGACTCGCCAAGTTCCCATGCAGCCACAGACGGCGTAGCAATTCTTACCGCCAACCCTTCGAGCAACGGAACCGGCCTGAGTTGGAAATCGTGTCTGTGTAATTGTGCCACGATACGGATGAAACACACAGGCTCACATGTGACGAGATGAAGATAATCTCAACAGGCTGACGGAAATCCAACAGGCTCACGGGAACGCTGCAGTTATGGTCGGAGACGCGGAGTTATTTAGTCACTGGTAAATGTTGCATCGAGTGCTGTGTGGTAAAAATCATGAAAAAGTAAAAATAATGCAATGGTGGGGCTGAGTGGTGTTCTGTGGAGGAGACGTCGCTGTCTCAGTATTCAACGCCGGACTCTGTATTTCAAGTCTGTGGTCATGCTCGATCATAAGTTCCTGTATGGCTCCAGTGCCTTCTCAGCATTGTTGGCGGGTAAGCACCTGGATCGTGTCCAAGTACTGCGGCTCTGGTGGCTTGAGGGTTGTACGGGTGCTCGCCGTGCACCCCTGCCGGCAACCTGCTAGTGAAGCTTGGTACCTACTGTGTCCGGGAGATTTTCATCCAGAAGCTGATCTTCCTAGGCTGGAGCTGCTGCTACTCCTGTGCTAGCCCTCAACCACTGGCGCTCCTACTCGGCTCCAGTGTGGGCCATTAACCACCCTGCCCGATTTCGCACTGTTGCTATTCCACACCGTCAGCATTTAACTCTGAGGTCAGACCTTGGTCCCTCCCACCATATGCTATCTGCCTGTCTGCCTCTCTCTCGCACACAGATGTGCGCGCATACACACAAACACACATGCACACACACACACACATGCACACACAGTGACACAAACACACACATAGCCAACTTCTCTGTGTTTGGTGATCATCATCTGTTTTCTGATGTGCAAGCTCACCTCTGATGCCGATTACTTCCTTGCGTAGACCCGGTCTGCTATTAGACCAGTCTGCTCTCCCTTCACTCGCTTGTAAATCCTACTTGGAGCAGTAAGGTTGTGTCACTACTCCTACTGATGTCATTGTTGTGAAAGCAATATCATCGCCATTGGTGGTAATTTTCCACCGTGCATGAATCATTAACAATCATTATCTATGTGTCACGGCCTAACCATCCTCGTAACTCCCCTCATCGTGACTAGTGCTGTACCGTTGAAACCTACTTTGCTTCAGTGTATATTCGCTCCAAAGCTCTTGTTTTGTTGCATAGTGATCTGACGCAGTGTGCTATAGCCTATCGGGTAATATGGATAAGATTAGTACAGTCGGCATCGCCTATCGAGTGACCAGGTACATGTATAAGGATACTAGTACATGTATACCGGCTTAATGATATCGGAAC